GGCAGCAGCCTAAGCAGGGACTCCCAGACTTCCTTCACCCCAGACACGTCCTCCAGCTCCTCCGGGGGAACCCCGAGGCGTTCCCAGACCAGCTGAGAGACATAGTCCCTCCAGCGTGTCCTGGGTCTTCCCCGGGGCCTCCTCCCGGTGGGACATGTCCGGAACACCTCCCGAGGGAGGCACCGAGGAGGCATCCGGAACAGATGCCTGAGCCACCTCAACTGGCTCCTCTCGACATGGAGGAGCAGCGGCTCTACTCCGAGCTCCTCCCGTGTGACTGAAGCTCCTCACCCTATCTCTAAGGGAGCGCCCAGCCACCCTGCGGAGGAAACTCATTTTGAGCGCTTGTATCCGCGATCTTGTCCTTTCGGTCACTACCCAGAGCTCATGACCATAGGTGAGAGTAGGAACGAAGACTGACCGGTAACTCGAGACCACCACAACGGTCCGATACAGCGACCGCATCACTGCCAAAGCTGCACCAATCTGCCTGTCAATCTCACGTTCCGTCCTTCCCTGTCTCGTGAACAAGACCCCGAGATACTTGAACTCCTCCACTTGAGGCAAAGACTTCCCACCCACCCGGAGAGGGCAAGCCACCTTTTTCCGGTCGAGAACCATGGCCTCAGACTTAGAAGAGCTGATCTTCATCCCAGCCGCTTCACACTCGGCTGCAAACCGCCCCAGTGCACATTGCAGGTCCTGGTTCGATGAAGCCAACAGGACAACATCATCCGCAAACAGTAGAGATGAGATCCTGTGGTCCCCAAACCGGACCCCCTCCGGCCCCTGACTGCGTCTAGAAATTCTGTCCATAAATACAATGAACAGAACCGGTGACAAAGGGCAGCCCTGGCGGAGTCCAACATGCACCGGAAACAGGTCTGACTTACTGCCGGCAATGCGAGCACAGCTCCTGCTCCGGTCATACAGGGACTGGACAGCCCTTAGCAAAGGGCCCCAGACCCCATACTCCCAGAGCACTCCCCACAGGACACCACGAGGGACACGGTTGAATGCCTTCTCCAAGTCCACAAAGCACATGTGGACTGGTTGGGCAAACTCCCATGAACCCTCGAGCACCCTATGGAGAGTGTAGAGCTGGTCCAGTGTTCCACGCTATGTGCCAGGACGAAAACCACACTGCTCTTCCTGGATCCGAGGTTCGACTATCGGCCGGATTCTCCTCTCCAGTACCCTGGCATAGACCTTACCGGGGAGGCTGAGGAGTGTGATCCCCCTATAGTTGGAACACACCCTCCAGTCCCCCTTCTTATACAGAGGGACCACCACCCCGGTTTGCCAGTCCAGAGGTACTGTCCCCGACCGCCACACGATGTTGAAGAGGCGTGTCAGCCAAGACAGCCCCACAACATCCAGAGACTTAAGGTACTCAGGACGGATCTCATCCAACCCCGGAGCCTTGCCACCAAGGAGCTTTCCAACCACCTCAGTGACTTCAGCCAGGGTGATGGATGAGTCCGCCTCCGAGCACCCAGCCTCTGCCTCCTCCTCGGAAGACATGACAGTGGGATTGAGGAGATCCTCAAAGTACTCCTTCCACCACCGGACAATGTCCCCAGTCGAGGTCAGCAGTAGAGCCCGACCGATATATCGGTTGGCCGATATTATCGGTTGATATGGGCAACTTTAGGCATATCGGCTATCGGCCGATATGCTTGCTGATAGGGGCCGATATTTCACGTGGGCATGTTATACCTCGTTATAAAGTTTAGACTCTCTACATTCTGTTCATTTAATCCAATTTACAGACAGATAAATGTCCTAATATGTGGCTCCACATCAGTATTTATCTACGGAGTCATTTGTCTGTGTGTGTCCGTACTGTCCCTGAACACACCACAGAGTCGCGTCACTCACGTGTGTTTGTTTACACTCGCAGACACAGATCCAAACACTGAGATTATATTCTTTTTACGGACAATCGGTTTGAGTCTGGATTAAAAGGACATTTATTAGTGCAGATTTGTGATGTGAGGAGGAGCCTGTATGAGCGGTGAGTGTTGGAAATATATCGACTCTGAAGCTAGTTTTTGTCATTTGTTATGGGTTAGCTGCTGTAGCTCCCGCACATAAACAGACTGTTTTCTATTGGTCTGTTCTAAAGTGACTATATTGGCCCTATATTTGCTACTGGACCTGCACTGATATGTAAATGAGCTGTGAACAGAGGTGTGAATTATGACATTTGCGCATATAATTAATTACTGCGGCGCGCACGTATTTACGGCTAAAGGCTAATAGCGCTATTTTCTTTACTAGTTATGGGTCCGTCGCGAACGAAATGACTCTTAGAACCGGCTCTTTGAAGGGAACGACGGGAGCCTGATCCTTATTGGGAGCCGTGTTTTCTCTTTTTCTCACTTTTTTTCTCTTCACGCCGCGTGATTCGTGGTTTGACAGCGGCAGCGGCTCAAAACGACACTTTGAGACATTTGCGTGTACGTAGGATTAAAAAAAATAAAAATAAAAAAACGAGCATATTTATCTGTAGTTTAGCATAAAATAAATAAGTCCTGGTTTAGGCCTTTTTCAGTCCTGGTTTAGACCTGGTTCAGTCCTGATTCAGTCCTGCTTGCAACAAAACAATCTGAAGAGCCACTTGGGACCCTAAAAGAACCAGCAGCTTTTAGTGAGCCGAGCCAAAAGAGCCGGTTCTCTAAAAGAACTGGAATACCCATCACTAGTGTCTAGAATGTGATGCAAAAATGCCATTAAGCCAACCTACTGTCTGTAAATATGATGTAAAGAGGCAGAATAACAATAAATGTTGCCTAAATAAACCCAATTTAAAATCCACCAGAGCCAAACCTAAGTTTTTTAAACAATTCAACATTTACAGTGAATTTTTACATCACTAAATATATCGGCGATTATATCGGCTATCGGCAGCGCCAACTTCCATTATATCGGTTTCATATTGGCCACAGCAAAATCCATATCGGTCGGGCTCTAGTCAGCAGCCCTCCCCCCGCACTGTAAACAGTGTTGGCGAAGAACTGCTTCCCCCTCCTGAGGTGAAAACCTGAGATTTGCCAGAACTTCTTTGAGGCCGTCCTATAGACCTTCTCCATGGCCTCCCCGAACTCCTCCTAGCTCAGAGTTTTTGCCTCCGCAACCACACGGGCTGCAGCACGCTTGGCCCGCCGGTACCCGTCAGCTGCTTCAGGAGTCCCCCGAGCCAGCAAGGCCTGATAGGACTCCTTCTTCAGCTTGATGGCATCCCTTACTTCCGGTGTCCACCACCGGGTTCGGGGATTGCCGCCGCGACAGGCACCACAGACCTTACTCCCACAGCTCCGAGCAGCCGCATCGACAATAGAGGCCGAGAATGAAGCCCACTCGGACTCCATATCTCCAGCCTCCCCCGGAATCCGGGAGAAGTCCTCCCGGAGGTGCGAGTTGAAAGTCCCTCTGACAGAGGGCTCCGTCAGACGTTCCCAACAGACCCTCACTACACGCTTGGGCCTGCCAGGTCTTTCCGGCTTCCTCCTCCGCCAGCGAACCCAACTCACAACCAGGTGGTGATCAGTTGACAGCTCAGCCCCTCTCTTCACCCGAGTGTCCAAGACACGCGGCCGGAGGTCAGATGACACGACTACAAAGTCGATCATCGACCTCCGACCTAGGGTGTCCTGGTGCCACGTGCACTTATGGACACCCTTGTGCTTGAACATGGTGTTCGTTATGGACAAACCGTGACTAGCACAGAAGTCCAATAACAAAACACCGCTCGGGTTCAGATCAGGGAGGCCATTCCTCCCAATCACCCCTCTCCAAGTGTCACTGTTGTTGCCCACGTGGGCGTTGAATTCCCCCAGGAGAACAACGGAGTCCCCGGTCGGTGCACTGTCTAGTACCCCTCCCAAGGACTCCAAGAAGGCCGGGTACTCAGCACAGCTGTTCGGCCCGTAGGCCGACACCACAGTGAGAGACCTGTCCCCGACCCGAAGGCGCAGGGACGCGACCCTCTCGTTCACCGGAGTGAACTCCAACACACAGTGGCTGAGCTGTAGGGCAATGAGCAGGCCCACACCAGCCTGCTGCCGCTCCCCACTGCCAATGCCAGAGAAATGGAGAGTCCAGCCCCTCTCAAGGTGTTGGGTTTCAGAGCCCAAACTGTGCGTGGAGGTGAGGCCGACTATATCTAGTCAGTAACGCTCAACCTCCCGCACAAACTCAGGCTCCTTCCCCCCAGCGAGGTGACATTCCATGTCCCCAGAGCTAGTCTCCATGTCCGGAGATCCGGTCGTCGAGGCCCCCGCCTTCGACTGCCGCCCAGATCTCTTTGCACCGGCCCCATATGGCTCCTCCCGCAGGTAGTGGGCCCACATGAGGACGGCCCCACGTCGCTCCTTCGGGCTGAGCCCAGCCGAGCCCCGTGGGGAAAGGCCCGGCCACCAGGCACTCGCTGGCGAGCACCCACCCCAGGCCTGGCTCCAGGGTGAGGCCCCGGTGACGCCAATCCGGGCAACGTAACTGGCCTCTGTGTGTGACTCATCATATGGGACTTCTGAACCGTTCTTCGTCTGACCCGTCCCCCCGGACCTGTTTGCCTTGGGTGACCCTACCAGGGGCATGAAGGCCCCAACAACATAGCTCCGGGGATCATTCGGGCACTCAAACCCCTCCACCACAATAAGGTGATGGTTCAAGGAGGGGATTCATTGGTATAATTCCTATTAAAACACCTGTAATCAAATAAATGCTAGATGGATGCCATATAGAACATTCTAAGCTAAGCAGTAACATTTCTATGGAGACAAGCAGATGGCAAAACCCCTAACAGAAAAGTTACATGGTAATGTTTGATGTAACGGACTGGAAAGCTTGTGAAAGGGCTGATGGGAATGCCTTTTTAATGGGCATCTAGTTCCCTGCAGTTATTTGTCATTATTTGTAGGAGTTATCTTTCCTCCACACAGCAGTCCCTCATCATTCATTCAGAACACATCTAAAGTGTTTTTCCAATCTCGCAGGTAGAAGTGCCTCCACTGCAGATGAGGGAACATGTTGGCTATGGATCAAGGAGTGGTGGAGGAATGGCTGTCAGAATATAAGGTACCATGATGACTCTTGACTACAATTTATACGCTCTACATGGTTTTACTACTCTTTAAAGCCTCATTACTGTACCTAACACAATTTTTGTTTTTTGTTTTAATTTAACTTCTAGTAATATATGATCATTATTGTATATTGTATATTTTATATTTCAAAACACATTTGATCTGTTCTTATAGTAGCAATATTGCCTTTTCTTGGATATTGAACCTTCAAATATACCTTTTACGATTTTTAAGTCTTCTCCTGATTGGCTGTTTTCACTTTTGCAGACACTCCCAGACAGTGCTGTTTCCTCCTATGCTGCCTCTCTGAAGGACAAAGGCGCTCTGGTCCCTGCACTTTACAAAGTCATCCGAGAGAACTATAGTGATGTATGAGATGACACATTTTTATTCTTTACTTGTTTAATATGATGAAAATAAATGATCCCTTTTGTCAAATGTTAAACTCAGTGTTACAAAACTGTCCATTGTGTGCTTGTAATTTTTGTCTTCAGTCAGTTAAACCATGTAACTATGATGAATATTGCTGTGGTAAACTTCAGTTGGTAGAGCCTGCGTCATCAGCAGAGTGCTCTCCTCCATAGTTTCCTGTCTCTGTTTGCTCCTTGTATGGAGTAATAATAGAATATTTTCAGGCCCAGTAAATGGATTACAGTGTATATTACAGTCTGCATTAGCTATAATTTTCTATATGAAAGGGTCATCATTAAGGCATTAATGCAAATTTCCACTCAAAGTGCCAACCACACGGAAAACTAATCAATATCATGAATAGTTTTATTTCACATCCATTTAAACTGTATGTTGTCTGTGTATTGCAGTTGCTGGAGCCAGTGTGCCATCAATTGTTTGAGTTTTATCGGAGCGGTGAGCCACAGCTGCAGCGCTTCACCCTCCAGTTTCTGCCTGAGCTCCTGTGGAGTCTGCTGTCCGTCAGCGCCGCCAGGGACCCACACACCTCCGGTTGCATAGAGGCCCTGCTGCTGGGCATTTACAACCTGGTAGGGGAGAGGCTAATGAGAGGATGCTCTTTTACAACAAAGAAGCAGTTATTGATTTGTGGTGCACCTGCTCCAAGTACTTAACTAAAACAGCAAGCATCCATATTTAAGTTGTTATTTTTTAAATGTGCGTTGTGTAACTTTTCAAGTGGAGGGTTTGCCAAATGCTTTTCTTTATTGAGATGTTCTTGTTTCACGGTATGGAAGTAAACCTTTCTGTCTTCATAGAGACCAAATCAAGTTACAGCTCAGATCTGTAGAGAGGCAACTCTGCTCACAGTCAGAATGCCTGTTTCTTTTAATGTATTTTTGAGCTGTAAACCCCTTGATAAATTAATGAATAAATAAATTTAATGTGTGTAAGGTAGAGCTGTTTAATGTCATACTGTGGAACATTCCAGGCAGAGCAATAACATATCCATGGAAACGAGTGGGTGACAAACCCCCAACCAAAAAGTTACACTGTGCACCTTTTAACCTACAGTTCTTTTTTCTTCTTTTTGTTTTTGTTGAACTTGTGTAACATTATTATGTTATTAAAGATAGAACATAAACATGTTTATTTTAAACCAAACTAAACTTTACTAATATATAAACTAGCCTTTTAATATTGTAAAAGCAATGTTCCATACAGCTCTTGGCCTAACTGCTTACAGCACTTATCTAAATGAACCAGTTCAGACTGAGTCCCATATAAGGGATTTGGGTTACATGTCCTGATACTTCTCTAGTAAGTAGAGCAGATAAGAATGGACATATTAAAAAGAGGGAAGTGAAATGGCATGACTTTGCAAGTTTGGTATTCAACTGTTTTTTTTCTATAGTCTATCGACAAAGCACCATTCTTTTTTTTAACTTCTTGGCAGTGAATACATTTTTTTCATAACCGTGAAGATTCAACAGTCAAGACCGACATTTTGAATGGCTTAACCTCAGTTACATGGTTTCCTCTTTCACAGGAAATAGTTGACAAAGATGGACAGAGTAAAGTGTTATCATTCACTGTCCCCTCTCTCTCCAAACCTTCAGTGTATCATGAGGTAACCACACACTGGGTTGGATATTGATTTGATTTAATATTTAATTATTGAAACCTTACCCTGTGTTTTGTGCAGCCTTCAACAATTGGCTCCATGGCTCTCACTGAAGGTGCTTTAGCCAATCATGGGCTGGCCAGAGTAGTGTACAGTGGGCCACACTTGCAAAGAGAAACCTTCACTGCACAGAACAGGTAAGAGACTTGGCTTGAGTCCTTGTGTTCACTGCCTGGGCTGGTTAAAGTGTAATACTGCTTTATCAAATGGGCATTCCTTTTGGTGACTGCATCGTCTTGGTTTGTTTGGATGCCAGCCAGAATAGAAACACAGGAGGATTAACAACATATCTAGACTAACACTGTGCTTAACTAAGATGCATCAAACAAATGAGCCAGATTTTATGAGAATCTTTGTGCCAGAATTTGACTCTTGCAACGCAAAGTGCAGGAACTGGGCTTTAAGATAAAAAATATGTACAAAAATAATAAAATACAGCACTCAAGTACAATTATTAGGCTACAAAATTATTATGTACAATAATTGGTTATGCCTATGGTTATATCGTGCAGCATATGAATGGTAGGTATGGCAAGTGACTTTAGTGTATTGTACTTGTGGAGATTCAGGTTATGTCAACAGGGCTAACAATGTTGATTGTACTGCAACTCACTGCAGCAGACTATTTTATGTTCATTTAATTATCAAGATTTTTCTGCTGTTGACAAATTTGTGATGTTCAATTAGTGTTTTTCTTTTTAGATTTGAAGTTCTGACCTTCTTGCTGCTGTGCTACAATGCTGCGCTGAGCTACATGAGCATGACTTCACTGCAATCTCTCTGTCAGCTCAGCTCCAGGTAAAACACTTGCTACAATACACACTTTCTCTTCAGGAAATTAGCTCCATAGACGTGTGGGCTCATGCATGCAAACTCTCATACTCTCACTCTCTTCCAAGAACAAGCTTATCTGATCCTCTTATAGTGTTCAGTGCCACACTAGACCAAGATACACAACATCAATACATGTTCGCATATAAAATTTTGTTTAAAATCTGTGTGTTGATGGTGGTTTTATTGACAACACCCATATACTTACAAATGTCCTAATTATTATTTTGTTTAGAGCAGAAATTGTTTGCACTTAGCTGCATCATCAATGCAAATGATACTTTCCCTGAATGAAGCTTATCTGTTTTACTAATTCATATTTTAATGCTCTTTTGCTCATTGCTTTTGTTGCAGAGTATGTATTTGTGGTTACCCACGCCAGCAGATGCGACGATATAAAGGCATTAGCACCCGTATGACCGTTACGTCAGAGTTTCTGGTTCAACTCATCACTGGGATCCACTATGCTTTGTAAGTGCCCACATACGCCACACTTTGTCAACACTTTTACACACTGTTTGATTTGGTGCTCACTTTGATGTAAATAAATATATAGACTTGGATCCTTGCTTGTGTATGTCTGTGTAGGTGTAACGGTGAAGTGGAGCTTGGATCCAAAGCCCTGGATGATGTTCTGTACAGAGCCCAGCTAGAATTGTTCCCTGAAGCACTTTTGGTGGGTTTGTTTTCCTCTTCTCATCTTTTCTACCTTGTGCACTTTTAGATCCAGAACACAATTTGTTTTGTTTGTTTTGCGCGGGTGCATGTGATTTTGATGCACATGCTGGTTTATGTTTTTGAGGTTTGCTCCGCACACTATGCCGTATTGTTGGTCTGTTTGTGTCGGGAACACCAGAGTGTAATCCCACTAGATTATTTACATGCTTTCCGCTCTGCTAAACCCTAATCCTTGAGGCCTTGGGAGTAGAGGATTGGACCTTTAGTGCACAGTATTGCAATGCAAGTCTATGTACATGATCCTCTGCTTTAAAAAATAAAACTATTAATATACTCTTCATGATCAAATACTCTGTTCTTACTTTGATTTTTAATAATTTCAGACATAACTGACATGATTTAATTTAGGACTGTTTTGCAGCAGGTAATTGCCTGGTCAAAAGGTCTTATGACGTGTCACTCACTCATGAGACCAACCCAGACAAAGAACCACTTGTTTTAAGATTATGGAGTATTAAATCAAGTGTGCAATGGATTGAAATTCTTTGAACTGAGATTGTGACACTGCCCTGTGCAAGGCACACATAGCCAAATCAAACCTCTGGTCTAGTGTCTAAAAACATCTGTTCCACTGATATACTTTCCCTCTACACTATGGACAAAGAGAACCTCAGCATCTTTAGCTCTGTCTTTTGATTTGTTCTGATTGCCCAAACGTATTTCTTCTTCTTAATCATTATGTTACTGTGGCAACTTTCTGTGGTTTTGTAGGTAACATGAAAACTACCACATAATGAATGGTGAGACTAACCTAACTCCTTTTTTAACTGTTTTGGCCTCAGGTGGGTAATGCCATCAAGTCGTCTCTGCATGGAGCAGCTTTGAAAAACAATACAAAAGATGGTGGCAGGAGTATCCAGGTCGAGATCACGCCGACATCCTCCAGGATTTCCCGTAATGCTGTCACGTCCCTCTCAATCAGGGGCCACAGGTGGAAACGACATGGTGAGACACATCACTGAGCTTGATATAATAAAAGAGTTTTAAGACCACAAACACGATGACAGTACATTTTTATTAAGAAAAAACATCATACCAACTTTGTCAATATACCATTGCCAAATATATGTCGAGTTGTCGACCAAGGCAAGTTTTTTGCCTCAACATTCCCAAAACAAACTTCCAAATGAATTCTGTGATTTGAGTACAGGTTGTAGTGTGAACAAGGGGTGCGATTTCATTCTTCCTGTTATGAAAAGTTAAACACTGATGGCGAGGTATCCTCAAAGCCATTAAAATGGCTCTTTCCTGTGTCCCTCCCATTGTATGCTGTTTGAACATTATTCAGTTACTGATTTATTTGTGTCTTTCTCCCATTACATTCACCATCTGTGTCTGTTTTACAGTCAAAATTTGGTTGCATGCATGACATGTTCTGTTTACCAGTGTTTTTGTAAATGTCTGTATTTTATGAACCCCATGCTTGTCAACCAGAGTCCCAGGAAATGAGTATAGACAGTGAGGCTTCGGTTGGGGGCGTGGTCATCCCAGAGATCAATGTGACAAGTGTGAACTGCGAACGCATGCCCAACGGAGACTCCCTGCGGCCCCGTCTTGACGGCGAAGCGCTGTGTGGCACCTCTGAGGTCAGCGTGGACCCCCGAGGTCATGAGGTCATTGCCATGCGCAATCAGGAAGTCAGGAGGCAGAAGTCTGTGAGGCGAATGGTGGAGAATGAGAGCTCTGGGGCCACAGGGAGGAGCCAGCACTAAGGGCCTACCCCCTTTCCCCTGCAACAGTCATGGGGTAATTTAGGTAACCTTGTGTGGGGCGTGGTCTGACAACCTGCATGATTATAATTTCCCACTTTACCTTTTGGCTGGGCTCCACCTTCTGTTTTTCTCAATCACAATAATCCTTTCATCTGCCATGTATAATTTTTAATCATTTATTTTTTGTATAAAACTCTCCTGCTGGAATAACGACAAAACTGTTACCCCAATAAATAGCAACATAACAGCATTTTCTAATTGCAATAAGCAACACTGTCAACTTTTTACATCAGTTAGCCTAAATGTCTTACATTATATAAACAAAAAAATAATACAACATTTACATAAACAAGTGAATAATAAAACCAGTGTGCCATGTTCTGTTCTGTAAAAGTTCTGTTTGGGTGCACAAAATCACCTAGTGTTGCTGATTCGAACAAATGTGTTGATTTGCCCAAAATACAGAGCAGGTATTTGAGTTTCCACAACACACTCTGGTATACCTTACACATTACTACTGGGTTGCGCCTGGACACAGATGACTTCCTTCTGATTAATATTGTGAGGGCTTTGGAGAGATACACAGGTCTGGCATAATTTCTAATCTGGGAACAGGCTCAACATATCCACAATTTATGGGACCTGGACCTGTCTATCTGTCTTGTTTGCTCAGTGTTCACTGGTGTTGTGTTACAGTCTTGACATCCCTGAACATAGTTCGGATGTGATGCTAAGTATGTGCCAGTTTACAATCTTGTGGCAGTGTGTACCCAAAAATGGGCATCAAGTACTTTGTCTTCAAATTAGAATCAAGGAATTATTTGTGTTTAGACGTCTTGGCCTCCCTACACTTGACTATCCCTTGTGGTCTTTCCCAGGCTTTTGCTATCTTCTCCTGCTTTTAAATAATGCATTCTTTATCTTTACCAATGCTGCTGTCTCTCAGAAAGGATTATCTAAGTCTATAAGTGATTCTTTCTTTGCTTGCTGTAAACAATTCAATATTAAGGCGCCACCTGCTGGAAGATGGTGACTGGTGAAGATTTCTCCTCTGCCTCTCAGCCCACCAAAGATGCAATTGAATATCTGAGATACACTTTTTACTGGAGAAACTTTGGGCTAATTGTCAGGGGAGATTTGCTTTATACTTTATACTTTATACTTTATGCTTTATGCTTTATGCTTTATGCTTTTGCTGACAAGTAACTTATTTTTCTCACACTTTCAGACGCAGTGGATTTGGGTTCCCCGGATGAGCTGATGGATATCTCAGAGGTTGATGAAGGAGTGTGGCCAGGAGGAGTGGGACCTGAAACAACACCTACCATCACTATTAGCAACAGTGTGACCACTTTGAATCTTGGGGCTAAAGCTATGAAGAAATGTCGGCTTAGTAGTCGCACAAACAAAGACAAGGAGACTGCACCACAAATTACAAACCGGGCAAACAGTGAGAATGTGGAGCTGACCGTGAAGCGGCTGACCCTCACCTCCAGCCAGTCAGTCCCAAAGGGAGGAACGCTCACCAGTCTTACCCGCACTGCCAGTGCTGTGTTCTCCCGTTCCTTTGAGCAGGTGGCCAGTGGCAATGCTCCTAACACTAACCATACCGCCTCTGAAGCAGGACGCTACTCATGCAGCCTGCAGGAGGAAGGCCTGGGCTACCTCAGTCCCGGGCCCAACCATACACAGCGTTCTCCCAGCATTAGCGTCCATCTCGGCTCTGATCTTTAAAAAATGCTGGGACATTTGACTGCCCACCACATGCCTCACAAAGTGTGACCCTGCACCTGTGATCTGGAACTCCAAGCCATGCCAACTGCACCAACAACCATGTAAACGCTCCTGCTACTTTATCACTCCAGTTAAATGTCTCAATTTACAACCCTGCATCATTTAGACATCTACACTGTATGTCATATCTCAGAAGTCATATATATCACCTGGTGAGCCTGATACAGCAGGATGTCATATGGTGTATTGCAGTACAATTGTGCCACAAAAACTGTTCTCAGCTGCAGCTATTGGGTGTCCTTACAACTCCAAACTGTATTTGACAGTGTATTTGAAGTCACTGCCCTGCATGGCTTTCCCATATACCCATTTTGACAGCTGTCAGTGGGCAAAATGACTGTGAGAGCATGTATGTGTGTATGGTTATGTACTGTATGTTTCTATGTCTGTTTTTAAAATCAAGGCTGCTGATCGATACAATAAATGTATCATCCTCCTAGTGTTTATACGATTTTTGGAGAAATAACCCATAGCAATACAAGTCTTAGTATTTTCCATCTTTTTGGGAAGATTATCTGTGTTCTTTATCAAATACTGCTGTGCTTTACTGCTAAATATACAAAGAATAATTACTGCTAACTAATCATCAGACCTGACATAATGGTGTTTAATGTTTACAATCAGACAGTACCATAAAATAAAGCAATATTAGTTTATTCTGGTCTTAGCACATTTTCCTAATTCATTTGACAAATAAGTAGGTGTAGATTTTGGAGAAGACAACTGTAACATTTTTACATGGTAAATTTTGCACTCAAGAGAGCTAAGAATTGTTTCCACTGTGGTATTTTATTATGATGAATGGTGGGGTTGGATCTGATTTATAGTTAGTTTCTATAAGATGGCTTTTATGTGTGACTTTTTATCCACCTTTTTTTTTACGTTTACATTTTTGGAATTGTAAAGATGTACCAGCCCTAATATGAATAATAAACCCACTGGTACCTGGCACATAGGACTTTTTCTGTAAAAAGCCCCACTGTATTTTAGTGTGAGAAGATGTCCAAAACAAGGATACCCCCCCTTTTTTTTTGACCAGCTGCCACTCCACATTTAATACTGTAATTTGGTGAGGTGTTCAGTTCTGTCTGCTTGTTGTTCCTGTATCTTCATTAGTTGATGTTAATTGGTTATATCCATAATGGAAAATGGCTCAAGTGTGTACATTTGATGTTGTGAAATCAAAACATTGGTACAGACTTACCCTTGTTCAAAGTGTATACCTGTCAGATGTGCACTAACACAGTGTGTCAATCATAGTGTTTCTGTATGCAGGCTTACAGAATGTGCATAAGCTCTTGTACGTCAAACCTTTATGTTGTACTAAAGTTGGTTTATACTGGCCTTTCTGTGTCTGATAAGAAAACACTGATGAGTCCTCTTGGAATAAAGTGTTTGTACATTATATATGCCTTTTTTATAATTACAAAGTCCAATACATATTTTTGTTGTTGAAAAACAGCAATATTAGGCCATGTACAGGCATGTAAGATATGACTCACAATGACTATGATATTACCAAACTATGCGGTAAATACAACAAATGTTTTCAGCCTTATCCATGGAAGTATAATAAGATCTTGAATAAGAGTAAAGATTCTGATTATAGATCATGGACTGTATGACTGTTTTTCTACAGTCTACCTATAGAGGACTGAGACTGGGCATTACCTATACAGACTGAGACTTGACCGATAGATGGCGCCATGCGTTAGAATTCAGTCCTCGTTTCCTGTTCGTCACTTCCTCCTCCCTGTCCTTGCTGCGGCGCTGAGAGTCTCCAAAAAGTACACATGGCTAAACTGAGTAAAGAAACTAAACAGCGGCTGCAGCAGTTGTTCCAATGCGGCCAGTTTGTCATCCGATGGGGTTTCATCCCTACTGTGCTCTACCTGGGTTTGTATTACTGTATTACTGTATTACTTACGGACTGATCTGCAAGTTGCACCTAGCTAGATGGTTATTAGCCAGTAAGAATTGGGTTACATCTATCCTGAGTCCACCTTTTTTTCCACTGGCACGGTTCGCTTTGGGCCGCCTCGGAGCGGGTCTATACCCCCAGTTGAATTGCGTATCCGTGCTCCTGGCACGGCTCCGGATCCAGGGTATGAGTCTGTGGTCCAGGAACAGTGCCTGCTCCATGAGACACTGACGTCACCCAAACATAACTCATTTTCTCTTAACAAATAAAGTCAAAATTGGTATCTGAAATATACTCGTATACTCGTAATTGTATGGCCGATCTCACTGATTCACTAAAAGGCGGTTCATACGTAATTTCACGTTTGTCGTGTTGTGAGACGAAGCTAAAGCTATCATAAACATACGATGACGTTTTAATGTCTCTGTTTGTGATGAATTGGGTTTGACTCTTGTTGGTTGCATTATGCACTGGAAATCCCTTGTTGATGCTCTGGATTACATGTCGACCTTTATACAGTGGCGTTCATCGATAAACAGGAAACAGCTGTTGCATTCGTACTAGCTTCGTTTTGCAGAGCATATTGGCTCAACAATAGGTGTGTAAAATGAGCAAGGTGGCTGAAAAAGCAAACTAAATAAATAGATAAATAACAATAAAAGCAACTGCATCCATCTTCTTCCGACCTCATGCCCTTCAAAGCTCAAACGTATGATGGGCAATGCAGTGCTAGCAAACAAATGCAGTGACGGCTGACTGACAGCTGATTGGACCCGAAATGTTCTGATGAAGCGAGAGGTCTTGTCGCTCAGGAGCCTCCCTCCCTCTTTCTTCGTCTATCTGCTACTGATCAGACAGAAAAGGACCCGGGTGTTGTACAACACAGACACACGATTGATGAATGATCTTGATTATCTTAAAGTAATTTTCACCACAGATCAGGTCAAAGTGTGTAAACTTTATTGTGAGTTCTGAGTTATTTGCTCTTCTGTCAGTCCGAGGTGTGAGGGGAGACAGGAAAATCCGTTTACAAAGTTTGATATTTGCGAGTCGCGTCGCAGGTGTACGACAGCATTTGAAAAGCCAGAAGCGATTCTAAAGTATTTAAAAGTTAATATCTTCGTCATTCTGGGGTCTGTTAATGTAAAATACAAAGTGACAGAAAGATAAAATCCACTTCTGTTAGAATATTTCAGCTGTAAGTCCCTATGGATACTGTGATGACTGTTTTCCTTTCAGACCAAAATAAAAGTCAACACAGCAGGCATGGTGGTGCAAGCCTATGTCATGGGTTTGCTTGGCTAGACCTGTGGCATGCTCAAAGCGAGCTGGGCCACTTGTAATGGAAACACTCCCCAACTGGCCTGCTCCAAGGTAGCCTCAAGCAAACCATGCCAGTGGAAAAGAGGCTAAAATTGCCATAACTAAAAATATAACAGTTTATGACAAGATCAAGATGAAAAATGTATTATTTTATGTTAATCTGCTTTTTGCTGACTGTAAGAGATCTACTCCACAGGGAGCTAGTACCTTCTAGGGTTCAGTTTGGATTTGATTTAAAATTTAATGTTTTAATTTTCTCTGTTTGAATGATTGCACTTTGGACTGAACTGAACTATAACATTAGTTGAATTATCATGTTAGTTGAACAAACTTAAATGAGGGTGCAATTCATCCTTTTGCAGCCTTGTAGTCCTGGGCCTTCCTGGACACATAATTTGCCCAGGTCATGATATTTTGTGTGATGCAGAAGGGTGCATTTTGCTTTGTCATGTTCCCAAGAATCAATTTCATCATACTGATCCTTTCTCTGAAGCTGACCCCCCAAGCAAAAAGGGAAATTAGGTTTTTGTCTGGGCGTTTTTTTGTGTGTGTGTGTGTGTGTGTGTGTGTGTATAATTGCATCATCCCTTGTGTTTCTTGTGAAATGTCGTAATGTATGTGAAAGTTGCATTTGAATCATAGTTTTGAATTTGTTGTATTTCAGGATTTAAGAGAGGAGCAGATCCTGGAATGCCTGAACACACAGTGCTGAGGTAAATTCTCAGTTTATATTAAAAACACAGTTCATTTGTTTAGAGTTTTAGTCATTATTAAGTTACTGTCCATATTTGTTCAATATTATCTGGATAATTTTTTTAATAAACAACCCACTTTCAATGGTTTTATTTCCTAGTTTACTTTGGGGTTGAAGATCATCGCTACACCAGAACACTTCTTATGTTCCACTTTGTAATTGTGATAGTGACCATGTGGAGTTTCATAACCCTTCAGTGTGATAAGACAGAAGCAAGATACATCTGTACAACACACTCTGGACGAAGGATACAGACTGTGATCAATGTGTTTGGACTGTTTCTTTTTGGAAGACGTCATTCCATTCATTCTTATTTGTTAATATTGATGATATAGGATCTTTAGTCTAAGTTGTTTTGTTAAGACATCAAAATTGTAATCGTGAACCTTAAGCAATTTGCTGTTCAAATATGGAGGGCTAGAGAGAATCAAAGACGTTTATACTCAAAGAAACATTAGAAACTAAATTTGAAATCCACAAATGTTCATGTAGATTTATGACCTGTAGTTATATTCAGCTTCCATCTGACTTGCCATACAACATTGTGGGTACTTTAATTTAGCTTAACAATTTAATATTGTGATTTGTGTCTAATAAGATTTTGTCAAAAGAATATTTACCTGCCCCCCTTCTCTCACTCCATAATAAATAATAAATTGTTAATTAAATGCAATTTTTTTTTCCTTTTTCCTTTTTTCCTTTTTATTTAATTAAATAATAAATATGCGTATAAAGCTGTATTACAAAGTATGGATTAAACACAAATATTAAATAAATATTGTTAAATTAAAACTATTACAGATCATTTTGACCTTCTTGATGTAAAAATATAAATTTCATAACAAGGATACTCTGCATCTCATTTTGAGGGTCATATTAAAATGCTATATCCAGGCCTCCTCTCTCTGCGTTTGATGTTGACTTGGGTGTCTCTGAGAAACTCGTGCAGCTTTCTTAGAATATTGTGCGCAAACATTTTTCTATGGAAAGTATCAGAGTGAGCCACTTCTTTCAGGAGACTGTCCTCTTGATTTTTGCTCAGGGTTTTGACTGCATCAGGTTTTCTCATCTGTGGGGTAGAAATGACTTGTGTTAAAACATTATAACTGGACCTTATGCGATTAATGTGTTGTGTTTACAAAGTGAGGAACCTTCTGACGTGCTGCACTGATCAAGAGGTTGCAAAAATACTTAATGTTCGGCAGGCCTTCACTCTCTGGGTACTCTCTCTCCACATGTTTGAGAAGAACTTGATAAACAATCAGACCACGGACAAGCCTCTTCAGGCATCCCTCCTGAAGAGAGAACAAATGAATTAATGGAATATTGAAATAAATCTAATTCACTGAGTTAGGGAAAGTTAAACCAACCATGTTTATCGATGTGTTACGACAGTCCTCTGGAAAAGAGACAATGTTGAAGTTGTCCAAATGTAGATATTCGATTGAGCCTTTGAATTCTTTGTCAAACTGAAAAAAAAGAGCTTAATGTCTAATTCAGTTTAATTCTATAAAAGATCATGGTGGTGAGGGTGCGGATTCACTGGCACATTCAAGTACAGTTGAATATGCTTACCTCTTGTTTGTGTCGATGAGTGGCATCGAGCAGTGCCCTCCACACCGGGCTGTCGCTCAGGAGGTCTGTGGCCCCCTCACCCCCTTCTCCTGAGGGGGCTTCAGTGGGGAGGTCAACAGGCGCTGCAACAGCAGGGTCCATTAGAGCAGCCACCATCAGCAGCATCGAGACCAGAGCAGCATCTGTCAATGAGAGTGTTTCTAATGAATGAGAGAAAGAGGAAACAACCACAGAACATAGGGAGTGGATATACTGACTCATTTCAGGGGCCATAGTCTTTGGCAGATCACACACTAAGTAGTCTGAAGTCCAGAGGGGCAGTGTTCATGCAGTTTCATGTCATTTTATACTCTCCACTGGAGGAATTTCCCAATAGCCAATGCACATCTTATAGTGAGTCTTGATGCAGACTAGGATAAGAAAATGCTAATCATGGAAATGCCGCCCACACACAAAGATGAGATTTAGATTAGAATTAGCATCTTTATATAAAATCATACAGACTCCCTAATCTATATTCAGTCAAACATTTCAACTGGGGAGGCTTGTTCCTGTTGCTTGGTCATTTACATTGCTTTTTTTCATTCTGATAATCAATTTACATGAGTAGATTACAATAACCATGCTGCAAATTGTAGCTCTCCATATCTGTTGATAGCTAAAAATAATCATAATCTAATTACCAAATCTATTATTTTAGCACCAAAATCAAAATACAGAATAAGTCCAAACACGTTAGAATAACTGATATATATTCTGTACAAAACAACTGTGAACAGGAGTCTGCAATATGATGTACACATTTATATCCATTGAAACCAACAATATTATGTAAATAAAGGGATGTTACTTGAACCTAAAGTGTACTCTTCTTAATGTATAAGCTTACGTAACATATTAGTATGTACAGCTGGGGGACAGCACAGCACCTCTGACTGCAACACCGGAGCTTCAGAGGGGACTGTACTGTCATCATTTTTGTTTACCCTGTACATGTCAGACTTAAGATACAACTCAGTGTCTCTGTGTCAAATGCAGAAGTACTCTGATGACACAGCCATTGTGAGGTGTATCAGAATAATGACACAGGGGAGTACAGGCAGCTCACTGAGGACTTTGTAGTTTGGTGCAGGGCTAACCACCTTCTACTGAACACTGCAAAGACCAAAGAGATGGTGGTGGACTTTAGGAGGAGCAGGCCACAGTTGCAACCTTGTGACCATTGAGGGGTACAATGGAATTTGTAGCGAGTTATAAGTATTTGAGCCTATAACTCCACCACAGACTAGATTGGTCTGAGAATACAGACCTGCTTTACAGAAAGGGACAGAGCAGGCCATATTTTCTCAGAAGGCTGAAGTCCTTTAACATCTGCCAGAAGACAGCTGTCTCCAGTGTCCTCCTGAAGTGTCCTTCAGTGCAGTGGTCTACTGGGGCGGAAGGAAGAAGGATACCGTGCTGTTGGATAAGCTAGAAAGGCAGGCTCTGTAGTGGGGGCAGAGTTGACTCAATCATATCTGTGACTGAGAACAGGGCCCTAAACCAGCTTCTGTCCATCATGGATAACCCCCAGCACCCCCTCCACAGCTCCATCACCAGACAATTAATTTTCTTCAAGATCAATAAAGTATTTGTCTATCAGTCTATCTAAAACTGAATAAACCTGTGTTTTGTATGTAGTTTTATTGTAAGATAATATTTAAAACTCACTTCTGGAGCTTTTCGGATGTTGGTTATTGTATTTGTAAATATGGAATCCCTCTGATGTCCTCAGTGGCATCCCCATCATAGCCACATGCAAAGTGGCCACACTGCATCCTCTTTACTTAATTCTAGCTGTGTAATTGTACTTCATTGTATTTATAATCACAGAAAAAACAACAGAACAATAAAAAATTATTTTCAAAGATTTTCACAAAGTGGATTCAACCTTGGATTTGTCATGTTTATTATCACTTAAGTTGACTGCAATTCTGGCAACAGCACATAGGCGTGAAAGAAAATAGGCATTTTTAGCCATGTCTAATAATGAGTTTATATCTACAAAATTTTCTCAAGATTCTGTTTTGAAACTTAAGAGAATTTCCCAATTGTGTCAAGTAGAGACTCTACACTAGATACTAGATACTTGCTATTTTAGGACTGATGAAAGAATGGGAAGTTGAGTGTGGTTATTTAAAACTGTCTTCACAAATGATGCTTCCTACAACTGATGCCTGCAGTTTCTTTTTAGTATAAACCACCCAGTTGAATACGTTTTTGTATATGTTCTCAATCTCAAACAATAATGACGCCGCTACTTGTAGCTCTCCATATCTGCTGAAAGCTAAGAAACAGTAATAAATATAGCTGCAAGTAGCATTGTTCATCCCTCACATACGCTGTGCCCCGCAAACGACACGCCCCGCACTAAACCTAATAACCATAAACCCCAACCATAACTTGCCCCAACCCCAACCCTAGTCCTTACCCTAATCCTAACTCCTGTAAAGCATGGAGAGCTAATGTCATCGCTGTGGCACCGCCGTAAAAATATGACATAGATGTCACTGACCTTTTGGATCAGGATGCCAAAACTGAATTTTGTGCAAAATTTCATAAATGTTTGAAAGACTAAAGTTTCTCCCCCATATTAAATTTGATTTCAATCTGTTGGGGGCGTTAACGCACCAAATTCATTTTTTACACATTAAGTAGCTGTAGGGCACAGAGTTTAACAATTGTTTAAAATTTTTCCCTAAAATCAGAGTTTGTTTGTGCAAATAGGAACAGTTAGTATAAATTTAAATTTTCCTTAGAATTTTAAAATTCTGTGCAATTTTTGGCTCTTCACTTCTCAGAGAACGTAAAATTGATGTCCCACCCCTAGAGATAATGTGATGTCAAAGTGTGAAGTTTACAAAAGAAATGCTGAGTCATGCTTAGCAAATTTATATCCAATAAAACTGACCCTGGTGGAGCGGACAGCATTGGTGTAATAATATTTTTTACTTGTTTTGTCATGATCTACTTCTGTGTCAAATTTCATTTTTAGTGTGTTTAGGGACGCTGATGTGCCATATGTGACAAATCAAAATGACCAAAAGTTAGAGAAGCGTGAGTGTTAACAGTTAGCAAATTTCCGTGGCTTTTTGTAATTGTTCACTGGGTGAAAATGCGTGAGTTGGTTGGTTAGGGGAAAAAAATAATAGCAAGAAAGAATAATGTTCTGATACGAGAGCAAAGTTCCAATTTTTTAAGGCCTAATAAACCTGCATTTTCTCTTTAAAAGCCTTAAATGGTCACTGCTCACTTCTGCAGCATTTCAGAAGTTGGTCATTTTATTTGTAAATATGGAAACCCTCTAATGTGCTCAATGGCATCCCCATCATAGCCACATGCAAAGTGACCACATCACATCCTCTTTCCCTTTCAACATACCAGAGTAATTTTAGGGGAAATGCAGTTCATTTAAATTTTACCAGACTTGTGATGGGGTTCCCATTCATAAATTGGTCATATTATTAAAATTATTGGGGATTACCACTGTGGATATGATGCCACAGAATAAAATTTAGTTGGCCCTTTTTTTTTTTTTTTTTTTTTTTTTTCAAAACAGCAGGAATGTTCTTTGTCAATAATTCATTCTAAAGAGTCTGTCTATATTTAAAAATATTTTATTCCGTTCATGGTCCTAAAAAAATGTTGCTTTTAAGTTCCTGCTTACCTCCACTAGAAAAGGTGCTTATCTTCTAACATCGGACAGCATAACTTTAAAGACAGAATAATAGCCAAGAAGAAAAGAAAATGTGGATCTTTAAAGAAACACAGACACACAACGTTAATAAAAAGCGTATGTAAAATCCTTCAGTCGTTCATAGAATCTATGGCAAGTGGAGAAATTCTGTGTCAATTGGACAAAAGTTTATTTGGTCGAATACGTTTCGTAGCTCATCCAAGTTGCTTCTTCAGTTCTGATCGGAATGTTGGTGGACACTGGATTTTTCCTTTTGCCATGATAAAAGACAAACTGGTGAACTGGTTTTCCCTAATGGATCAGCTTTCAATCAACTTTTGATAGACTGATTGATTTTACCCTAAGCCACCATCTTGATTTCGGTAGGCCAGTGGAAAAATGTAAATGCCGAAATAATGACATATAATAACCCTATATTCATGATGACACAAAATGTAAGACACCGCCAATGAGAAACATTCATGTGTTTCTCGTTTATAGAATCGCATTTCAATTGAATTTCCACTAGATGGCAGCAAAAAAGCAGAGACCAACATCATAGGCGTAGGCTGCAAAGCACATCTAAGACATTTAAAAAAAAATATTGGCATCGATCATTATAATGTAAACCGAGTCTATTCTCTGTTTTCTCTAAGTTCTTTTTGACCAGCAGACCATGAATCGGTCACGTTTAATTTCTGTAGTAGGCCTACATTAAATTGAAGTGATCTCACTGAAAACGGAGGAAGGTAGGTTACATCTAAACCTTAATGTATTTGACTTAAAGACTGACTTAAAATTTTACAGCGTTTCCTCCAGGCATTTACAAAAAAGATATAACCTCCTTGCATAATAAATTGGTACGTATTCCACAGAGCTGGTGTGGTTCATTCAAATACATTGCGCTCAAGTTTGTTTGATTTTGCTGTGTGCGCAGATGCAGACCCGGGAGTGTTGCTCAGTGGCTGGTCTCAGTGCAGTCCCTCTGGGAGCAGCAGAGGAGCATATTTCATCACACAGTGAGAGTAGCGTAAGAAAAAACAGTCTTCCTCTCTACTTTTGCTTCTTCAGCAATCTCCCAGCCCCCACTTTCATTTATTGTGGCTGTCAGGGGAAAGGCACAATAGATGCATCCTAAAGCATATCAAAATTTGTACTTTTTTATGACTGTCGCCTGTATAGATATGGTATATCTACAAAAAACAAACAAACACACACACACACAAAAACAGACATAGCCATAGCCTATTTATAGGGCTGTGTAATTATATACAATTTGTAAAAACTATTTAAATTATAACTAAATTTAGTTATTAAAATGCAATATTCCAATAGAAAATATAATCAGTTAATTATGCGCGCTTCTGTCAGTGTGCCCCAGGGCAGCTGTGGCTACAATAGTAGCTTATCATCACCAGGGTGAATGAATAATGCTGTATGAATGAATGCTGAATGAATGTAAAGCATCTTTGGGGACAGAAAATGTCTGTGAAATAGCTATATAAATAAAGACTTACTTACTTACTTACTAATTCTGTTTGGAGCAATACGTGTGTTAATTTCTCCTGCAAAAGGCACTTATCTAATCTACACTGGGTTTGAGTGTGGCAAAACTAATGAATTATATTCGGTCTACAGGTTCATTTTGAATTTTAGAAGAAATGGTTTGAATGAAATTATTTTCACTTTCAATATAAGCCAATAGTTGTAGAGGAAAACATCTTTTGAGAAGTTGAGAAGTTAACTTTTCCAGATGAAATCTTCTACATGTATCTGCATCAGTCTGTAGGACCCTGTGGACTGTGTGTACACCATACTAATCTACATTTTACAGTTGGTCAGCAAATCTCATTGCATTATGTGTGACTAAGGTCTTTGAATTAGTATAGCCTTATACCAACTTTCTGCACATAAAGACCCACATGCCATTTGTTTATCTCCCTAATTTTTTAGTCTACTTAAATAAGTAAATTAATTCAGTGTTACAGCAGGAAGTGTTGAAACAAACACTCAAGTCCTCAGTTCAGCAGTGCACAGTTTATCTGCTGCACTGGCTCCTCAAAGTGTCACTATTGGTATAATCTCAGTCCCAGAAAGGCCAGTTATCCAAGATAACATTATATCAGGGAGGCAGGCTCACATCTGCACAACCACCACACTCCTCTTGAACACCAAGAGCACCAAATCTTCAACATTTTCTCTAATCTCATGTTTCACCCAGGCTTGTCAAATAGGTTTCTTTGGATGTTGATTTATTCTTGTCAAGATCTGAATGCAAAACCAATTTTATTATGAGACTGTAAAACTCTTTCTGGAGCACACTGCCACTGCAAAGAACTGTATCCCTATTGTTGGCCAGAAAATAGTTAATGGACTATTACACTGGAAGTAAGTCCTGGTAAACACCGTACCCCCCACCCCAAACATCATTCTAATCCAAAATGCAAGGCTCAATTCAACCCATTCTTTAAATTAGTCTATGTTTAATATTTGACACATAATTAATCTACATGACTAAGAGGGACTATAGTTACAGGGATTTCAATAACCACAAATGAAAAGATGCAACTTTAAAAAAATAATAAAAAATCAACTACTGACTCTAGATGAACTAAGAATCCTCATTTGAAAAGACAAAAAAACGCTTTATCACATAAAACCCTGAGGGCAGCAGAGAGACTATCCACCCCCACACACGCTCTTTGTTTACCTATGGAAATGTGAGCCAGGTATTGCGATGACGTAGACAAACGGAGAGCCTGTCCTTGCGCTTTTCTTTATTGTCAATAAAGAGCCCGTTGACTACAGTATAAAGTAAAATGTGAACGTAACTTGGGGATAGGGGCTAAGTGGAAGTGATGCAACCAGCGTGTGTGTAGCGCACCTGTGACCCGCACACGCGCACACCCACGGCACACGAGAGGGGAGCCGTAGGGTGGAGCAGGAGGGAGCTGGCGTGGCGCGCTTTGCTGCTGCGGAACACATTTCACGACTCGGTTGCAGATGCAGGTCGCTGAGAGTGAGAGCGAGGCGGGGGGTAATGGCGACTTGTGAGGAACATTCAGTGGTAGTGGCAGTAGTTGAATCAGCGGGAGAAGAAGAAGGAGAAGACAAGGGAGAGAGACAACTTGCAGACGGACAGTAGGAGAAGCAGGAGGTATGGAGGACTCGGAGCCCGCAGAGGACGGTTTGCTCGCGGGTTTACGCTGGAACAGGACCGCGAGGGACCAGGCTCAACTCAAACATAAAATACGGGATTTGCCGGGGTTACTCAAGCACGGACTGCATCTGCGGAAAAAAAGCGTGAGTGTCTTTTTCCCTCTTTGCCTTCGTCCTTCCTTATTCAGGGACAGTAGACACGGATCTTATTTTACCCTGACACATCTCTGTCGTGTGGGGTTTGTTTGTCACGACCCAGGTGTGTTCATTTTGGCGGCTTTACGCAGCAAACTGTCGCAGTCTATTTCTACGCACCGCGCTTCCTTTGAGTGTATTTTTGGATGTGTTCGTGTGGGATACATCCACGGTCACAGCAATTTCTCCTGGCCACCATCATACCTTCACATTACCGTCGTCAAGGCAACACTGCCCCCACACTCATGCGTCCACACGCACGCTGCAGAAATACCCGCACCTGCATTTAAGAAACGGATGTTCCGTCTTCACTTTACAGCTAGTTAGAAGTTTTGATTGAACTTGGGGTATAATTCTTATATTGTTATCTGACAGTATCTCACGTAAGTAAAAAAAAAAAAAAAATCTTTTTTTTTTTTTTTTTTTTTTTTTTAGGCTAAATAGCCTTTAAGTGTAGGCTATATGAATGTCTTAAATTAAGCTCTTTTTTAAAGTTATGACGTCGCAATCCATATATTATTTTTCCCTACTCCAAAAGTACTCTTACCACATGGGTTTGTTTTCACAATCTCACCTGTCCTGAAGACATCTAGGCTACCACAAATGTTTAACACAGATAAATAAAGATAAGGAATAATAACGAGCTGCTTTCAGGTGTATTTTGCAATGTACTGGCAATCATCACATCAACAACGGTGTGTATTTTTGGCAGTTTTTTATGATTTAAATAATGCAATATTTTTTTGAGTGCTGTCCTTTCTTTACCGCAGGAAGGCTCTCAAGTCTCAATAGACATTATACTTCCCCATTGAGGCTGTGAGGTGTTTTGTCTGGCCGCTGTTGCTCCTCTGGTCCCTTGTTGAGTCGACAGGTGCGGTATGACTGCTCACTGTCATCTCTGCTCATCTTCAACCACGCTGAAAGCTTGCAAAAAGCAGTACCAGACTTGTCTGTGAGCACAGCTCTGCCCAACGGGACTAAAATATGCAGTGTCTGTAGTGTAATGTCAATTTGTACTGAGAAGACTAGCTGCATGTGGAATGGTACCTGTTGTTATAGTAATTGACATTTAAATCTGTCACAGCGGATGCAGCGTTGTGTTTGAAAACATTTTGTTCATTCTAATTCAACACATTGGAGACACTTTGGCTAATCCTTTGCGGAAACAACACTGCTTATTACTGAGAAATAATCTTTCCTTTCAGCTTTTGTCTCCTGAGATGGATTGAGCAAATTGTCACCCCCTTTATGTGACATGATTTGCATGTTGATTTGTATTTGACTGTCCTTCTTGAAACAATGCTTGTCATAAACTGCTAGTCTAGGAAATAAGTACAAAATTTATTTAGACTTTTTCTCAATTTTACAAAGACAATTTTGAGTGAGTACTCTTAAAAATTCTTCTGTATATTGTGCAAAATTGACTCCTGCTAGTTTTAAGCCATGTTATAATGTAGTTGCCTCCTCAAAAACATACCAGTACTTGCTTTTTGTTTCATTCACACATGTTTGAGTAATCCTTTATTATTAGTCTGTTTACATTTCCAAAGCTCAAAATGCTCTGTTCCACCTTGTGATCTCCTGCAGCTTAAATTTCAAGTTAATAACTACCTTTTAACTTTTGTTCAGTAAAGATTGGAAATTCCAGGAATTAAATCATGTTTAAAAACACAGTGGAACACTTCCTGTATTAATGCATGACATCACAAGGTGGGAGGAGCGTTTTCAGTTTGAGTGAAGAACACAGCCTAAATATACAGGGTTTATGTGTTAAACATGTGTGAATGAAACAACACACAATTCCAGGTATGTTTGTTATGAACAAACAACATTATAACATAGATCAGAAAATAATGTAATATGGGCCTTTTTAATCAACATTAATTTGGTTGAGTTCTGGCCTCTGTAAAACTGTTGCTAAAGGCTGCCTGCTTAACAAAGTGCCATCCATTCATCTTACTATATCTTTTGGCACTTCTGATTCCAGTTTATTACACAATCCGATATCAGTTGAATTACAGCTGAGGACATCCTAAACTGTAGGAGCAGAGTGCAGGCTTCTCCCAGATCTGCTGAGTTAATTCAAAACTTGATAATGACTTGCCTACTTCACTTTTGAATGCAGTCTATGGTTGAGTTGAACTGAATGCATTTTTTTGTTTTTACCCTTTATCTTTTCTAGAAATATTTGATCATGATATTTTCCTATTGATTTTATATTGTGTTTGTTTACCCGGCATGTAGCCAATACTCCCTATGTGCTATATAAATACATTTGACATTGAGCTTGGGCTTGGCTATATTGTTCCTTATTCCCATATGAACATAACTATAAAATGTCCGCTTCTTCAAAGTGATTTCGAGTGTGGGTGAGTGCGACAAGGCGTGGGTAAGTTGTGAGAAGGTACAAAGAACTGTGCCAACTAGCTTTTTCTTGCTTTTTTTTCATGCTACTTTCTAAACACTGACATTGAGGGTAGTTTTAGACTGCCATGTAGCAAAGTCAATGTTAAAGCATAATACATATGTCCAAAGTCTCACTGCCATGTAAAATATTAGCATGTTACTGAGGTTTTCCCATGACATTGCATATCATAGCCCTGTTTGATGTTTGCTAACAGGTTTGGAGCAGCCGTACATAGACGTTGTACTTGAGCCATCTGCTGTTTTTGATTCCTGCCTGGAGCGGCCTCACCTTAAAGATCACATTATTGACTGTTGTGACTTGCTTTGGTATTTAATTAATGGTCCAATGTCAACTTTCACGCGCTGAAGAGCTATCAATACTTTGTAGTAAAATTCTAAAAGTAAAACCAAGCCCCCATTGATTCTTCTGCTTAACTGGTTGTTTAATTATATTATTAATTACTAGCATGACACAGTGGCATGCAAATTAAAACCACAGCTACTGTACAAGAATGTGCCATGTCCTTCTGAAAACATCATTCATTGCAAATGTGATTACGAAGTCTCCTAGCTAATATCTGGGAGCACAGCTGATGATATTCCCCTGGAGATGATCTAATTTCTGCATCCTAAGTGCAGCATAATGTGCAGCTAGTGATGTGTTTTATCTCTGCCAGCAACATTTCGCCTCCATAACAGCTTTATGTATTGAAAGAAGTGGGATGAAAGCGAAGGGTGGAGAGACTGTGATGCGTTTTTCGGCTGGAGCTGCTACGCATGCTAACGAGGAGCCAACACTTAAAAACCAGAGCACATTTTAGCAACATTTTCGTTTGCTTTAAGAATTACCAACACTGCTATTTAGGGCTGTCATGATAATACATTTTTCAGTATGATATATTGCTTAAAGGTGCATTGTGTAACTTTTCTGGTACAGAAAACGTGCTTGTTTCTATGGATATGGTCATTGCTCAGCCTGGAATATTCCACACTATGACATTAAACATCTCTACCTTACATTTATTTATTTAAAGGTGGTTTTATAGCTCAAAAATAACTAGAAAAACATTCTGACTGTGAGCAGGGCCACTCCACAAATTTGACCTGTAACTTGGTGTGGTTTGGTCTCCATGTAGATAGGAAGATTTAATGCCATACTGTGAAACATTCCAGACACAATAATAACATTTCCATGGAGAAAAGCATTTCCACCAGAAAAATTACACGATGCACCTTTAAGAACATATAGACGATAAACACAAATGTTGAAACAAATTTATGCCACTGACAAATAACCCTAAAGTAGAACTATTCCCAACAAATGATTCAAAAAGAACAATATGGTTAAACAACTACAATAAAAAAAATAGCAGAATGAAACACTTCAGTAGGTAGTTTGTATTTGTAATGAGTCATAGTCTGGTGATGTATTCAACTCTTTTAACGTTCAATTCTAATTGTAGAACATGGAAAATAACAAAAAGCTTGTCACTACACTAGCATAAAGAAAAAGTATCTATGATGATAAATCTTGACCCCTAAAAATGATCGTTCCATCTAAGATATATATTGAACAATAAATCGATATAGTAATTACAGTGACAGGACTGCTGCTATTACACATATAATCACTGCATTAATCTTTTGTCTTCTGGGGGTAACTAACAAATTATCTGCCTACTTGCATGCAGGCTGAATTAAATCGACTAAATCATTTCTGAGTGATGCTAAAAACTAGTATTGATGCTAGATACCTATCTGAGCAAGTATCTATACTGACAAAATTGGACCTTTACTGAATTGGTTTTAAACTTGTATAAGACCATGTTAATATTGAAGAAACTACTATTGCAACCTGTTGAAAATTACATTATATTGTATAAAGATATGGCAGTATTATAATTCACTGTAGCAACCCATTCAATCCAGTAATTATCATCTCCCCATTGCACATAATAGACAGGAATTACTTTGTCAATGTATTTTACACTCAATTTTTTTCCAAGTAGCACAGCCTTGCACTTCTTTCAATGATTGTGGAATAGCCAACATAAAATCTAACACTTCACTGTACTTAAGGAAAAACCTATATTGATTATAACACATTACACATGATACCTGAAGAAGTCTTAGCTGTTTTGGTTCAGGCAGACTGTTCAAAAGGTGAATGTTCGATTTGCCCCATAGTGCAAAAATGACCGGGTCAGGGTGCACCCCATTCTTCATCTGATGTCAGCTGAAACGGCTCCAGCCCAAGACGATAAAGGAGTATGAATAATACATGAACAGGTATTTAATGATCACAGACAGACAGGACAAAGTGCACGAGGCCCATGGGTCAGTCACTGTGCAGGAGAATTTAGCCTATTTACAACCAAAGGACTATTGACTACTTGGTATTCTGGATTGTGTGAAAGTGTATTGAGGTCGGTAGCTCTTTGAATTGCATTTGATCTTCGTGTTAATACCATTTCAGACATTGTTTTCCACTGCTATTTTATCTTATTTGTGCCTCTTTGTCATTCAGTTAAAACATTAATGACTTCAAATTACGGGCGGGAAACTTGGTGTTAGCCTGAAAATCCAGACGGGCCATTCTCTAGCTTCTACAGAGGATCTGGTTACCGCCACTGTGTTTGAGGTCAAATCTGAATGGTGCCAAGCAATCACATTCATTTATTTCAGGGTTGCATTGTTAATGGAGGTTCTATCATTTAGGACAATATTAACAAAACCTTTTTTTTTTTTTTTTGCATTTTTGTTTTCATTACGTCTTTCCTCATGAGCAGTCATGTTGGATTTGATATGGACAAAGTATTGAAGAAGTGTGTATTCTTAGCCAGGCCATATTTACAAGAGTTTTCCATCTACACTTCTCTAAATAGCTACTATAATCACAACTGAACCAGGGTTTCCAGTGCCTGTAATTAAGAATAAATTGGCATTAAAATTGAACTCTGGTTCTGGAAGTATTTCCATTATTTTTTCCATATAGACTTTTAGATTTTTTTTTTTAATAAATTCTAAAATTCAAAAAGCACATTAGTGCACAAAACGTTTTAAAGAATACAATTATGGGTTTTGCTGTCATTAGTTACCACATATCTGATTAGCCCTGAGCAAACTTTCAAACTTTTCATACACTTTTTTTTTTCTTTACAATATCTATGAGAAAAATGAATGAGAAATTTACTTCTGGAGTGGGAGGTAGGCGGTCACTGTTGAGCTCCATTGTTTTCAGTAAACACTATATTTGAATTGTATCTGAGGGATGTTTATGGAATTTAAAATCTTGCATCTGGTTCCTTTAACAGGAAGTGGTTAGATGTGTGTTTGACCATAACTAAATTAAACAAGGTATTCCGTCTCAATAAACCAATCTCTCCGAAAGTCACTAGGCAGGATCACAAGTCTGTATTATTTTGTATCGTTTTATACAAAAAAATATGTTTGAATTTCTATCAGCTATAATGATGATATAGCAGCCTTAAAACAAACAATGACATTTTTATATCTAACCTTTTGAGCCGCAATTCACTAAAACAGTGTGACTGCGGCATTGGGTTTGTTTATTAAAAAATAACTGATATCTTCTCCATGACTCACTATTATTGGTCCATAGCTGGTTTTTCATGTCCTTGTTTTGACTTCCTTGTATATGACATATCTGTCTAGGAGCTGACAGGAGCTTAGCTTGAATTTGTAAGTGTTACATGGGGCTTGCCAAGAGCATGCCGTGCTATTACTCTTGACTGTGCGCAGCTATCTAATCTGAGTAATCCATTTCTTGTAGATAATGACCCCATCTCCATCTTCCCCTCTCTCTCTCCCCATGCCCACACTTTGAAGTCGTCACACAGATAAGCGCGTCAGCATGCAGGGCTTCTCTATGGCAGCTAGCTATACGTCTCCCCCTCTCTCTTTTGTCTATCTGATTTAGCATTTGGTGCAACAGCCGCTGTGCTCCAAAAAGAGGAAGAAGACAGATTTGTGATACAGTATAATGCAACACCTGTAGCTCTGGCTTCAGTGAGAAGAGAAACAATAGGCCCTCTCTAAAGATCTGCACTCGCCAGACACACAAAGATATGCACAGATAAGATAAGAAAATACTCGCAACAAGAACAAAAGAGAAAGATGATGTTTATTTAGTCTTATGTGCTCAGCTCTGAGTCAGCCAGCGTTTACACCATATGACCTTAAGCCCACGACATAAATGCATGTCATATAATCAAACACTTCCTCATAAATAATCGCTATGTGGATCAAGTGTGTTCCTTATTGTTTTGTGCCATATTTTGTGGCTCTACAGCATTTTAAAAGAAAAAATGCAACACTGTCATTGTGTTCAGGTACTTTAGTGCTATCATTGACACTGACAATATTGTCAGAATCAACAAGGAAGTTTCCTTGTTGATTCAGACAATATTTGTAAGATTTGTAAGATGATAACTAAATCCAAAAGCAAAATCTTGGTGTTAAAGGTGCAATGTTTAACTCTTTCCTCTTTAAGATAGTCTGACTCCTACATGTTCACTTTGCCTGAAATGTTCCACAGTATTGCAGTTAAGTTATCAGTCTTCATGAATTTCATGTGTTTTTGTCACTCATAAGCACACACTCTAAGTGGACCCTCTTCTTCACAGATCTGACCAGTAACTTGACAGAGTGGTGTTGCTTACTTATTTCTAATGAAATGGAAGTTTATCATATACTGTGACACATTTCAGGCAAACCAGTAACATCTCCAGGGAGATAAATAGGTGGCAGATCCTACAAGGCTATGGCAGATGGAAGAAATATAGATTTTTGTGCAAGAAATAGAAAAGTTATGAGTGAATTATTGTCTGTGGTTGTTTTGATTTAAACAATGTTGCTCCATTGTGTCTGTACAAGAGTCTGAAAATCAGTGTAGCTTGTAATGGTGATTAAAACAACATGACTCTGGGGTTGAGTATCTGGAGTATATATATTGTCTTAATCATGAGCTTGTCTCCTCGGACTGATCCTGAGACAGTATCATAGCTCTAATGAGGAACCCACACGTTCCTCTCTAATTATTTCTCTTATTCCATTTTCATCTCTCTGTCCTCCATTCTATCATTCCTCGTCACAATTAAAATAATCTGTCTCCGTCTCACGCCTTATCGTGTCCTTTCTCCATCTGTCATCCTGATATCCAACTGCGCTACATTCAAACTCTTTATTACACTTCTTTCATGAACTGTACTTCTAATTTGATTTCTATATATCTTCCATTTCATTGTGAATCAACCCTTTCATTCAGGAAGCAGGTCCCTGGACAGTGGTTGCACTACTATTGCAATAGAAGTCATTGCAGCATTGGTCTGGTGTAGTTTTAATGACTTGACGTGGTTCTCATGCTAATCAACAGTTTATTGCAGGAGCACATTTTTAGATGAATCTGAAATGTGAAATGCTGTTGATGTTGAGGCAAGAATATGGAAAACATTCATTTGCAGATGTCTGTTCACTGCCAAAAACTTATGCAATCTGCAATTTGACAAAATTGCTTTAGGTTTTCCCATATCTTCATCAAAGACTTCTATCTCTAGCAATTTGTGTCAGTGTAGCTTTTCAGAGACCAGTGATTCAGGGTTGTAAAGTAATAAAAACTATAAAACAACATGGTGTGTGGTTTGGATAGTACTAACTACAGTAGATACAACTTTCAGATAGAAGATCATTTTAATGCGTTAACAAATATGGTTATTTATATTACAATATGGCAGAGGAGTTTTGTAATTTTCTGCCTTCTCTTGGTTGAACTACTTACTTTCATTTTAATTTATTTTATGAGCATTGTGTCACCAGTGGCACCAGTGTCAACGCTTAGTCATCCAGCTCCTCTAGCACCTATTTGCTAATCCATAAAGATTAGGAGTGTGTTCTTTTTCTGTTAGGTGAATTTGAGGTTGGGCAAACCTGCTTAGTTTACAGCTCTACCTCTGTAATGTAAACAAATAAAATTGTTTATTTTTTCACAATGGGATTGTTTTATTGCCTTGGCATTTTGGCTGTCCTTATTTTCAGTGATCCATGTTTGTCATCCTGCTTTTTCAAAGTGTGAAAATACACTAAATGTGTAGAAATCAATTCAGTTCAATATAAGACAAATTTATAATGTTGATCTTTTTTTGAAAATTCTTGTCTTTGTCTTTTGTCATTGTCATTTTTCTGACATACTTTGTTTTGTTTTAATAGCAATCACCTGACACCATACCAGGGCCAAGCAGCGGACCAACTGTGCACAAGGTAAGCATAAAAAATGAAGTCATGTTTTGTTTGTTTTGTCAATACAGATGACATCATTGAGGATATTGCGTACAATTGTGCATACAGAAACATAAAGGGGTCTACACTTTTGACCCTAATGTCCTCAAACCATTATGGCATAAAATATTATTTAAATGGCTAGTATCTAAGGTAAACATTATATTTATATTATGTGCAGCCACAGATTTAATGCTGTACACCAAGCAAATATAAGCTGATTCATACGATTCATAATGTGGCCATACTGGCATGAAAAAGCGTCATCTCGTCAGATCTCAGAAGCCAAGCAAGGCTGGGCCTGGTTAGTTCTTGGGTGGGAGGTGGCAAAATGGGGGCGTCAGGGGCAAAAAAAAAAAAAAAAATGTTGTTGTGTCTTTAGGCAAGACACTTCACCCACATTGCCTTGATGGTGATCAGAGGAGCCAATGATGCAGATTGGCAGCCATGCTTCACATCAGTCTGCCCCATGTAAATCCGATGATTAATTAATCAGTAATAAATATGCCGATGACTTCTCTGTAACAGCATAGATAATAGGCAGTTAATTACAATGACCCATCCCAATGTAGTGATTAGAATAAAAGTAAGAAAAATAAGCAATGTTCATAATAAAATTTAATCATGGACACCCTAAGTCTAATACTATCATACACTGTCCACAAAAAAATTAAAAGGAATATATTAATTAAAACTGACTTTTAGTAACTTTTCACTGCTGGCCCTCTCGGTCGTCTCAGATGGTTCTTCTACCCCATCCCTGTTTATTACTATGTGCAAAAATCTAATGGTTCATGCCCTAGCTAAAAAAATAATAATAATAAAGTATTCTTTTAAGAGTCAATGATGGATGTTCCTCTTACTTCCCCACCAAATATTACATGTAACATGTGACTGAAAGCTTGAATGTTAATTATGCACCACGTGTCTGTGTCAGTCCTGCTCCCAAAGTTTCCCCTGCGCTGGACGAGCTGTGCGGAACGCCTTCCTCTCTCACGGACCATACCCGGCCAAAGACAAGATCCACCTGGCCAGAATCATACGGTAACCTCATCTTTGTGTTTCCAGAGCATAGGGTTAAATCAATGTCTCTGCTGAAGCGTGTCCTGTGACTCATCCTCCTAAATCCAAGTGTGATTGGCCTATCCAGATGTTAATGCTACAGAAAAGGGGCATATAAGGTTGTGTTATTTTGTGCAATTTAACATGTTCAAAATGCTGAGATATAGAAATGCCTTAAAGGTGCACTATCTAACTTTTTGGTTGGGGGACCATTACCTGTTTTTTTTTCTATGGATATGTCATTGCTCTGCCTGGAATATTGCACAGTATGACTTTAAACAGCTCTAACTTGCATTTATTCAATTACAGGCCTAGGTTACTCTGACTCGAGTCAGACAATGGACTAAAACCTGGGACTTGACTTGGATTTGAAGGTCAATGACTTGGGACTTGATTCAGACTTAAGCCCTTGGACTTGAGAAGACTTGATGCTTCTAAAAAATATATATGTTTTCAGAAAATACTTTTCTATTTACAGTCGATGCACGTGGTGGTTAATTTTACAGGAACAAACTGGAGCATGCCCCTCCCACTTCTCTGTTTGTTACTTTGGATGTAACTAAAGTACTATGATATGGTATCCTCAAATGTACTACAGTAATATGCAGTACAATACAGTAAAACAGAGGGAACTACATAGAGCACGATCCTTCCATTTCAGTGCAGACTACACAACAAAATAACTGGTATTAAGCACTTTTAAATCTTATTTTTTCTGTTCTGACTGATTCACACTAGGATCTGGTCAAGACATTTAAAAAGGCAAAATAAGCATCTTTACTATGGCCCCACCGATATGGCTTTTGTTGCGGCCGATATGATACCGATAAAATGGGAGTTGGAGCTGCCGATAAACCAGAACTGAAGCAGGACTGAGTGTCAGGACTCGGTCTCTATCTCTCTCCCTCTCTCGAGCCCACGATTTGTCTTGGTTTATTTATTTTATGCTGAACTGCAGCCAAATATGCACATTTTTTTTTCTATCATATGCACACGCATATTTCTGAAAGTTTTGTTTTCAGCCGCAGCCGCTGTCAAACTACCACGAGTCTGCACGCGACGTCAAGATAAAAAAAAGTGAGAGAAAGAGAGAGGGTGAGAGAATGAGAAAGCATGGCTCCCAGTAAGGAGCAGGTTCCCATCGTTCGCTTCAAAGAGCCGGCTCTAGAATCGATTGCGAACAAAACCCATCACTACTAGCTAGTAAAGAAAGTAAACTACAGCTATTAGCCTTTAAACATAAATGCTGCTCGCCGCTGTAATTAATTATATGCACAAAAGTCATAATTCACACCTCTATTCTCAGTTCATTTGCATATCAATGCAGGTCCAGAAACATATGTATGGCCAATATAGTCACTTTACAATAGACCAATAGAAAACAGCCTGTTTATGTGTGGGAGCTACAGCAGGTAATCGCTAACCAAAGAGAAAGAACCAAAACTAGCTTCAAAACCGACATATTTCCAACACTCACCGCTCACAAAGTCTCCTCCTCACATCACAAGTCTGCACTAATAAATGTCCTTTTAATCCAGACTCAAACCTGTTGTCCATAAAAAGAATATAATCTAAGTATTTCGATCTATGTCTGCATGTGTAATCAAGCGCACGTGAGTGACGTGACTTTGTGGTGTGTTCAGGGACAGTACAGACACACACACAAATGACTCCTCAGATAAATACTGATGTGCAGCCACATATTAGGACATTTATCTGTCTGTAAATTGGATTAAATGAACATAATGTAGAGAGTCTAAGCTTTATAAGGAGGTATAAAATGCCCACGTGAAATATCGGCCCATATCGGCGAACATATCGGCCGATAGCTGATGTGTTTGTCCATATCGGCCAATAATATCAGCCAACCGATATATTGGTTGGGCTTTAATTTCTACAACTCTTACATAAATATACTGTGACTTTTTAAGTACAGTAGCTTAAAAGTCATATAAGTAGCAAAAATCTAAGATGGTTTAAAGACTTGAAATGACTTGAAGCTCATTGAAGATGACTTGGACTTGACTTGGACTCATGAGCTAATGACTCGAGACTCGACTTGGACTTGCCTGTATTTGACTTGGGGTTTGACTTGGACTTGAGGTCAAAGACTTAAGACTAAAGACTTGCAAAACAATGACTTGGTCCCACCTCTGATTACAGGTGCTTTTACATCTGAAAAATATCTAGAAAGACAGGCATTCTGACTGTGAGCGGGATTGCCTCTTCTCAGAGCTGGCCTGTAACTTTATCTGGTTTGATCTCCGTGAAGACAGAAATATTTAACACCATACTGTGAAACATTTCAGACAAACATCTGCATGGAAAAAAAAGCATTTGACGGACCCTCCACGAGGAAAAATGACACAATGCACCTTTAAATATGAATGGAAGTAATTTTTGCCAAAGTTGCACTATGAACATTTTCAGGTGGAGGATCTGTACTTGCTTGTCTCATGAAAATATTTCACAGCATGGTATAAAACTGTCTATCTTTAATTTATTAAATTTCAGGTGCTGGTTTGGTGGTGTCTCCCGCTTGTCTCCATGGAGATTGCTAATTCTTTATGCTATTTTTTATGCATTTTTTTGGGAAGGTTCCAGGCAAAAAATATCATCCCCATGGACCTTTTAATCACAGGTGCAAGGTTAAAGCAACTGACTGACTGGTTGAAAAAATATATAAATTTCAGTTTGTTAATTGGAGTTTACCAATGCTAAATATAAAATAGATATTATAAAATAAATATATAAATGTTGCCAATATTAAAAACAAATGGAGCATTGGGGTTCATAAGCTGCAGTGGAGCTCTCTGTAATTACATTAAGTCCTGACAAAAAGTATTAAGTGATTCTAAAGAAAAGGCTTGCAAAGCACAATCGATACAATTGAATAAAGAAGTCAAGCGTGGTGCCAAGGGAGCAAGAGTGTATCCTGGCATCTGTGTGTCCAATCATGTCCAATGAGAGGGTGCATTCTGAGTTTGTCCATGTGTTTTTCTGTGCAGACGCAGCTATGTGGGCGTGGAGCTGGTGCAATGGTTGTGTGAACAGTGTGTGTATGTGCGCTGCCGGACTACCGCGGCGCGCGTCTGGCAGGTGCTGCTGGAGCTGGGGGTCCTGCTCTCTGGTAAAAACACTACTCTCGCTCTTTCTAATCCATATATCAGTGCCTTGTAAAGTACATTTCTTTCACTAAATTGTTAGCTTCCAATAATTTTTTATATGGCCAAAAAATAAGTGCCTAGTGGACTGCTTTGAAATGATACGTTTTAGTATAATTTCTAGTACTGTATTCCATTGTAGTCAGTGAATCAGTAATAAAGAACATTAGGTCTGCTAATTATTTTATTAGTATCATAATGATTTATAAGCACAACAGCAGAAGGGAGAATTGCATGTAGTGAGTTAGCTGGACCTCTGAGAGCGACTGGACAATTTTTTCAAATTTCTACATTTACATTACATTTCTATTTAGAAATTACAATAAATTCTGCCTGAGTATAAGTGTTAAGTGTCTAGTTTGCAGTTTTACTTATAAATTGTCCCATTTCCCATGAAAATATTAGGTTCACGCCCCTGTTTTGTGCGTCTCCACAGTGGACCATCGTGTGGTGTTTTCAGACTCCAACACGTACTACCAGTTCAGTTTTGAGGAGTGTGATTCTCCGTCTTGTGAGTTTCGCTCTAATGAGGCGGAGTGGCCAGAGGCAGTTCGGCTGCTCCTACAACTTGCTCCATATGTCCAGTTCCGATCAGGGGGCGGGACAAACAGCCCGTGAGTACTGTTTTTATCCAATCTGTAATATGAGAAATACTCAAGACCTCAGAGAAAATGTGATGGATGGAATTGAGATAAGAACTGGCTTTGCTGCTGTGGCAGAGATTGTTAAAACATGATTACACTTTATTTTAAAAAAAGTGTTATTCAAATTATATAAATTTTTAACAACTTACCAACAATCCATAATTTCTTAATATATACATTTTAATAGAAGGTATTATATTATGTTACATATATTACAATGTGCTTGCTGTATGAATGGCGTACTGTACAATGAATCAAATTTGAATTATTTCTAATCATCAATGATATGCTCCAATCCAAGTCTGTCAGTAAAAGCACGTAGTTTGGAAGAAGAAATTTTACTTATTTTTTGTTTGAAATGTCAATGATATTTAAGGGATTAAAGTGAAAGCCATGTTTGTTTTTAAGAAGACAGACTAAAATCACATGATCACTCAAAATGAGGGAAAATGTGGTTTGGTATTATTTGGCCAGCCTTATATATTTCATGTCATGTCACACAGTAAATACTGCAGTAAAATATTTTGTAGACTTAGTTGAAGGCCCTTTCCCATCTGAATCGGTGTGTCATGAGTTGGTCGGTTTGGCCTAGTTGTTGGACGCGCCCATGCTTTCTTTGACCTGGAATAAGAGGCCCATCGCACTGGAGAAATACTGTATCAGAGCTGAAGTGACAATGCTCCATTTTGGTTTGTGGTCGAGGTCATTTGTCTGTCTGATTTTTTTATTTTTTTTTTTCAAATCCTGACATGTAGTGATTGTGTCTGATTTGCTGGAAGTTTCTTGTGAACATTTCTAGCACTGTAAAAAAAAAAAAAACTTTCCTGTCTTCTAGATGTTACTCAAATCCCTAGAAAACCCTAATCTGTAGTCTGTTAAATCCCCTATCTGCTTACATAAAAGACCTGCATATGCAACACCTCCTTATCCATACCAGACTGAACAGACACTGCGGATGTGTACATGCAGGAGGTGTGAGCCAAAGTGCGGCCCCTGTGTGGGACTCCTGCTGAGACTGTCACTGGACTCAATCTGCCACTCAAACAAGAGGCGGGAAGGTGTCAGAGTGTTTTTGAAAAAGAGCATTCAGAACAGCGTATAGTGTGAAATATGTCAACATAACCATCTGTGAACTTCAAAAGATGCATCTACAGACACCAGCCAGAGACCATGACAGCTTGGCTTGTACATATGTGTCATGCATGCATTTTAATAGACATGTCATGCATTTTGTTCCTCGATCTGATTATATATTATACTTTTTCATGACACACTATGCATGCCGGCTAAATCAGTTTTCACACATGGTATAATTATAGTTTTTATTTTTGTTGGCATTTTGATGACAGGCTTTTTCCCATTCCCATTGAGAAATTATTAACCCTCTCTCTGTAGCTGCTGCAGTGGGCCTCATCATTTTGTTCTCAAAATGTTCATATTAACCCGCTCTACATGATCCTGGTGTTTTTATTTCGCCATTTTGGCCATTAATAAATTCTTATTGCTCTGCTCCAAATTCACCCTGTAACCACTAGCATGTTAATAATTGTTAAATCCTCATCTTTCTTCTCACAAGATTCGTAATTCCTGGACATGACATAGGAGGAAAAAAAACAATTGATTTATTTAGAAATGGCAAGTATTAAATAGTATGCAAATATGGGTGACTCATAATACTGAAAGGTCACAGATGGAAAGACTATAACATTTTTAACAGCAGCAAATTCAACTGAAATCATAACACATGCACAGTTTTCCTTTATGGGTTTAGAAAACATCTCTAATTTGAGGGAAAAGGAACAAACCACTCATTTTTTATTGTACATTAACTTAAGTTTTTGGATTGTTTCTATTTACAATAATTATCTTGTCTTTTATTTGCTTCTTTAAGTTCCACTCAGTCTATTCTATCCCACCACATTTATTAGGGGAATGCAGAGATGAAATTGTAGCATGGGTTCGGAGCTTGCACCCTGTCTGTCACTTTCACTGTGGTGCTGCTGCGTGTGTCTATGCTCCTCTGTCACACCATTATTCCCCTGAAGGCACCATCTCGCCTTCTCCCATTCCCACTCCACCCGCTCTTGTTCTTGGTGGTGAAATTATCCTAGCTGAGAGAGGAGTTGGCAAGTCTAGCTCTAGTCTTACAAAATCCATTGCTGCGTTACAATAAAATGAGATGATAGTACTAAACAGTGCCCCATTTAATTATTTCGTCAGTATTGTTATGTATTTTGACAGCAATTGTAAACAAATATTATTGTAAGAGGTTTGCATAAGGGGCTCTTGGTATCCTAGTAGAGGCAGTGTCTGAGCATAAAGCTGCGTTCTTATATTGCACACATAATTTTCCCTTTTATGCTGCAAAAATTTTAATTTAAAAATCAAATTCATTATAGTTTTAAAGGGCAGACTGGGACAAAAGCATTAGTTTGGTACTTTATTTCCTCTGTGTAGCGCTATTAAATAAACAATCTGTAACCAAAGAGCTTGCAGCTTTGGAATGCATAAATGCATGGAATAGATCTTTGTGCTCAGCACTGAATCGTTTTAAATTAATATTTGAAAATCACAGACGCTGTGGTTAATTTACAAGTTGAAGCACTAGTTAAATAATAACGCCGCAGAAAAGGAATAGTTTACTTTTTAAATTTTCTTTTACACTAATCTGAAATAAATCTATCTGACTTCCTGACTACAGAAGCCAGAGTGTGGAAAGTCAATTTATAATGCATGAAATTGTGAAACGACTGAGAAGTGCTCTGTTAAACGAATGCACTATTATCATGAACCTGTTCCCATTTGCAAGGGTTGGTCTACCTTTGTGTCAAACGGGATTGCTTTCACATAGGGTCTCATCTTATCACAATCTCCACAGCAACTTTTATCAGATTACACTGTACTCACTCAGACACAGCCATCTGGCTGTAGCACTCTTTCATCCTCTCCTCCTCACAACTATTACTTGTACCAGTGGGAGCTGTTGATAAAATCCAAATTATATGCAAAGTGAGTTGTGTGTGTGCTGGAGAGGAAGGAAGATTGTGTCTCCTTTTTGTGTGTGAGGCAGTACGTAGAAAACCAAGCACTTCTAAGCGAAACTTATTAGATCCATGGCCCTGGGGTGCAGTCTGCTGTTAGTGGAGGCAACCTTGTGTTATTGCTGTGGGAATAATGCAGAGTTTACCCCAAAACAACCACTGGTTTCTACAACAAACATTGTATAAGACAAATGTATTAGAGAGGGAAGCACTCAGGCTCCAAATCTATCACAAGATTAACATGTCTTTCTACATGAAGAACACATGTACACACAGGCGCCACACACACCCCCAACATCAATACAAGGGTGTGTCTGGGAGCTATTTTAAATGAAGCCACATAAAAGAGCAGGGGGTGCACACAGAGAGCACAAAGACTGGAGAACTTGAAAGATGAAGGAGAAGGAAAAGCTGCAATTACTATTGATTATTACTATAGTAACACCATAGTAGTGTAATAGTACACTACATTACTACTGAATATGTGAATCAAGCTATCAGTAATCCGTAACATAGTGACTTCTATTGAAGTTTAACAGGAAGTGGCCACACATCAGCTCTTTGACTGCAGAGCTTTTTTTATGTAACCAGGGGGCAGTGTAGAGAAGGGGAAAGGGATCACTGTTACACCTTTCACTGGAATGCTTCATTATAAATGTATAATTTCATATATATACTTATTTATCAGGTCAGAGGAAGACTCTGAGGGCAACAGGGACATCTGCGGAGAGATTCTTCAGATGAAAGCTCTGGAGAGGCTTACCTCTACAGTTAGTTTCATTTTACCTGCATTATTTATTTATTTTTTTCAGTTTTACCTTGAATACCAATAATTGTATTTTTTCTAATTAAATAGGTACAAAGTGAACTGGCTGCAGCTCTGGCTCGAAAGACTCGTAAAGCATGTGCGTATACCTTATATAAATACTGCTACTTCCCTCAGACCTCAGATTTATTAATGCCACTTCTTGTAATTTTTTTTTTCAGTATCAGAGCAGGACTCTGAGACGACTGAGACGAGCCACCAGGAGGCACGGACACCCAGTGAAGAGAGCAGCCCTGTATGTAACACAAACTGCAATTATCATTTACCCACTCATCAGCCTGCCCTTTATTTACTAATACATTATTTATTTATGTGAAAAATATACATTAATATTGTGACTGTTTGAAAACTAAATTGAAAGACCCATGTGAGTGCCACACAAGTGCACACCTCTGTGAGACTGCTTGTCTCAGGTCATTCAGTGCAAACGCGTGCAGCTACTTGGTGACTAAATGTAGAAAGCAGGGCCAGCATGTTCTCTTTGGGTGCTGTCTTTGTGCTGTAGAAATGTCTGTTTCTACATCTATTATTTATCCTCTATGTACACCAGAGACAACTGAGAGCTGCTGGGAATGGAGCAAAAATATTTTCTGAACACAGAGGACATGTTAAATTTTCATAATAAAAGTTTATTTTAAATAAATGACAGAAACACTCAAATTATGTTCAAATAAAAATAGGTGGTTAATATTAAGTAATGGTTAAGAAGTTTTGTTTGTTTGTTTTAAAGAAGAATCTTAATATTGTAGTTGCACTCTGAAAATGAGAGTGGGAGATGGGGCTGTTACTTAAGGGACCACTACATTTGCACAATTTATAGAACTGTTTATCTTGAGCTTTGTGTCTGTAAAAGGAAACAGACATGAAACTCTGCAGCTCCTGTCTCAGATTAGAGCACCGGCTGTCAACATTTCCCATCAAGATAAAATATTGTGTGGGAATCTGTCAGTGCATATGTTCAGTGAAATGTACGAGCAATTTTTATTTAATAATATTTAGAAAACCAATGGACAGTTTCTTTTACTATTTGACACATTCACATTTTGTATTAATGACATGAGGACATTGCTTACAAATTGTCAATAATATGAAGAGTTAGGGGAGAGTACAGAATTTCTTTTTTTCTGACATATTCATTAGGTTAGAACAGAAGCTTGCCATAATCCCCTCACAACACCTTTCTTACTTATGTTGAATGACCTTTGTATGGGTCAGAAAATGAAATAACACATTTGACCATCATTATATGCTATTGGTGTTCAGGGGTTTTACAGGAACACATTACCTCACTTTGAGTCAAATGAAAGCACCAATACCTCTGTTGAAAGGAAAATAAACAGACCGGCTACCTGCCACTGGCCATAAACATCACTCTAGCAGCCCCCAAGAGAGCCACCTCTGCTGGCTGTGTCGCCCGCTCTGTTCAAGGATAAACCCATTAAGTGCTCTACTACTCTTTATTTCCCTGTCAGCGTTGTAAATGTGTAGTCTTCCTCTCAACGCTATCTGCTGTGTTTAATTTAGAGATCCGCACTATTGTACAAATTGTTTTGAGGAGGAGACATGGATCTTACTACACAGTACACACCCCTTCATGCCCCATCCCACACAAACTCCCGCCCACTTCTACCTCTAATCTGTCTCTTGCAGTTGTTCTGACACAGCAGTCCACAATGAGAGGTGTCCAGATATGGAGCTAGTGTAATGGATACACACTCCCAATGAAAAGAAGATTGAAGGCCTAAGATTTCCAACCAAAAAAAAGAAAATAAAAAAACAGTTCCCTGGATCTAACGTGTGCACAATGTCTTGGGACTGTGGGTTAAGGTTTGTGTTCATGCCCCCTGTGTTACAGCTGGGGGGCGTGTGCACATTACGAGATGGTGGTGGTGGCGGCAGTGGCATGGGGTCGATGTGTGGGCGCGAGGAGCTGACGAGTCGCCTTGGACTGGAGGCCGTTCAACGCTTAGCCAAAGATGGATGTAGACTGCTGCAGAATCACAACTACAAACTGCCAGAGCGAAACCCAACAGTGAGTATTCTTTCACACTATTCGTCCTGTGAAAACTTTTATATCATAGTGCTAAGTAGGCATGATACAGTATTGAAATTTGGTGTCATGATTATCATGGTTAAAAAAATTGTGATTAACGATTATATCACGATGATTATAAAGTTGCTGACATTATACTTTAAATATGGAACTTATTCATAATATTAAAATAACTGATATATAATTGTACTTTCTTATAAGTGAAAACAACAATGATCTAGAATAACACATCAAGGATAAGGAGCTTTTTTCCTGCACATTCTGGTGATAAAAAGGCGATTATCTTTGCTGGCAATTCTTCTATGTAAAATGTCACACAAATGATTGTCTACCCTTCTCATCACGTTAAATGATATTATTGTTTATTGCCCCATCCCTAGTGCTAAGTAGGCCTGTCACGATAATTACTATATTGACTTATTGTTCAGTATATGAAAACTGGAACAATATAGTTTGAGGCTCAATATTTATTGTGTGTACAAGTGGAGAAATGTGGGGGATTTTTTTGTTCTAATACCAAAATGTGAGCTTTACAAGGTTAAATAAGTGACTTATATGTCTAATTATTGGTTAAATAAGTGACTTATATGTCTAATTATTGGTCCTTATTGTTGTTTATCTGTTGCAGCTCATGCCTTTTAATGATACTGTATATTTAAAAATGTGTTTACTGGAATTATCCTGTTTTGTTGTCACTGTGTCAGGGGACATAAAGTAGCTCCAATATCTCAGTGTATATCTGTAACAATATAACGTTCTTCAAAATTTATTATCGTGACAGACCTAGTGCTAAGTCTTATGCTACAAACTGTAATGAGTTGAGGTTGTATGGTTTGGGTGAGTGTTGAGTATTGGACGTCACTGTAAGGTTAAATGTGTAATTACCTCTGCAGTTTGTAAGTACACGCAAAGCGCTCTCACACCTCAGGGCTGGCTTACTCAGTTTTGGGTCAAGTATCATGTGTCATCAGGTCACACAGGTAGACGGGTAATAAGATGATCTAGTTGCCTTTGCTTTACAGTTCAATTGTTAAGACATTATTACAAAAATGTTTTGTTTAAATGTTTCTTTAAAGGTGTAAAATATAACTCTTCAGACAGGGAGTTGGTCCGCTACCTGCTTTTATATATTTGTTTTTTGCTGTAACATACCATTGTAAACCTGCATTCTTAGTGTGAGCAGGTTCACCTCTCCGTAGATCTGATGTGTAACTTTGTCGTGTTGCATTATTTGCTTGTCTCCATGAAGATGGATAAGTTTAATGCCATTCAGTGGATGACTCTAGGCAAACCATTAACTTAGACTTTGACAAACATTATTCATTAACACTGAGAAATTATTTGGACACAGCAGCTCAGACATCACATTATATTATAATAAAAACAAAAATATAAAGCTATAAATGGTAATAATAAATTGGAAATAAGTAGATATAACAAGAGACTGGTGTCAAATAAGGCATAATTATACAAATGTTATGTACAAGTAACAATAAAATATTGACATTTAGAAATGCAAAATATATCTCAGCTATATACAAGTTGTGGGTAAGGAGAAACAGTGCAAAGATGAAATAGTGATTGATATGATATAGTGTTATCTATTACATAACGGTGAGTTCCTGTACAGTTGTATGGAATATGGCATGACTGTAGTCCTGTATCTCTCCCTGACATCTTATTGGAAACATCTGGTAGCTGACCTTCCACCAGAAAACATACACAGAACATCTTTACATTTGTTTTTATCTGTGGTTTTGCCTCCCTGCTGTGTGGACCCAGATAAACATGCTGCTTCTGTCTAGTGGGACTGAGATGATTTGCGTCACTTATGTTTCAACAGCACCCAAACCCCAGTTACCCACTCACTTTTGCACATAATCTGGTTGTGAAAATACACCAGTGCCAGTACTTAACAGCCCAGAAGCAGCTGAGAGTCTTGCTTGAATTAGATCTCTGACCACGTCTTCTCATGTGGGCATTAATTATGGTTTAGTGCAACGTGATACTCATTTTATAGACTGTGGAGGAGCAGGCATGACTGGTGTCTAGGGCTGTTTCTGTACGTTTGCTGGCTGTGGTTATTCATGTGTGGGTGTCCTCATGGTTGGCTGATGTGAACACATAATGAGGCGCGTGTTAGTGAAGCACTGTACTGTAAAATCTTACTACACCTGAAAGCAGCCCAGCCAAACATTCTCAGATTCATATGTGGAATCATGCGTTATTACACTTTGGAGTGGTGCTATTTGGTAGTCTGTTACATAACTTTGTCCTACAACACTGTTTTGCCTCATGTCAACCTGACAGGAATGACCCTAACCCGAAACTTTACTGAGACATTCTTTTTACTGTACCTTGATACTTCTCTGAGCTGGGAAAATCTGCCTTTTCCTACGCAGCACCACCATATTGGAATCATCTACAGAAAGATCTTAAATTTGTGTAATTTGTGGTGTAGCTTGATTAGTTGAAGAAATTTGTAATAAGTGCGTGACCGAGAAGTGTATGTTTTTCACGAGAGGGGCAAATAGTTTACAATGTCATATTTTGTGATTTTACTGTTTAGTATTGATTGTGTTGGCTGCTACCTTAGCCAGGTCTCTGTTGAAAAAGAGATTCTAAATATCAGTGGGATCTCCTGCTTAAATAAAGGTAAAGTACAAAAAATAATAATATAGAATTAAATTTTGGTAATCAAACTCATAGTAGCATAAACAGAAATAGCTGTATTCATATTGTAAACATAAAAAGAAGCACACAGCGTGTTGCTCATACTGATATGAAATTGATTAGTGGGCAAATGACTGATCATGTAGATAAAAAGCAATTCTAGTCAAAAAAATTCTGCACCAGTTTAGGCTGGATAATAAAGCACAAAAACCTGTCTCTTGATATGAAGTCATCTCTTCTCTTCGGTCCTTTCTTTCTCCCTGACAGACAAGCTGGCTGTTTCCATAGTGATGCATTTGAACAGTGTAGTGCATGAGAAGACTTGGTCATTGTCCTCTATTTTTAATTCTGTTATAGCAGGCTGCATATGGCACAGGAGTCATCCAGGACAAGGAGATTAGACAAGGGCATATGTGAAGCCCATGTAATTTCATAATAGCTGTGAATTTTAGCCATCACTCCTAAAAGTGTTGGGTTTTACATGTAATTTCCAGGAATGGTGCCTAGAGCTATCACAACAGAGATAGACGGGGAAACAGGACTGAAGCAGGAAGGAAATGGAAAGTGCTTCCTCTGGGCTTGGGACCCACCTTTTCCTCTGTACAATATGTAATTCTGTGTGGGAACAAGTGCAAGGCCAAGGGGACCACATGGAGAGGCCAAGTAAGATGGAGCTCTTACATAACGACAGAGTGAACCACCATAAAATTAATTCTTGTGTAGTAGAAGTGATGTCAGAGATGGTTGATATGGTGCAGTTTGAACATAAATTCAAACCTGACTCCACCTGTCACACAGAGCATAAGGGATAGATAATATGTCTGCCAGATATTTGCACTGTTTTTTTGTTTTGTTTTTTTTAATCTGCTTTTGGTCGACCATCTGATCCTGACACACTGTACTAAAAGCGCACAGGACAAAATCTGACTGTAGTACAGTATACAAGGTTTCTGTAGAAAAAGTAAAAAGAGAGCAGAGCAGCGTACTGTACTGACAGTAACTGTAATTTCAGATCCTATTATTTGAGACCCATATTGGATGATATTTCGAGAGACAGGCTGACCAATAGAAGTGGCTGGCATGATAGTGAGCATAGTGCTACATTAAACAGCAGAGCATTGATTAACTATCCCTCCAGATTCGCAAATTGCTACAGGATCAGATCATTTTGAACATTGGGCACAGTTTACTTTTTGTTTGGTCCTATACTTTGATTAATGACAAAGATTTGTACCCACAATAAACCTGGATTGCATAGGCCCATTTCCCCTCCAAACAGGTTTCTGTGTAGCTTCATGCCTGTCTACTTTGTGCTGTATTGCTGCTTATGAAACACACTATTTTTACACATTCTTTCCACTGACTGCTGGTCACTGCTCCTTGTATTATCTTGTTTTCATGTTCCTGTCTCCCTCCACTCTGTTTTTGTTTCTCCCTTTCCCGCGCCATCACCATTGCATAACTGCATGACCCTTCGTCCTAATTCTTTTGGTACATTTTCTTTTTGCGAGTTGCATTCTTTCACAGGGTAAATTACTATTTTTGTGCATTTACACTACCATATGAATAGAGCCTCTCTTTAAGATCTGTATCACTAAGGCACACTATTTGACTGTGTTGGCTCATTATTATTTGTCTCAGCAAGTACCTTATCTCAGGTAATAACGGTTTGTCACTGTAATACACTTTCTTTAGTGTAATTTGGTTGCATAATACCCCAATTTGAATAGAAGTGTAAGTAGTGTAATTAAAGAAAGAAAGAATGCCTAGGTAAGGGAAGAGTCTTGTGACAACATGTTCTAGCTTGATTTTTTTTTCAACCTTCGATGACATGCTCTTCAGGTTTTGGCTTAGTTTGAACTACTTGGGTATCTTAGGTATCTTAACATCATTTGGGCTGTGGGGTGTGATTCAAATCCCAAATGTAAATAATGGTTAGTTTTCTGCTGGCTTCGTTCCCAACTGTAATCATCATCGCAGGGGATTTAAGAATGAACTCAAAATGAAATTGCAATTGGAATGTTTTTCACAAATTGCAGGCTGTAATTATTTAAGTAGTAAAATAAAATATTATTATTCCACATTTAATTCTGAACAGAAGCTAGTTATGTAATCTTGTGCCTTTAAGCCTATACCTACTTCTGAAATAACCAATTCCCACACTTTAACTTGAGCGGAATCCTATGAGATATAATCGTCTATTCTTTTCATCTGCCAATCACAAAGAGCTGACCTGTTTGCTGATGCTCATGCTACTGTGTAACATCAAACATAGCATCATATTATCTTAAAATAAATAATAACTCCTGAAAGAAAGAAAGGACTCCTGAGAAAGCTGTGTATATTCTTCATTACGTCTTCATTACTTCTTCATAGCACAAAGTTTGCAGAGCACATGTGGTGAAGACTGTCACTCCTGTCCCTCTCATCGCGCGCTTTTCTTTCACTTTGATCTTGCGCTCTGTTCTCCTCGGGCTGTTCCTATTGTGCTGCTTTGTCCATCTGGAGCCTCGTTCCCATTGTGCCATTGCTGCAACTGTGCACTAAAGTCACAGATCATGTTGCCATTCTGTTTTTTCTAAAACGAGGATATAATTTCATCTTGTATTCAATCTGCCCCCATTATCTATGACATAATAAGAGTGTAATTGTGATGGGAAAAATTAACCCATCCATGATGCTGCGCCAACATAAATATTTTCTTTTGAGCTTACTGCTAAACATAACATTAATCTACCAAAGTCTGGTGCAGGGGCAATGCCTTCAGTACTGCTGGCCGGCTTCAGTTTTTAAGAACATATTTTTTTAATTAGTGGTTTCTTGATCCTTTGGCAACAACACTTGTAAATGTAACTAAAAATGTATTTGTAGTTATTGTGGGTCTAAACGTCAATGTGGGAGAGGGGAATTTTTATATATTTTTTACTTTAATTGAATGTAGTCAGACTGGGTTGTGCAAATTAAACTCAAACCTGAATCCCCAAATTATGTAATCTCATACGACCCTGCAAGGGATTTGGCTGTATGCATTCTTCACCATTGTGTTATGTTACATGTCCTAGTAGTGTAATAGCTGACTTGCTATCTGTTGAATCCCTTGGTGACAGCTGTGCCTCTCTCTCTCCCCCTCTCCTCAGGACAATGTGGGTCGGGTGTGTCTGAAGGAGAGGGGTCGTGACGTGTTGGTTTTGCGGCGCGTGACGTCATCGGTGACATCACCTTCGGACCGGCCCTCGCCCACCTCCACAGGCAGTGGATCACGAGAAGACGACAGCAACAAGAGGTTAGTTCCCAGCTTTAATAAGAACCTTTAACACCCTGCTTCTGCTGCTCATGTATAATTATGGCACTCCTCCCTGCTAGTTCTTGTATCCTGTCTCTTTTGCCGAGTAGCACTCACCAACACATAGTGTATATGTCTCTGGCATTAAGTATGGAGGAAGTAAGGAATAAACTGGGCTTAATCTGAATAATCATTTACTAGTAAAGTATTAAAATAATCATTGGCTGATAAAAAAAAAACAAAAACGTGTTATCTGCAGAATAAATAGACGGTAAGACATGCCAAAAAACAGTATCACTTTTTATCATATCACTGTTATTAAATCAAAATGAGTTAAGAAGAATATATATTTAGATTTTTAATGAAAAATACTTACTTTACTTCAAATATATTTACTTAATTATGCAGTACAGCTCCTGAGCCAGTATATGCCAAGACCTAAGGCACAATGTAGTAGGGAGTGTCTGTGACAGGCAGGTTAAGTGGGTGTGTGGTTGTGTATTCTCTGTCTTTGGTTGGAATCAGTTCAGTCTTGCGGTAGTGCTACTGTAGGAGCAGCCAGAGAGTAGGATGGGTCCCTGAGGATTTTTATTTATTTATTTTTTTTATATATACTTTATATTTTGTTGACAACAGGCGTTTTATCCCATAGCAGTTACACCTTCCTTTCTTGATACTGAAATCTTAAGAGACTGCCATGTCATACAATCAAAATGAAGATGGCTGAGCGTGCTACCCTGGCTGAAGCAGAGGAGGACTTGGATGAAGAAGACAGTGAAGACAGTTTAGACATTCCTACTTTTAACGTGCCTTATTTACGCTACATTGATGATGAGGGAAAGGAGGAGGAGGAGGGAAGGGGAGCATGGAGCAGTGACTGGAGAGATGGAGGAGGTTTGGGTTTGAAGGACTGTTACTGTTCTGATGATGACCTGCTGTCCTTCAGGTACGTGGTGGTGTCAGGAACGCCACTCAAAATCCTGGAGCATCTTCTCAGCGACCTCCGGCTGGACGACCAGAGAGGAGCACCGGAAAATAGAGAGAGCGGTGAGTTCATGGCTATTTAAAATATGGAAGCTTTTGCTGTAAACCATCTTGGGACAAATACTATATGAAAAAAAAAATTATAATAATATGAAAATATATTTAGTTACAGAATACTGAATACCTGCTTTAAAATGTATTTTGTAATGTATTCTATTGGTCCAATCAGAGTTTTGTACTCTGAATATAAGAATGCTTTCACTTTCACATGCGAGAGCAGTGTTTTCTGTTTGTCTTACTAATACCATGCAAATAGAATTTGCGTAATCAAATACCACAATGTATTCCTTTGAGACTACGAAAGTAGAAAAGCCTTCTGAATACTTTTACATTGAAGTTTAACTGTTCCAGATTACAGTTATTCAAAATGTGTATTTTCAGTACATGTATTTAGTTGCTTCCCAACCCTGGTGGTACATTCTAGCCTTGCTTATGTGTTTAACAAAATCAATCACTATGTGGATATTCATTTTAAATGTTATAAGACAAGTTCCATCATGACTTAAGAGACCATTTTTTGTATTGTGCTGCTGTACACCTGGCAGTAATGACTTTGTGAGTCAACCATTGAGTGCACTTATACCACGAGTCTGTGCCTGTAAGTATGAGAATCACACAAGAGGTTAAACGCTCTAATGGGTCTCTGAAATGATTGCCCTCAGGCCTTTTTGGGCCTTCACTGGCTCCTTTGCTCCTGTAAGTCAAACATAATGTGGAGCCATACTCTAATTATTTATCATAATGTTAGATGTAATCAATATGTGCTACATAACTGCACATCTGACATTAAAATCAAACCTGTTTGGTTGAACTTCTTCCAAAGGTAAATGTGGTAATTATATGATTAGCTAGATAGATTTTCTTATCATAATGGCATATGGTAAATTGATTCTTGACTTTTAACTTATTTATTATCAGAGGATTTTAACATATAAGAAAGAAATCTCTAGAGTCTCACAAGCTCAAGAGAATCACTGAGCATTACAAGTAGATGTATTTTAATAGTTTCCTGATAGGATACTGAACACTGCTCTTGCCTGTGTACACAATTTTAAGACAAGGAGTCTTTATGCATCTACTGCTCAGTGCCACCAGTTCCCAGATCTCCACTGGGAGCCATTCCACTGAATTGCAGGAAAGGAAGGAAGAGAGAGGGAGAATTGTAAGGAGAGCGAGAACTGAGGAGGTCTTTGTAAAGAAAATGTACGAGAAAGAAGTGTTTTGTCAAATTGTAAATTGTAAAATGCTTAACTTGTTATTGTTCTTTTGGTTATGAAAACATGTTTGCTTGTACCTAGGGTTGTGCTCTACATCAGTGTGCTGTTCCAACTGCGTCTAACTCTGCTGCATGTTTAACAGGCCCCAACATGCTTCTGAATAGAAGGCGATTACCCCAGCCACCCCTCCCCACATAAACACAAAACACAGCACCAACATAAAACACAACAGCAGATTACAACGATTAGTTTAGCACATACATAACTCTTATTTCCTCTCTGCTCTCAAGAGATCACATCCCGAAGGTTAAACCACAGTGAGTTATTCACCAGGGAACATGTGTGTGCTGGACAGAGGGTGTGTACAGCACAGCGGGCAGATGCAAAGGGCATATGCTGTAGATGAAAATGGATATTTATCATCACGCTGCACCATGAAGGGGACAGGCGATTGGAACTGCCTGGAAAGAGAAAATGAGCTAGAAGGGTTTCCTCATAGGGGGGCAGCCAATGTTAGTTTCGTTTCAAGAGAAAGATGGGAGGTAGAGGATGTTTACCTGAGACCTGAACCACAAAAATCAGCCTAAAACATTTCTCCATAAATAGTTTTTATTTCTTTAAAGGAGACAGTTGATTAAACTTTAATGCACCGGCCTGTGCTTAGTCTTCTATAATTGATTTCTTTGCTCTGTGCCCAACAGAACCATATTTGGGTCACACATTTTCCCGGGGAATGACTTTGACTCCCTGCACACACACGCATTAGAGTGCCTTCACATCTCCGACAATGGCTCATTACCCATCTGCCACTGGGGCTGTTTATGCTCGCGTCTCTCCCATTCAACACCTGCTGGGTCGCTCCTGCTGGTGCTGCTGTACATTAGCCACTCCACTCAGAGGGTTTCTTTGCTTTGTGTTAGAAGTTTAAATTCTGTGGCCAAGCACATTGAGGTTTCCTAAAGCTTGCAAATATTGTATTTTCTAATGTTTGGCTGGCTTAGTAGAACTCATTTTGGACTAACTTAATTATTTAATAGAAATTAATGTACTTTATTTTATGTAAATCATGTGCAAATATTTCAGTGGGTAAATGGTCACAAATGATATCGTGCAAAATATTGATGAATAATAAAACAGTTGCGGAGCGTTGGTGAGTTAAGAAATACAAAAAGGTTTCTTCTTTATTAAAGAGATCTGGACAGGACAGGGCCCAGCCTGGCTATCGACTGGCAGCCTCTCGGCTCGCTACTCAAATCTCTCCTAAAGAACTTCTGTGCTCTGAGGGTTTATATCAGAATGACATGCATACATTACATATGTAGGGACACATCTGTTCAGTAACGTGTTAATGAACCTTTACATTTGAACATAGGTAAACCTACTAAGGGATTGGGGATGGTGGAGGCATTTGTGTCCACCGAGATTCACATACTGTAATGCCTGGTCTGGATGTCTGTAGAAATCACATTCATCTACAGAAAGACTATGGCAGAAATCTTTTCTTCACAACATAAATACCATCACAGTCTCAATCTCAATCCCTGTCTGCATTGCAGCCCAAGGTCCAGTGACTCGTGACTCTACTAATTGTACCTTTTCTGTGTTGCAGAGATGCTGCTGGATGACTTCCTGTTGACGTACCTTGTATTCATGTCCACCCCAGACCTCTGCCAAGCACTGCTAGGACAATATCCTTTCAGCATCATAAACATGGTGTTCTTCCTTTAGCCTTTAGGTGACTCTGCTTTACCTGGTTGTGTCCTTGACCTCCTGCACCTACAGCAGCGCCCGCTGCAGGGGACAGGAGGAGGGTAAGGATGCCCTCTTCAGGAAGCGCAAAGTGCTACAGCTGGTCTCACACTGGAGCAGGCTTTATAAGGACTTTCTCAAAGAGGAAGAGCATGTCCGAAGCTTCTTGAAGGTAACACCACTTTTTCTACAAAATCCTCTGTACTCCATTATAGTCATGAAAATAAACATGATGTTTTCAAATAAATAATCAAACTTGTTTAGAGGAATTATGACAAATGCCTTTTTAAAGGATTATGGCATTTTTATAATGTATTTTAAATAATATTACGTACAGTACTGCTGCTGGGGTAAAATTGGCTTTTTGTGTGTCCTTTACTCTGTTTATGACCTGAATGCTATTGACTGTTTATAAGCCAAATCAAGCATATATTAGAATAAAAAGGTGCATAAACACCTCCATGTATTGTAAATATAATTGTAGAAAGTGAAATAATAAACCACTTTGATCAAAATGTAAATATAGTGGCAGTTTACATTTACTTTGCAGATTTCACAGCCAACATCATAACATATAAAAGCAGGCACAGGGCCTGCTCTCTGGGAACAAGCACAAAGCAAGCCATCACTTGTCTCTATGTAAAATGACAGCTCTAGTTTTATGATGCTGAGTTTCCATGGTAACTGGACGTGAGGGTTGGCATAGAGATTATCTGGTATGGAGTGCGTAACCCAGGTGATGGTTGCCTAGTAACAAGAGGAAGGATGATGGGGAATATGTTGTATTACCTTCTGATGATGTCAAAAACTCAGATGGAAGGCAGTGGCAAGAGTTACTGTATAAAATGTATACAGTAAAAACGATGAGCCAAAATCCAGAGTTTAGCCTGATCTGTTATTTTTCTAATGTTATTATTTTAATTATGCATTCTTTAAGCTGTTCCATTTCTAACAACAACACTGGCACCCTTACAGTATGCATGATACACTGACATGCACATAAGATTAAACATTATGTATGCAGAAAAACTAATCCTTAACTGAATAAATACATTTTACCATGTTTTGTGCTTCTACAAAAACATGTGTAAAATTGCTTTTACTTAAATATAAATTCTCTCTTCCTGCTATAGACACTGTACAGATGTGTTTTAGAAGACTTGTATGAGTTTCCCACCCTGGAGAAAGACCTGAAAGAGTTCCAGAAGCTTCTCCGCCGAAGACAGTACGTGTTCCAAAGAGTATCATTTACATAAGTCTGCTCCTGTTAAACTAATGCTCTCTTCAATCTTTCTTCAATACAGCACGGTAGATGATTGTCCTCCAAACCAAAAGGTAAGATAAAAATAATGTTAAATTGAGATGGTTACATGTAGCCTTTGTACAGTATGTATGAATGTGTTAAACAACAGAACATTCTTCAGTATTTAAGGGGCCTGTATTATGTTACTTTATGATCTATGTTTATAATGTTGTTTCCTCATCACAAACATAACTGGAGAGTTTTTTTGTTTCATTCACATATGTTTAACACACAAACCTTGCATATTTAGGCTGAGGTCTTCTGTCAGACAGAAAACACTCTGGAATTGCCAATCTTGACTAAACTAAATGTAAAATGTAGCTAATACTTTGAAAACTATCGCTTCATGACATCACAAGGTGGAACAGAACATTTTAAGCTTTGGAGATATAGACAGACTAATCATAAAAGGTTACAATATTCAATTTTATGCAATATAAGACCTGCAAATTATAGTCCCATAACAAAAATTATGTAGAAGAAAATGTATGATTTGTCCCTAAACTCTACTGTACACTAATATAAGTAATAGTTGTTTATATTCTCTCCTTTATCCAGAGTAAACAAATGTACCAACAACTGAGTTTAAAAGAAAACAGTTTGCATCACCGAAGTCCTCCGATCGAAAACAGAGAGGGTGAGTAATGAGCATTAATACAGACTGCCTAAAATTACAGAAAATTGCTAATGGCATTGTGTGCATAATTTCAGTAAGCATATGCAGATTTGATAAATAGCTCTCTTGTCTCGGCACTTGAGAGAAATGCCTGTTATTTTGCCTCTGTTGTAGTGATTTGCTGTGTGTATGTGAGCCCTGACTCGTATTTAAGCGTTCAAACACACCCTTTGCTTGAGGCTCACGAGCTGTTGAGGATTGTCTCCTTGAAGCTGGACCGTGCAGATGAGGAGATGGTGCTGGCGGTAGTGTCGCACAGTGGAGGTACACACTCAGTAATAAAGTCCAGAGTCCCTGCTGTGAAAGCTCATTTTCTACACTTTAGACTTCCATTACGACTGTCATTTGTCTGTGTGCATCTGCAGAGCGAAGAGTGTTACAGCCCAGTGACTGCGTCTACTCAGAGTCCTTAACCCCACAGGGGAAACTGGTGGCCTGCCGCAGGAGTCTCACTGAAATCCTGGTCTGTACCTTTTGTCTGTCTCTGTAAGGTTTTCCCCAAACTACAAAAGCTTCAATCATATGACTCCATCATCGAAATGTATACCGTTCATAGTGATGGGAAGACTACTTTAAAAATGTATTTATATATTACATACATAGTCCAATCAGAGTACTGTATTGTGAGCTTTATGTTTGTCTCACTGTTGTCTTACCCATTGGAGAAGGAAAAATCGCACATACTAGTAGTGCACAAGAGCAGTGTTGTCTATTTTTCTCACTAATTCTGTGTTATTTGAAGCCTAAATCAATCAATCAAAAAGTAATTGTACCGAAATACAGTTACTTAAAATTTGTATTCTGAATACGTATTCTCAGTACATGTATTCAGTTACTTTCTAATAATGACCATACTATAGGACTGCACAATAGCTTGAAAATAATACATTGCAAATATTGGCATAATGCAAATCGATGTGATGTACATGTATAGCAACAACTGAAAGTTCTATATCTGACAGAAATTTACTGTTTCTTAAAAGGAAAATATAAAAAGATTTTGCTTTGTTTTGGTCTTGGTTCAGTCCTTTTTTTTGATAGAGTTAGACTTGTATCAAAATTAAGGCAGGTACACAGTTGTTGAATAGTGTATCTTTTACCATATTGTGTATGCCTATTATGTAAGCCTTTTTGTGATTTTAATGATCAAAGGTGTATAAAACCTTAAGTATTTCTTAAGTTCCATTGGACTTACTAGATTAACACTGCAATTGATATTTATACAATTGTGGTAAATAATATGCCACACCTCCCCACCCTCCAGTCTTTGTATTGTGTTTGCTTGTATCTTGCCAAAAGTGCTTCCTATTGTATGCTATAATATTTCTAGCGTAGTCATGAGTGTATTGACTTCGCTAATAAAAGGCCAGATAAAGTTGCACATTTTAACCCTATTCTCTGTAAATGCTGTTGCTTAGTGTTGCACAGTATTTGTAACTATGTGTTTTGTGTCTGTGTGTGTAGCCTCCATTGACAGACTGCACTGAGCTCAGCAGGAGACCCGTGCGTCTCTTGGGCATCAACACATGGGATGTGGCAACTGCACTAACCCACCTAGACTGGACCCTCTTTAAGTCTATCCACGAGGTACTACTTATGACTTCAACCCGCACAGAGCATCATGAGAAATTCATAGATACAAGAAGCTGTTGGAACAGGCATTAAATATGGAAATGCTTTATAAGATTTGCTAGATCATGAGTATAGAGAGTGTCCCCATAAATAAGTGGCTGTCAGGAAGAGTAGTCCTTATATAAGCAGAAAAAACAAATTTTGTTTTTTGTCACGTTTACCTTACTATAGCCTTGTCAAATCTAAATACTTAAAGGTGCATTGTGTAACTTTTCTGGTGGAGGGTCTGTCAAAGGCTTTTCTTCATGGAGGTGTTATTGCTTTGTCTTGAATGTTTGACAGTATGGCATTAAACCTTTCTATCTTTATGGAGACCAAACCAGAGGAGAGACAACCCTGCTCACAGTCAGAACGCCTGTTTTTCTAGGTATTTTTGAGCAGTAAAACCACTTGTATTTGAATAAATGTCAGGTAGAGCTGTTTAAAGTCATACTTTGGAGCATTCCAGACAGAGCAATGACATACCCATAGAAACAAGCAGGTGAAGGACCACCAACCAGGACGTTACATAGTGCACCTTTAAGTTACCTACACTGTATTAATATTTCAGTATATTTTAACATTGTGTTGTTTGCTCTCCTTTTGTAGCAGGAGCTGGTGTACTACACGCTTCGGCGCAGTCCTGGTTCTGGCCACACGGCGTCGCTGTCTGTCTTGCTGCAGCGCTGTAATGAAGTTCAGCAGTGGGTCATGTCTGAAGTCTTGATGTGTGTGTCACTCAATAAGAGAGTCCAGCTGCTCAAGAAGTTTATCAAGATCGCTGCTCAGTAAGTTTTCTCCTTAACCGTACAATGATAAAACACAAGCTACCAATATCTATAAAACTGGTCAATGTCTGTTTTCACAGCTGTAAAGCCCAAAGAAACCTAAACTCTGCATTTGCCATCATCATGGGACTGAACACAGCAGCAGTTAGTCGACTCAACCAAACATGGGAGGTAGGGATGTGGTCATCTTTTTAAGAACTACAGAAATGAAAAATAACTTTATCACTTTTCACAAAACAAAACAAAAAAAACAATTATATTTCGACAAGAAGACTCTATAAAGATTTGAAAAAAAAAAAAAAAAAAAGACAACAGATTGTCAATTTCAATAGTAATCTCACATGACAATAGCTGGGCCTGGTTAGTATTTGGAAGACCACTGGGAACACCAGGTGCCACAGGGGCAAAAACTATTGTTGTGTCCTTAGGCAAGACACTTCACCTACTGAGTGCTTTGGGTGTCTTGAAAGACGCTATATAAATGCAATGATTAATTATTTGGTCCTGCTCATGTTATTTCACTGGAAATATGAATACTGAAATGAGTACTAGTTTTAGTGTGCATTAGTATCTGGGTATCAAAACTTGTGACAACCCTACAGTAAATGTATGACTGTATCTTTCCAGAAATGTCCTGGGAAGTTTAAGAAGCTTTTCTCTGAGTTGGAGCTTATTACGGTAGGTCTTTTATTGTTGCAGTATTTCTAAGATATTATGGTTTTATGGTTTTTCTTTTCTTTTTTTTATTGGCACTCAGGATCCATCCCTCAATCATAAAGCCTATAGAGATTCCTTCAAGAGGATGAAACCTCCGAAGATCCCCTTCATGCCACTTCTTTTAAAAGGTATTACTAAACCTATATTGTAAGGTACATTATAAAAATATATAAATGTCTATATGTGTGTACTCTCTACTTGTAGACATCACCTTTATCCACGAGGGAAATAAAACCTTTCATGACAACCTGGTCAACTTTGAGAAACTGGTTAGTTGATTCACAAGTGCTCTCCCTCATTCATCATTGTCATTTTTTTTTATGTCTTAATGAACATACAATTTGTCTTACAGCATATGATTGCAGACACCGTGAGAATGATACGGCACTGTCAAAGTGACCAGCCAGGTTAGTCATAATGTACACAGTGCTAATTTTTAAGAGTTCTACCGCCATCTGCTGTTCAGTCAGAGAATTAAGTTTTAACAGTTACCAAGCAACCATTTTCAGGTGATCTCCAGGATTATTATTATCTTTGAGGTAGAGGTTTTAACAGTGTTTTTCCTTGTCTCTTTAGGTAACGAGGTCATCGGCATGGACAGCCCAGAGGTGAGGGCCAGCGTTCAGTATCTACACATCATTGACAATCAACAGACGCTATTCGAGCTCTCGCATAAACTGGAGCCTCGTGCCTGATCGTCCTTATAAAAAGCAAGGGCGCACATATTATTAGAAGCTTCATGTGACAATACAGAGCGTCCCACTACCAGCAGAGTTGCCAAGCAGACAATGGGAAGACTGCTGTTGCATTTGAAGGCTTAATAGCACTAGAAGAAAATGGACTGAAAAATATAAATATGCCATTTCAATTGTCAAGAAAAAGAAATTCTGCACAGCCACAGATTTGCCAAAAAGAAGAAAAAAACTGAATGCGTGTAATTAGTTTGTACAGTATCTTTTTGACTGAATATGCCATTGTTTTGTGCATTTGTGACTATTTATTTAGTCTGTTCTGCAGCTGAATACTTTTTATTTCTTTTAGTGTTTTAGTGTCACTGTTCAGAGGCCCAGCCACTTTTCAGTTGTAAATGCTTAACTCCTGCCAGTCGGGATTTTGATGTTTGTGTTAGTTGAGATCACCATAACATCTGCAGTGCACCATATCTACTCATCTTAGTGTCAGTTTATTCCACAAACAATCCTTTTTACCACTGTTTGTAATATTAGTTTACAAATATACATGGTTAAAACACATGCTGATAATCTAATCAAAATAACAATTACACTATTTGTTACTATAGACATGCTTGTTATTAAAGAGGTAAAAAAAACAACACTGAGTTTTAGTGATCATGATCTGTTTTTTTTTATTTCTTTATATTATTTCATTGCAGTGATTCAAGCTCTTGCACGGTAATTTACAGTTTTGGGCTATAGGTCAATATGAACCTGAATAATGTAAATTTAGTTTGGCTTCTGTTCACTGACCTGCCCACCCGTATTGTGCCAAACGTTCTGCTGCTTGAACATGTGGCTACTGTGTTTCGTTTTTTTTTGTTTTTTTTTACCACAACTACAGTCTGTCTCAAGACAATATGATGACTGAATGTGCAATACAGGGATATGTTTTATGATCATTACTATTTTCGTAGACTGTTCACAAAGTAGAGCAATTTTCTTTGTAAATTATGTCAACGATTGAGGTATTGGTTGGTGCCAAAAAGGCTGAGTTTTACAGTATTATGAGCAAGATTTCATTCATGGGCTCAATACAGCAGCTCCTGTTTACTTTTTGCAGGGCAATTACTTTATTAGGTTATCCTATTGCATTACAAAACTATGTAACAAGGCAAATACACTCAAGTAACATAAAATACATGACAATACATTTGCATATGCATATGTTTTATTTATTGTAATGTTTATTTAAGTGGCAAGATGTCTAGGTTTCTATGCCATGTTTGAAGCCAAGTCTGTGGGTGCTCACTTTTTTTTTTATCACGCAGGAGTGAACCAGACAAATGGTGCATCTTGGAGAAGCCATTGTCATGTGTATTTACTTTTTTTTTTTAATGCAATGTTGTTTTAAAGCTGTTCGCATGATAGAAAACACAGTGTCTACTGAGTGAGAGGACACAATGAAGGCTTTGTACTACTGTAATCATGTGTAAATAAAACCCTCAGTTATGTTATTTATCTGTTGTACATGAAAAATGTTGACAAAGCAATATGTTCCCCTTGTGTCCCTCCACCTGGTTTTCTAAATGCAGCATTTTACTATGTCAAGATTTTACTGAAAATGAATAAATTATAGGTTTTATGTGACAATGCCAGCAAGTTGTTCTTGTTTTTTTCTTGTATCTTTTGGAATACAGTGTTGGTTGTGTAACATAAGAATGGGCAAAAAGAGCTTCCATTTGACTCTAAACAAGTGTGTTTCAGAACTTTGACAACTGGGTAAACAAATGTATCTTGTACCGAATTTAGCAGTGTGTACTCACCTTACATTCAAGTCTCCATCTGCCACTTGCTCTGCTACCTTTAAAAAGTCCATGTTATTATTGGTACATAGAATACAGAAGCATACACTTTCGGGATACTTTCCATTCAGAAAAACATTTTTGCATCCACTTAACCATCTTATAAGCGGACCTTGGCTGTCACCATTGCATCAACTGGGGTAATACTGAGAATCCAGACCTGTTGAAATGTAGGAATAAGTGCCAATAAGAAAAAGTGATACAAATAAAATGTTTTAATTCATGTCACACCTGTTTCTGATCAAACAACTGCTTCGTCTCACGTCAGTCCATTTGTTTTGGCACAGCACACAGCCAATTTCATGTCCAATATAAAAATAACAGTTTTAACCCACTTTGCTACTGTACCTCTCGCTCTGCTCACCATGCAGTTGTCCAGTGTCTCCTTACTGTTCCTGGGTGTGTCCCTGGATTTGGCTTCTCCTGGGTTCAGTGAAGTGAAGCTGGAGCATGGAGACTGTCCCATGTTCTGGTTCAGCTTCAACAGTCGCTGTTACAAGTACGTGATTGCTCATGTGACCTGGGCTGATGTAGAACTGTACTGTGTGTCCCAAATATTCAACAGGGCATCCATCCACACCATGGAAGTGAACAAGTTTATTCAAACTATGATTCAAAGTTACTGTCCAATGCAAAACAACACCTGGATTGGACTCAGTGACCTCCACAACAAAGCTGCTTGGACGTGGTCTGATGGGTCATCAGTGGATTTTGAGCTGTGATGTAGTGGACTACCTGACAGCGCAGGAGCCCTTAAAGATTGTGTAGCACTTAACTGGGAAGAAGAAGAAGCAAAGTGGAATGACAACAGATGTTCCACTACCTTCCCATTCATCTGTGCATCACACAAACCTGTGTGTCAGTAATGTTTCATTCACAAAGATAAATTTGTTACACAAGAGAAGAAAAATAAAATAATCTTTAAATGATCTTTGAATGTATGTGTATTTGTTGTCTGAAAGTTATCTAGCAAACAGTTGCTTTTCTGAAATGGAATCAAAAGTATGTCTTCTGAGATGTCATCATAAATGTCTTGACTTGTGGTGCATTAATTTATAAACATATAAATATGAACATGTATTTTATTATATTATATAAATATATAAATGAATATACATTTTTTTAAAATGTCCCATTAAAGCACCACTGGAATAACTCTGAGTTCAAACAAATGTTTAAACATGAGTTATCCCACAGCATTATATTTGTTTTGGCTCAAATATCTTACACCAAGCCCACTTTGCAAAAGAAAACAGCCTCTCACTCTGCTCACCATGCTGTTGTCCAGTGTCTCCCTACTGCTCCTGGGTGTGTCTCTGGGTTTGGCCTCTTCTGGGGTCAGTGAAGTGAAGCTGGAGCTGTGTGTGCATGTGGTCTGATGTTTGTCCAGTGCATTTTAATATTTTGAATAATGGAAAGCCCAACAAAGAACTAAAAAAAAACAAACAAAAATGTGTGGAATCAACTGGGATGAACAAAAAAATTTATAAAAATTGGAACGATACCCATTGCTCAGAAACCATTCACTCTGTGTAACCCTGTGTGTTAACAGTTCTGTGATTCAAGTCTGTTCCAAGAAAAAAAAACGTAGGCCTATATTACAATCATAGACTGTAAAATTGCTGTTACTGTCTATTTTATATATAGTTATCTGTTGCTTTTAAATTGTCATTATGAATTAACCTATTGTCCTAACATCATAAAAGCCATTTGAAAATATGTTACCTACCAAAAGAGGGTAAAAGTTCACCTAGAACACTGTTGGTGTCAAGTAATCTCATTAAGCAGAATTAGGAAATGAACAATGAAAGTCGCACATGAAGGACACTGACCAGTCAGTTCCTACATACACTGAAGATAAGGTTTAGTTTTTGTCAAGCAAGCAGATCACTAATGTGAAGTTTTTGTGTTGTGCATGTAGCCTACTTAAAACTTCAACCATATGTTTGAACAGCTCTTAGAGCCTTGTGAAATTAGTCAGTGCTTTTATGTGCTCACCTCTGCATGAAGCACAGGGAAAAGAAACGCCCATCGACTCTTTTCGCGGGAACGATTGGAGTGCACCATTGTAGAGAAGAGGGGGGATTACAAATCTAGAAGTGTCACAGATAAACTAAAGACAAGACAGATCGTAATTAAAACACTATCTCATTATCAGCGTGCTTTAGTATACGAATAAATTAATCGTATAGCTAAAGTAAATCAAAATTGAACAAAGATATTTGAACTATCGTAGCACCACCCGTCTTTGGTAATGTCCACACTACAACGCTGTTGGTTTTTAAACTCTTCTCCGCTGCAGCTCATTGGGTTTTTCTGAGCACATTTCTGGATTCTTTTAGAGTTAGCAAAACTTTATAGGCCAGAATAACATGACTCTTGCATCAAAGGTAAGCACTTTATCAACTGCACACTGTAGTGTTTACGCTGGTTTCATGTTTACAGTTTTTTTACTCAATAATTTTTTGTCTCTTGCCAAGTAAGACATTCTAATAAACAAGCTTGATTTGGCATTGATGTAACAAAACGTTATATATGTATATATTATTACAAGGCAAAATGTTCTAATCATGTACCAAAGTATTTATCGTTTGAATTTATTTTGCACAACGTTAACTACATTAGTTCAGTCAAATTTGGGCCAGTAAACCTTACAGCATGTTGTGGTGTGGTGGTGGTTTCACAGTCAGTGGTCCAAAGTTTATTTTCAAGTCATGGGGAAAAGGCTCCCTCTGGTGTCAAAATTCTGAAAATACACAAGACGTTTGAGATCTTTATATAAACATAATGAATAGCTTACTACTACTGTCTTACAGGAATGTTAGCCTAATTGCTAGAAAGATTATTTAGATCTCTCAATTAGACTTAGACTTAGTAGACTACCCATCAGTTCTATTTTGTCCAAGCTAGAAATGAGTAATTGCAACTTAACCTTGCATAACAGAATATCCATAATACTTGTACACTGTGTTCAGTCTTTTGTATCATTGTGGTCTTGTATCCATTTGCCATAGACTCCTCCCAATTTCCGGTCCCAATTTATAACCCCCGAGCTTACCCATTTGTTCAGCCAGTCTGACAGTGAGGAGGAGTTTGAAGGCTTCAGCGAAGATGAAGACACATCATCTGAAAACAATGTGGTGAATGTACAGATAAACGTAAATGATAATAATTACATGTGATCAAGTATATTACTTTATAACTGGTTTTCATTTCTTTCAGATGGTGGAGTCTGAGGAGGAGGACAGTGACACCAACTTTTATTCTGACGGAGAAGAACCATCATCTCTAAAGAATAAAAGTCTCCTAGTGGCGTTAAGGTTTGCACATGCCTAGAAATAAACTTGCATTTTTAAATTCAACATAATTAAACGTGCAATTCCTTTAGATTTCCATTTAAAAGACCATGTACCTCTAAACAACAAGCATTTAAGAAAGAAGGACAAAATGGTTTAGAGCATTCTCCTCCACGCCAAAAGCAGAAGGTGCAGGAGCAGAAAAAGGAGGATGGAGATACAGATGAAGAGGTCTTGTCACAAAGCCTGAAGAAGCGGAATAAAAACATTCAGGAAAACAAAGCTATGGTAGGTCAACTTTCTTGGCATTAAACAAAGGAAGTCAAATTGCCCAACCCTTCTGTAAAATCATGATTATAAGCCAAACATTTTTGTTCTCACACTTCTGTTTCTCATTTGTTTTAGCTGGCAAAGCTGTTCGCTGATTTGAGTTCTCTGGCTGTTTTGACACCACCCTCAACCCCCCAAGTAAGATCTTACATTTACCATCTACGGAATGGTTGCTTTTATGCAGAACTCTGTTCATTCATTTATGGTATCTTCTTTAATAACTGGTTTAGAAGAAAAAAAGCACACCGGAAAAAGAAAAGCCTAAAAAACGCAAGTTTGAGGCCGATACAGGATCTGAGAGGAGGAACCCATCTCGCAAAGCACGTCCTCCAGAGAAATTTGCTGTTGAAGAGAAGCCTGAACCTGGTGTACGCAAAGTGCCCAGGACAGTGGACATCAGGGCACTGGTAGAGGTATTTTTCATAATAATAATAATTCAAATACATACATTCATTCTATTCTGCTGGTTTTAAGTGGTAATCTATTGATATATCATGCATGATGCTTCATTGTGTATGGGCAGGTTGATGAGGAAAGAGCCACTGAGGGAGCGAAGAGAAGAAAGAGCTCCAAAAGGAGCCAGTACTATGTTAGGTCAGTGGATGAAATCACAGAAGAAGAACTTGACAACATAGCATACCGCTCCAAGGACAAGATCTGGGACAAGGAAAATGTTGGTGATGGCTTATTTCAGTTCTTAATTATTCACAGAGCAAAACGTCTACATGCAATGTTCCTTTTGTTTAGGGCAGTTCATGTCACCAGTGCAGACAGAAGACTCTGGACACCAAATCGGTCTGCCGCAGTGGTTTCTGCTCTGGTGTGAAAGGTCAGTTCTGTGGGCCATGCCTAAAGAATCGCTATGGAGAAGATGTGCGCACTGCGCTGCTTGATCCGGTGAGATCCAAAACAAACCAACCATACTCTTGATTCTCCATCAGAGGTTTGAATGAATTTGCCTTTTTCTGTGTAGACATGGTCATGCCCCATCTGCAGAGGCATGTGCAACTGTAGTCTGTGCCGCAAAAAGGAGGGACGCTGTGCCACAGGGATTCTGGTGCAACTGGCCCGTTTCAACGGTCATGGCAGTGTTCATGAGTATCTTGAGAGGTGTGTATTGTTTGGCTCTGTTTTTAAATGTGACCGTAAATTATGAATAACTGGGGCTTATTCTTACTTAACTTTCTTATTTTGGCAGCATTAAGAACGAGCTGAAGTAGATTGAGATACACCAACACAAAAGTGTTGATCCACCTTGGGAAAGGAGCAATCCTCATTTAGTTTTACTTCAGAACAAGGCGCATAAGCTGTAAATGTTTTATTCTGATTTTATTGTTGCATATGATGCGTTAATGTGGCAAACAGGCTTCATCTAAGTCACGTTCTTTTTTTTACTTGTTCGACACTGGCTTTTTATTTTATATTTTTATATCAACATTTGAACAAAGTATATAGTCCTTCATATTGTACGTTTATGCTTACTCACTTTGTGCTCAAATAAATGTTATAGTTATTATTTTCTGAGCTTGGAAATGTGTGAGTTTAGACTAGAACTGTTGTAGGCAGGTGCTTTGCTGTGATATTAAAATATATTGTGTTTCTAATATTCCAAGAAAAAAAATATTTTACCCAGTTTATTGTTGTGTTATGCAGGCAAAGCAACCATTTATATTGAAGTTGTTCTTTTTTAATCAACATAACACATTTTTACAAACCAGCATTAAAAATATCAATAAACTGGAGCCTTTAAGGCTAACCATTATCAAATGTCATGAAGACAAACAAACATCTTTAGAAAAAGATTTACAAATGAGATTTCACTACAAAATATCAAAGAAAAGTTGGTCGACACACGAAAGTTTACCAAAACATCTAAATCTGTTTGGTTAACAACTGTAGCTTTTTGCATTCTTTTTATATGTATTTTGTAAAAACATATTATGGTGCAAAGAGAACAAGAAAAGCAATTATCAGACGCTGAAAAGAAATGTATAGCACAAGTCGAGTAAAAAGCAGCACTGGGCAAAAAACAAACATGCTGTACACAAACTCACAATATAAGTCCAGCAAAAGGCAAATATTACAAATCAAGGATAAATAAGTTAGTGTACACAGACGGACCTGTGTGCTAATAAAATGCAAGGGGACATTAAAAAGAATGATAAACTCTCAAATAAAATTTAAAATAATGTACGCACAGAATAATACAGAGCAACATCACTAGAAAACATTTCATTATATGCACATAAATAGCCTGTCTCACACCCACCTCTGGCACGCCATCTTTGACATAAACCACCTTTTCAGCGGCTCTCAGCTTACAACTAGCCTGACAGGCAGACTGGTGCGCTCTACATTCTATAGGAAAAGCACGTTGTCTTGACTGGCTAGGCTAGTGTACAACTACTTGTGTTAAGGCAATTGTCCTATATGGGTCGCACACCAGTGAGAAAGGTGGGATAAACCGCTTGAAAGCAACAGTTTAAGTGCTGTTGTTACACGACCCATCAGATTGTAGTGGTACCTTGTGTTTTAAGACAGCGTCACTCCTATCTGATAAGTCCCTTTATCACAGAGTGAATAGACTTGCTTATAAACAGAAAAAAATCCCCTGACAATGTAAACATGACTTCAATAGGATTGTCGCAGAAGTATTGCTTTCACTGAACAAAGTTGTAGAAAGCTAGATTGTTTTTCATTATAGAAACATTTTACTTCGAATGGCCACTGTGCCTCATAATAGGAATGCATTTTGTAAAATAAATCTTTCATATGTGCTTACTCATTTTTCTTCAAAGTCCAGCTTGACTGCCAAAGATTTGTCAGTCAAGTCATCACAAAAACACAAACACCTGAATTAAACTTGAGGACTACAAGCTGATCCATTACGACATATACTTAGGTAGATCTTCATCCATGGGAGACATCACTCATACCAACATGCACAAAAATACCCTCTCCTTCTCATGACTGCCACTGCTCTTTCACAGCTTTAAACAGTCTTAAAGTATGATTGACCCTCAGCATTGCGGGAAATGTACATAAGAAACAGAACGCAACTTTGTGCATAGAGATTCTGTCATGATTAGGAAAGGTCTTTATAGTTATATGTTTTTTGTCATCGGGTCTTGTGCTAATCTCGTTTTACTTTCCCCACTGCAGATGGAATGATAGATTAATTTTATAAAAGCCAACTATTTTTACACAAAGGTATTTTATCTACTATCTTCATATCTTCTTTTTCAAATTCCTTTAAATTTTATATATCGTGACACAACCATCATTTAGAATCTGCAGGTTTCACAAACAGGAAATTATCCTTCTGTGTACAAGCAAGAGTCAGCTGCCTCCTCATCTTCCTCCTCCTCCAGGTGATTGGAGGTTGTGGGTGTGGCTGGGTCAGAGTCTCGATTCAGAGTTCCCACGGCAACAATCTGTGGCGACGAGCCCAAGCCCTCTGCAACATCCTCCTCCAGGTCGTCAGTAGTGATGATGGCCACTGCTGCTCCGCCTTTCTTGTTCTGATGAGTCTTGATGTGCTTGGACAGGTGGTCACTTCGCATGAATCTCTTGGAGCACTCTGGGCACTCAAATCGTTTTTCCCCTAAAAAAACATACAGAGTGCCCGGGGGTTGTAAATACTATCGCTGTATACTAATTAGGGATGGGCATGATTAATCGATAATTGATCATTAAGAATTTCATCGATTACGTTCATTTTAATCGACAAACCGAATGTAGGTTGCTGTGCGTAGCGTGACCAAACAGGGGTCCGTACATGTAGCTCTCTGCACTCAGAAGGTGCGAGCAAACACAAACAGTCGGTCAGTCTGCAACGCAAATGTGTATTTAACGATGATTTGTACAAGACATTCCACGCTTTCCGTTGCGTTCGGGACAAGTGTGAGTCCATGTGCACAGTGTACAAAGCAGCACATATGTTTCGGTGTCCAGTGGGAAAAAGGTTTGCAAGGTGAGAGTCGCGCAATGTCGATGACAAGTCCCCACCTCCCACCTTCCGTACGGTGTCCTGGTTTTGACAAACGCAAATATGGTCACACTAACCTGTATTCCACTAAGTCATGTCTTTTAATCCAACAGAAGTTGACCGCATCAGTGCACAAGAGCTGTAGTTTTATCTTCGCTTAGTTTCTGCAAATTAGCGACGCGGTTTTAAGTTTCGTTTTTGTGAGAGTTGCGCAAAACTGCGTTAAACACATTATAATGTCAAACGGATTGATGTGGCTCTAGAGTCGTTACGGTTTATATGTCGTAAAGTTGAATTTATGTATGCAGGTTAGTAGTGCAGATAGTAATAATAATGATGATCATTTTAATATAAACACGTTAATGATTAATCGATAATTGATCGTTAATTCTTCTGACGATCGATTAAGAAAATTTCATCGAATGCCCATCCCTAATACTAATACTATCTGTTGTTGATTTTTACCTGTTTTGGTCATCTTACCCGTGTGTGTTCTTCTGTGTCTTTGTAGCTCATCACTTCTTGTGAACCGCTTTCCACAAAAAATCCAGTTGCAAACAAATGGCCTCTCGCCTGTGTGCCAGCGTAAATGCGCTCGCAGGTGTGATGTCTTCCCATACACCTTCCCACAGCCCTCCATGTGACAGATGTGCTGCTTTTTCTTTGATGGGTCTCCACTATTCCTAACACAAAGACGGTTAGGGTCATGACTGTATGGATTACATGAAAACATCCATAAGGCTATGTTGAGTACCTTCCCTCCCCATCCCTGCAGTTGGGACAGGAGCAGGCCACACGACGTAGCCTCTTACTGGGCACTCCCTCCTGGTCTGAAGAGCTTTGAACAGAGCCCAACTGGTCTGGACTTAAGGATGAGCTTGATGCCATGTTACCAACAGTGACGGTCACTTGAGATGGTTGAACTTTGACTCCCTCCTGGTTTTGAGGTTGACCTTGAACATAACAGAAGAATTACTGTGGGATATCTGACTGATACAAGCTATAAAATGTCAAATGTAGGCCTATGCATCTTAATGCTGTAATCAAGCCTTACTCTGTAGACCAGTGATGGTGAGGGGAACACCCTGCACCTGGACCCCAGCGGTGCCTAGTCCCGCGATGCTGACGGTCTGAACCCCAGAACCTGGGTTAATCTGGGCCGCACTCAGAGTCAGAGGGGCTCCGCTAAGAGACACAAGGCCTCCACCCCCAACTGTAGTGCCACTGGCGACTGGAGCCAGTGTGAGCTGTTGAGGCACAGCAGTGCCCAGCCCACCCTGCAGGGACACTCCTCCAGGCAGCTGCAAGGTCTGCCAGGTGATCTGTCCTGAGGGCGACAGGGTGGGTGTGCGGATGAGGACCTGTGCAGGGTTTTGGAAAGCCTGGATGGGCTGCAGTGTTTGTCCCGGGGCCAGTTGCACTGTCTGAATATGCTGGGGCTGTGACTGCTGGCCTTGGGTCTGACCCTGAGTCTGGGGCTGCAGCTGGATCTGTTGAAGCAACTGGTGTCCGACCTGGCCCACTATCACCTGCTGGATGCTTCCAGTGGAGTCGCTCTGATTCTGGAGCCCATTAGCCTGGCTCTGAGAGTCCACCTCACCTCCTTGTGCTTGGATGTCAGCGCCTCCCTCGGCTCCTGCAGACACTACTTGTGTCCCCTCCGATGTGCTGTCACCCTCACTCACAGCCCCTGCTGGGGCAGTTGGAGCTGAAGTTGCCCCTGACATGGCTGTTGCCACCAACTGGTTACTGTTAGCAACAGATAACGTGCCATCTGCAGATTGAATTAACTGCACAGCTCCAGTGGCGCCCACATTATTAATGACAGGTAACGCTAGAGTCATGCCTCCGAGGTTTATAGGTACTGTGGTCATCATGGGGGTTTGGGAGCCTTGAATAGTCTGGAGCTGGATTGGGAAAGACTGGGCAGGGCGAATCTGGAGTGGGACAGTCTGATTGGCTGTACTTGTCAGGATGGCCTGCTGGGTGGAAGGCTGAAGAATGGTCTGGGTCTGGCCAGGACTTTGTGTTGGTATGAGTTGAACTTGATCTGCCAAAGCTCCAATGGAGGTGGGCTGGGCTGAGCTGATGTGAATCGGCTGTCCATCAGCAGTCTGCAGGTGTGGGATGACCTGGTACTGGACCCCGCTGCCAGCATTGGGCAGATTCTGAACCTGAATGATCTGGAACTGCTGCTGCCCGGCTGTTACGCTGTTGGTCCCACCAACTGCCTTCACCTGTCCAATAGAAGAAATGACATTAAACCAATATGTCACATTCACATGACAGCACAACATTCTTAAGTTGAAAACTGAGCTGAGGACAGGTCAAAATTGTAATGCGGACTAGAGTTTGCTGTTTAACTCTCAAAAGTAAATATTTTGTATTGGTTTATGGATAATTTATCTGTAATTGATGGGCCCTATCCACATGGAACAAAACTAGCACAAAGTTCAACATCTTTGTTGATGTTACATTAGCATCAATCCCCAGGGAAGTGTTGTTGACATCAGCTGTAAAGTATCAATTCATGAGTTTCAGGCAAACAATCCCTTCCTGGTTTGAAGGATTTTGTGAGGAAAAAGATATATTTTAACTTGAATTACTTTATTGCTATAATAACAGCAGAGGACAGCTGCCATGCAAAATCCTTCAAAATCAGGAAGAAATCCTTTTGCCTGAAGCTCATGAATTATTTCTGAATACATAAACTATGAAAGTCTATAATTGTGTTTTCAATAAAAAAAAAAAAATTAATTGTGGTCAAATGTTGTGACTTAATAAAGGTGTAATACACAATGCATTTTACAATAATACAATAAACATTTTGGATCATCATAATGCAGTGTTGACATGGTCTTTAACAATACCATGACCCAATGCAACAGGACTTCACCTTGCGTCCACCAGGAGAGCTGTCATTGACCAACGTGGGAGCCAGTGTAACAGCTACAGGCTGATTGTTGTTCTCCTTGGCCATAGCTGGAGCTGCTGCAATGATCTGCCAGCCGTTGCCTGTGAACTGAGCTGGGACCAGTTCCAGCTGTTGGGGCACCAGTGTTTGAGCCCCGGCTGTGTCCAACACTATCTGCCCCTGGAGCTGACCAGCCTGCAGCTGGATCTGACCAGTCTGGACCTGGGTCTGCTGGGTTCCTGTCTGGGTCTGAGCCCCCTCTGTTCCCCCTTGTCCCCCGATCTTACTGCAGGTGGCAGCTAGCAGAGCCAACGGGGAGGGCTGGGAGGAATCCTGGATCAGAGAGAATCAGGAAATGAGATGGGGAGGGGCAGAGGGGGTTAAAGAGTGACAGGGAAAAGAGCGAGGCCATGTGATTGTTGGAGTAGTGCAGATAATAAACTTAAATAAACAATTAAAATCAATGGCACCAGGAAAGTTAAGAACATCATTATACTCTCAAACATCTTAGAATGAAATGTACAATGTGAGGGGGAAATTATTCAAACACAAAGCAGAAAGAGAGCTGTCAGTGGAAGTGGGCGGTGATACAGGAAGCGAGTGGGTGGGCGTGTGAGAAGCACATTTCTCTTTTCTCAGAATAGTGGAAGAAAAAATGCCGCCCATTCTCCTCCCTTTCAAAAGAAGTAGGTCGCAAGCAAATATTTTATGCTATACCAATTGTCAATGGGACATGTTTTGAAATCCATATACATGATAACATCCAATCAATGCCTGCTCAGCATTAATGACAGAAGGTGCACTAACTAAATGGCCTAAATATAAAAACATAACCCATAGCAGATGGGGATCTCAGTTCTACAGTTATAGTGTCTCATATTAGTGCTGTCGCTCCAACTAATGACTCCATTATGTGCAGATTATTCTGAACTAAATTCAAACAGACAAGCCAAAATAGCGGTGACTGAAAGTGTGACAGCCGTATAAGCCTATTCATGAGGCAGGACAGAAGCAGGAAGTGGAATCCACCAGAGAAACGCCCCCAGAGGTGTTTGGCTGGCTGCTGAGAGGGAAGGAGGAGAGAGCATTTTTGACCCACAGACAAACTCAAATCATTTCTTTACATACCTGTGATCCAGTACTTTTGCCCTTTTTAGATGCTTTCCCTCCTTCTGTTCCAGATGATTCTTTCTTAGAGTCTATGGGGACAGCACAAAGTAGAGTAGTACAATGTTACAATTAGGCTATGCTGTAGGCTAGTTCTCAATAGAGTGAGAATTACAAAGTCACAGGACAAGGCGCAAGCAGGAAGCTCAAAACACACCTGATATCGCAGACAAAACATAACAAAGATAGTCAATAAAACACATGAGAGAGAGGTAACCTCATCACCAATATCAAAGAGGCGCGTAGCCTCCTATCTGTCAGACAGAACCAGGGGCAGCAGAGGGGAGGAGAGACCAACAGGGGGAGGGTACCTACCACTCATAACGCATTAATATACCGAGAGGGAGAGGGTGTAGTTCACGGTAGAAGGCCGGCCGGGTACAGAGGCGGAGGACGGCCTATATGTTCGGCGCTGAGCCGTGGCGGATCTGTCCCTTTGACGAAACCACCCACCGGCCAGGAAGGGCGGTGCCAAGCGCCAGCACAATCAAGCACACATCGAGTATTGAAGAAAAGATACACCACAGTAGAGTCCGGAACAGACGCTTTACGCAGCTTCTCAGGACCTCTCTCTTACCGTGTTGACAGTCCATAAACGAACAAATAAGAAAGTGTCAGGGTGATATCCACAGAGAACTTGGCAATGTGTGACCGCGGAGGCCCTCCCACTTCCATTTAAGCATCAGGACAACACCCTCTTCTCGTCGCCGCCGTTATTCCTACCGCACGACGCAGGGACGCCTTGTCGCTCTTGGCTGTGCATTAAAATAAACGCATAACCTGTATTTTTATTTTAAGCGTAAACAGATTTTTTCGTGCACAATTGATTTTTAAAGAGGGAGATACGAGGAGATAGCAGTGGCTTTTGTGGGCGGATGCGCTCCTCCCACATATTCAGATTGGACGACGAGGATCGGCGTGCGAGGGTCGAGATGGGAGTTGTATTTTAGCGAAGCCTCGCCTTCTCCAAAGCGATTGGGTAGACAGCACTACAAGTCCCACAATGCACCGGTGTTTCGGTTAGTTGAAGCAGTCGCACAAAAAGTCATGTTTGTGTGAGAGCGAGAGGGAAGGGCGGTGACTTGTGTGCTGTGGGGGTTGGGCAAACGGGAAAGAGAGGCGTAGTTTCAGTATCAGAGAGGGCTTGTTTCCAAGATCCCCTGTCACAAGACCACAGTGAAAAAGCTAGCACAAGTATAAAAGGCTATATGGTTTTTATGTCTATCCTGTCACAATCACTAAAATTACAATTACAAGTATTACAGTCTTTCTACATGTCTGTCAACCTGGACAAACAGAAGAAATAAGCCTAAAGACAACAAATGGACACTCAAAGTTTATCCTCCAATATCATAAAGCAACACTCATTATTATTTCAATCTTTAATATGATGTTATATGATGTGCTTATAGGAACTGGACCTATTAAGCATTAAGTAGGGTATAAATACTATACCCCAATTAGGATAAGTACAAAGGATGGGAAGACTGTTAAGATTTAACTGCTGGATTGAAGAACATCGAGGATCAAAAATGTGTCTCTAAAATTTTAGGCATATTCACAGGTTTCAACATCCTGTGAGTGACATTTGGGCAACTTGTCAATATTTAAAATATATTTCATTTTAATTTGTGCTATGTAAACAATTCAGTTTTTCATCATTCTAAATCTCATATCCTATTTCAACTGTCAAGAATTAATCAACAAGTGAAGCCTACTATTGGCCAAATTGGTCTAATTATGCACAAGCCTGGAACATGCAGCGAACAAGTCTGGTTAACAAACCTCCAAACTGATAAAGCATGCAGATTGCATTTTATTAATACATTTAAAATAGATTTCCAGTTGCAGTATTGTAAGTTTTTTTTTTTTTTTCAGCAGATTGTTGCTGTAACAAAATACCTAGAGATGAGGCCATGCCATGGTCCATAATAAGGAAAGAGGCACATGCTCCCATATTAAGATTTCTCAGGAGTTTGTACTTGTACCGTTCCCAAGTCCAGAGCAGGGTGGAGTCACAAGTTCCCTCAAGCAGAAAACACCATTAACTCCTGTGTGTATGAGTATCTCTCAGAGAGAAGAATATTTCAGTTCAAGTGACTAAACTAGACATTACATTACAGGAGCATGCCCTCAGTAACTGTCACATGTATACTTCCTTACAGGTCACTAGACCCAGTGCATACAGAAAACTGCTTGGCCAATTCATGACTGTAGAAATATTTCTGATAAGTGTTGGACACAAAAGTGGATCATGCCTGCAGTGCTCTGCCTTCTTGAGATCCCTTTGTTTGTCACAGAGACCTAGAAGCCTTGTTTTCACATCTAAACCGCACAAACACCTGGGCTGGCCCAGAAACACAGACACACATGCAATTACTGCGGAAGCCGGAATCTTGTCTCCGCCCCCTGGGCCATGGTAGGCCGTTGCTAAGCGACCAGGTCTGTCTGAAGAGGGGTGTTGTGTGCAGCGGGAGCTCAAAGAACATAGAACTGTAACACAAACCAAGTAGCCTAGAGCAGCAAGATTAATCGCAATTGAATCGAAATCATAATTTGACGCAATTTGCAATATAGCAATAGTACACCAATGCCCTCTACAAACAACAAAATGCCCTAAACCACTAACAATGTGGTTAACGTATGCACATATGTTCTGAAATACATGTGATTATTTTATTAGTTTGTCAGTTAATATTTCAGTCTTTTTGCCAATTCAGTTCTCCTGGATACGATTAAAATGTGAATGAAATCTAATAGCAATGCTTGTCAGAAAAATTGCAATTAGATATTTTTCCCAAGTCCTTCAGCCCTAGCATAGCATAGATACCAGTAGGACTACTTGATGTACTGTATACTTGTTTGACAAATTAAATGTTATTTTCAAATATCACACATTGTGAACCAATGTTCATTTACATGTAAAATTCTGGTCTCCATTGATTAAATAGTAAAAATGTATCAGGCTACAAAACAAGGTCATAAGTCTATAGTAATGTATGGCAAGCCTATGTAGAATATTAGCAGTTGTTTATTTTGTTTGGGCATTATGTAAAGCCCACACAACTATTATGCTTTATTCAGGTGCATCAGAAATAGTTTTACGCCACTAGAGGGCGGCACCGAGTCATAGCCAACTCTGATCACATATCCAGTTCCATCCCTCTACTGAAGTGTTGAGGCTTTTTTTCCTGCACAAATAAATAAATAAATTAAAGAACAGGTCTTACTACATAAATAATTTGAAATTAAAGTACACATTTAAGTCATTTAAATATACTTCAGAGGAAGTAGTTATTGCAATTTAAAAATGTCACCCTATAGTCTAAGCTGGAGCCAGTTGATTGTATAACATGCTATATTTCAGTGTGAGTCAATATGCGTTGTGTGCGGATGCAGTTTTGCGTGATACTTAGGTGTAGATGTGCGTTCGTCACATGCATCCTCGGCGTCAGGATGTCTCCCTTCTCTTTAAGGTGAGGTTGTAAAGGCAAAAAGATTTATGACTTTGAGCATGACTTAATGTTTTGGCAGATGTCCATGTTGAATGAGTGTGTGTGAGATAGAGACTGGAGCTTGTTGACAAGTAATAACATACTAATTTAAATGAATGTAGTCAGTAGGCCTACCAAAGTAGTATACCCAATGTGGCGGTATGATCTGCCTCTCTCAGAATAATGTGTCAGTGGTTAAAAAATCCCACATATAGCAAAATATAAGAGGGATTGCCATACATTTCACAAGATAAAATTATTCAACTTTTTTAACTGTACAAATTCAACAAATATTTGTTTTAGAAAATATGCTTTTCTACTAAATGCAAGCAGGATTCTAGGTATACCTATAACTCAAAGAAATGAGAGAGTTAATCTAAAACTTCTACTCTAACTGAAGAAATTTAATTGTGCCTTCACATACTTCATACATTCACAACAAAATAGTGACTAAACTGGGACTAAACCTGGAACTAAACCTGAACTAGATCAGGACTAAATCAGAACTAAGACAGGACAAAACCAAATCTATATTGATGGTCTGGTCTCAAACCAGGGCAAGTATGAACCATAAGTCAGTAGAATTTGGAGAATGATATGTTAGTAAACAAGGAAAGACAATTTAAAATCAAAACATATTTTAAATAAAGGGGTCAGGTATCCACAGAAATGGATGACTAACTGCAATGCAATCAGTTATCCTTTTCATCCATCAAGTATCAGTGATTTGCTTATAGATCTGATGGTGCAAAGTAATGCAGCCCATTACCAAACGACTGCCATTTGTTTATCTTCAGTCACTTCATAACTTTAAAATGTCAAAATAAATCACATTTTACACCCATGCTGACGTAAACACAAAGTTATGGTTAGACTCTGCAGCACTTTGTTTAAACATAATTTAGCAGAGTTTTAAAAGGACATAATTACAGGCCCCAAAACATCTTTAAAGACAGAGTTTCCAGAAAGCGTAGAATGTTTTCTTTTCTACTCTAAGTATTTTTTCTGTATTTGTAATGTTAATATGTTTATATCTGTTTCCCACATTTATGCACACTGGGGAGATGAGAGACTACAGATGCAAACAGAGCGAGGGTCAACTATGGGTTAGCTGTAGTTACCTGACATCCCAGGGTCAAAGGTCAGACCAAAAGACAAAAGGTGAAAACATGTACCTCGTTACAGAAGGGATGACACCCAGACTTTGAACTGAGACTGAACTCACAGCAAAGGGTCCTACACCAAAAAGTTTAGCCATATTTAGCACAAAAGAGCACTCCACATGAAGAGTTATACTGTCTGAAGAGATACTATCTTCTCCAGCAGCATTCACATCTACACAAAACAGTAGACAAAGTATATGCTTGCTTCGATATACCTATAATAAATATGAACACAAATCAGCAAAACGTAAAACAATAAAATACATACAGCTCGCAAGGATGTCGAATTTGTATTGAATTTTAATCAAGATCGAGATTTAGTCACCTCTAAACATCAATTAAGTGCTTGGGTCTTTGTAATTGAGAGGTATACAGCCAATCCTCAGTCACTATGACCATGTGATTTGGAGCAGCTTTCAGACTTACAAGGAAAAACACTGATTAGTCTTTTTTATATTCAGAAAATATAGATTGAAATCAATTTCAATCAAACCTTTTTTAATAATACAAAATAAAATAAAGGAAAATTATTGTTTGGTTTTTTTTTTGGTCATACATCACCCAGCCCTGCTAGCTTGTAACTTTTCTTTATCTAATGTGAAAGGCTTATGTTAAACTCGTGAACTGCCCCTGGAATTAAAAATAAATAAATATAAAAACACATGATATATTTTTATTTGTGAACAAATAACTGTTTTGGCAATCTCAATCTCGATTTTCCAGCAAACAAAGTCTTGTGTTTCTGTTGCTCTCACTTTACATGAAGAGGCAGAATTAACCTGAATAGATACAATTAAAGAGGACAGGAGCCATGCTGAGCTTCCAGATAGCGAGCAAGCATGTATTTAAGCAGTCTCTTTGAAGCTAAACGTGAAATGATTAAGACCTACTAAGAAGTCTGTAGTGCTCAGTGTGTGGGAGCAGATTGGGTCTGTTTGAAGATGCTCCTATAATACAAGATGAGGAAGGCCTTTACAGCAGCAGTAGTAGTTTTAAGTGGAGGGTGCAGCTGGCCATAAAGATCCAAGATAAGTTTTCAAATTTGTGTGAGTTAGCTGAGGAACCTGACAGGACTTGTGGGGCCTGGTTGTGCTGACGCCAACCACTTGTTCCTGGCTGTCTGTGTATGTCCTGTGTGAGGGCCCCGGGGCAGTGCATGTGTCTGTGGTGAGGAGGGAGAGAGCAGCGTTTCATGTTTGACGGGAACTATCAATAAAACAAGCAGCCATGAAATCATCACAGGAGCCACCTCAGTGAAGTTTGAGAAAATGCAAATTCTTTGTACAAAAAATAAAATAACTGTTCTGTTGCTTCTTTTTGTCACATTACAGATATTTTTGTTTACTTTCTAACTATGAAAGGAACAAATAAATTCTGACAAATGTATAACCTCAAGTACATCATTCACAATCATTCACGTTAGAAACTGGCAAGAATGAAAACCTTTCTCCAGATTTTCAACAAAAAGGCCATCTGTCATTCAGTAAAGTAACAACTAAGTGAAAAGCACCAAAATACAAAATATAGTACAAGATTTATTTTACAAACCACAAAGAAATTTCTCTTAGTGTGGAGCATTTTAGCTTTTCATTGTGGAATAAATTAACAATCTGAGGTGCGGCAATTAGCATGAAAAAGCAAGCAGCTTTTTTCCAGTCAATTTAACGTCAAGCTGCTTCTTGGGTCTTTTTTAACCCCTTCTCTTCCCCAGCTCCTGAGCCCCCCACATTTTATGGCAGTCATTGTGGTGAGGTTCAGCACAATGGCAGTGGGAGGAGCAATAGGTAACTATAACATTTAGTGGCTTTAGATATGCTTCTTTCTGTGCACATTGGCCTGCACGGGGTTTGGGCCTAAATAAAAAGGTCATTGACTTTTAGACAAGCACATAGACATGATGTATTTGAAGGAGGTTGAGGGCCTCGGTATTCAACAGTGTTTAAAACGTTGTAACAAACTATATTTAAATCACAATAATCGTCATTTAAGTAAAAATGAAACCTAAAAAAGGCATCATGAAAGCATTTAATTCATATATTTGAATAGGTACAATTCAATAATGGCATCTAGGTCTAGCACAAAATAACATAAATAAAATAATATAATGTAATGTTATATTACTTGTCCAATACTTGGCTAAAAAGGATATGGGTGGCTAAAATAGGGATTAGAGTGGTATATGTTAAACTACAAATGCAATGTGGATATAAAAAAGTATTGTGCCTGTCACTATTGGAATAATTATTGGACCTACACTGGAGAGCTAGTGGCAGTGGCTGGAATAAAGTCAAGATATAAAGGTGAAGTTTACACAAGGCCTAAGAAATAAACCTTTACAGTTTTTATAGGATTTTGGCTAAATCTATAGTGAGACTGTCACTAAGATCCCTCAAGTATTCTTCATGTTCTCCTCCATCAGTTGTAGAGTTTTGCCAGACTCTTAAGCACACCTCCAAAATGACCTAGACCCCCCGCATGGAGGTAGAGCCCTGATCAGAGACATCAGGTCCATCCTTCACCACCCATAGTGAAAAATGACGTCTGGAAGTGTATGATTATGCTGGAGGGCTTGAGCGCATCCATCACAGCACAAATTGAACATGCAGAGCCACGCACACACGCACACTTGACCACACATTAAAAGAGAGCAGAGGAAGAGGTTGATGAATGAACAGTGGTAAATTAATCTTCGTGTCCAAGAGGTATGTGTGTAGAGAGAGGGATGAGCTGGGTTATTGGTGATGAGAAGAAAGATCGTGGACAGAGTCAGGATTTAATCAAGGAGAAGGTGAAGGAAGTTTGGAGATTCACGATGCTGTTGGTCACCGAGTTTAGATTCTTACAATTGTCCAAATATACTCTACTGGATTATGTTGATGTTGTAAATCAAATATAATACATAGTCAAAAAAGAAATAAAAAATAAGGGTTCAATAAAGTATATATCTACCTATAAAGGAGTTACAGATACTCCAATCCACATTAGCTCCAAAAAGTAAAATCTAACTTGTATATTTTATTTATTTGTGATTTTTGAGTTTTTATCTAGGCTCCAAAATTTCAACACAAATATAACAAAACAGGACAATGTAATTAAAGGTGTCTTGAAAACAATAAGATACTAAACCAGCCCAAAATGTTAAAATATGGTGTGAATTTTTTAAAATAACATAGAACCTACTTAACTAGCGTTTTCTCATTTAATAATTTGAAGCAACATTAAAATATTTAACAATGTCACAACATTTGGCTTTATTTAGAGGAATTAATTCTAAGCCTGGTTTCTCTTATGCCTACACAGCATAAACCTGTATTTTTTCTGTTGGTAGTTATGAATGAAAGGACAAAAGTTGATAAGGCACGAGAGAAACCTATTAGGCAAGCAGCTTCAGGACAGACGCTTGTTAAAAGAGACGCCACACAGAGAGTCACGGCTGTAGACGTGAGCATTTCATCTACTGCACTTACTAATCTTATCCTCTTTCACGGAGCGTAATTCTTCCTGTTGCCTTTATAAATCTCTCTCCTTTCCACACCTCTTCCCCTCTTTCGGGAGCGGAGACAGCAGATGTGTTGGCAGCCAGAATGACCTTTGTGATGTATGGCTTAACAAACTACAGGCATCCATCAATTGAACCTATGTCCATCTATCTGTGCATGAGAGACAAAGGGTCTAGGAAGAGAAAATGCTTGATTTTGTATTCACTACAGCTCAAACAGGCAGACAATACACTAACCGCGGGAATACATCCTCCTCTGACATTTTCTGTATTCATGAATGAATGTGGCCGTAATATACGTTACTGTCCAGTGAGCAGCAGAGAGAATGAGCTTCAGATAAAATGCAGAGGATTGGTGTGACTTACAAATTAGTTCTACTAAACCTATTAAATACAAAGCCAAATGTACCAATTCATATAAGAAAATAATGTTTAGTGTTTTGGCAATAACTGTTACCTGAATGTTGTCCAATTCTGACTGGTGTGTTGCAGTCTCTGTGGTGGTGGATCAGGATGATGCTGACAGACAGAAGACATGCCCTCTCTCAGGTAATTACAGGAAGCAGAGGGAAGCTGCTCCAGGCACATCCTGGCACACACCTCACCTGGATGACTTCTCCTTCAATGTAAAATAAGTGGAGGTTGTTTTAGTGGCTGTGGTTTTGGGGGCCATCAAATGACACATTTATCTTCGGCTGAAGCAACAGAAATGCTACAATTCATTTTTAGTTTACCTTATATTGAGAAAATTATCTCTTTATTTAAATTTGATTGATGGGCCTTCTTGCTATTTGTAATGTATTTTTGTGCCATGTTTAGCAGCATGCCTTTTGACTGTCTGATTCTTCTGCTAATTGTCTCAGCAGGGCAGCTGACCAAGATGGCCGCTCAGTGACCGTGCTCCATTGACCAGAGCGAAGCAGAGGAAAACACCAAGGAGAAGTTAAATACTCCACCCATCCCTCTCCCCGAGAAGTGCCAGATCTTTATTTCACTCCTTTCTAAAGGCCTTTTCTGTCTCAGTGCCCACCAATTGATTGGAAAGCACACGACAGTCCTGTTTTGTTAGACTTCAATGGAGCGTGATAATTTGGTCATTATCATCGCTGAAGGAACAGGTTGGGGCTCAGACAGGGTTTCATTGGGGGCCTTTAAAGCACATGCACACACACTTTCAGTGTGGGAAAAGAAAGCTTCTAAAGAAGGGACAGCTGTTTGGGTGGCTCTGGGTGGCGATCAGGTTAAAGGGAAGAAGGCCTACTGTAAAGTCCACCTGTGCATTTGGCCAGGCCTGAGGCAAAGCAACAGCTAGCATGGGATCCTATAATTTTGTCAGACCCTTTGAGAAGTTGGCATTAGGTTTAGCAGACTCTCCTTTATAGAGGCAGTTTAGAAAAAATACAAGCCAATTTGCAAAACGTCACAGTAAAATAACATACTTCAGAACTAGGTAAATTATAAGTAGCATTTATTTTCTAATGGTTACATTCTGCAATTCATATGACCACAGTACTTTTCTTTTCCTAATGTACATACACAACACTACACTAGTCACTCCATCCTATGTCTTTGCATACGGCTGTCAATATTAATCTTGAGCACTTTCAATCACCATATGTAATCAGTGGGCTTGTGCTTTGCTGGTTTAAGCAAATGAAAGACTTGATTAACTTTTCTTCTGTCATGTGGGTCCTGTTGACTTTATTTGGACCAGAGAACAAAAGAGATGAGGAGATGGCACTGAAGCAGTTAATACCACACAAATGAAGCAAATGGATTAAAGCCTTCCATTTTATTAAATCTGAATTTCAAATGAATTGCACCCTCTACATCTCATAAGGGTGTTCATTTATTATAGAGCCTGACATGACTTCTAACTAGGTATTTGCCTACCATCTTTAAAGAACAGAGAAGTGATAATAGTCCATGGTGAATTTACTATTTTGTTTTGTGGTAAGCACAGGCATGAGTTTCCTAAAAACTTACATTTGTTTTGTGTCCATTGAGAAGAAATTGCAGAGGCAGTGGTGGTGTCCTCCTCTCCCTCCCCCAGGGAGGCTCCATACGCCCCAAGGACAGGATGGGACGGTCCTGTACAGCCTCTCATTCATCAGCTTCTCCCCCTTCAAGCCCCACGACATCAGTAAAAAATCTGAAAGGGATACCAAACAAAACTGTCATTTAAATGCCATATCAGATGATCAGATGATAACATCCTAACTTAAAAAAAACAAAAAACAACAACTTTAAAATGGTTTTGGTAGCTTTGCGACTGGCAACAACTTTGGGCATTTTATGATCGCTTCTTTGAAGATAAATAAGTTGACACTATAACGTGTCAAGAAGCCTGTGATTTGGTCAGAGTGAATAATGTCAAGTGAATCCAGTCAGTATGACTACTTTTCTGATTAATCAGCTTGCATGGTGAAATAGCTATTACCTGTTGCCGTCCGGTGCGCCTGAAGGCTACAACGTCACGTTTTGATTTACGACCCTCTCGGGCACTGTCGTGAGACTTTCAGAGCTGAATTGTGATTGGACAAAGGACTATCCGCGGCTCTTCAAAGCCACACAGTCAGTACTTCTAAGCCACAGAGAGGCAACTGCCAGAGAGTTGTGCAAACTCAGGACAAACACACACCGACTTCAGGAACACAAACCAACGGCACCTCAGGGCCAACAATGGCAGCGACTCTGCTCGGGGTAAGTTCACTTAGCTTACGAGTTAGAATAAAATTGGCTCAAAATTATAGATGTTTATCTAGTCTTCAGTTGATTAATCTAAGGCTAATGATTTGGCCGTAATAAAAAAATAATGTAAAAGCAGCTTTACGCACTTTTTTCTTATTTTACGCACAGACTGCGAACCACGGACATGGCCCTAATATGTCTATATCTGTCCCACAGGAGGAGCCCCGACTCGGCAGCACACCTCTGGCCATGCTGGCTGCAACCTGCAGCAGAATCGGGGAGCCAAGTCCTTCATGTTCTCCTACTTTGTCTGACGGAGCCCCCGGATTGGCCAAGGGTTTTCAGCCCTGGAAACTGGGCGCCCCTGGGAGCAACAATTTAGGCACCTGCCTAACCTCAGTTGGTGTCACACATGGGATTCACAAAAGCAGCAATACAGGGCTGGTGAATAGTTGTAGTGCCTTTTCGACTACCAACACAACAGTTGGAAATGATTACAACGGGTACCACAGTCCCGTAGCTTCTGGGAGTAGTGTTCCAGACGCATCACATACACAGAGGCCCTTGTTTTGGACTAAGTTCCCACAGGCTGTTGAGGGTCTTGGAAGTGTTTACCCAAGGGTGCACGCGCATCCTTATGAGTCATGGTTCAAGACTGTCGGAGAGGTAGGTAATGGGCATGCTTCCTGGTGGGAAATGGGCTCCGGTTGGATGGACACGCAAAGCCCGAGCGGTATAGGAGCTCCTCATAACGGCTTCAGCTCTGAATTCAGCCCGCTGACTCATCCCACTTTTAGCTCTGGTGCTTCTCAGTCGATTCTTCCAGGAGCACAACCTCTGTTTGATGGTCTCAGACCCGGCCCCACATTTACAGAGTCAGGTTCTGCTCCACTCACTCTGAGCGCCAGCCCTGTGTTACCCGCACCTGCTGCGCCTCGTTCATCCTCTCGGCGGTACGCCGGACGTGCCACATGCGACTGTCCCAACTGCCAGGAAGCAGAGAGCCTGGGACAAGGGAGCACAAGCCCACGGCGGAGAGGGCTCCACAGCTGCCACATCCCTGGCTGCGGGAAAGTTTACGGCAAAACGTCACACCTGAAAGCTCACCTGCGCTGGCACACTGGTGAGCGCCCCTTCGTCTGTAACTGGCTCTTCTGTGGAAAGAGGTTCACACGCTCAGACGAACTCCAGCGGCATCTCCGCACTCACACGGGCGAGAAGCGCTTTGAGTGCACTGTGTGTCACAAGCGATTCATGCGCTCCGACCACCTGAGCAAGCACGTGAAGACGCACAGCGCGGAAGAAGGCGCGGAACATGGATTTGGGAAAAGCACCAGTGACACCGAAAACAGCGGGTGCGGCAGCCCCGGACTGTCTCCGGAGCAGCGCGTGCGTGACTTAAACCAGAGCACAGGATCTGAGAGCACTGTGGAATAACCCTGTTTCTGTACGGTGTGTTGTGGAACTGCTGTGAACTGTGAGAACTTTGAACTCAGGCACTTTATCATGAACTTTGTGTCTTTACCTCAACTGTTTATAAATAAAACATATGCAAAATCCTTAGTCTTTAGTCATGATTTGTTATTATCACACACGTACACGCACACACACACGCACACAAAGAAACACATGGCACAAGACAAAACAAGACCTAGTACGTCAAAGATACAATTGTACCTTACATAATGTAAAAATCTCGTTTTATTGGAATGAAAACAGCTTTGCTACAGTCGTTGGAATTCAAGCAAAATTGCCTACCAGATGAGATGATTATTGCTGATTTGTTATAATTAATGTACAATAATAGGCAACTTACAATGCAATGTAACAATGTACAAGCAGTTTCTTGAATTACTAAGAAAGAAATATAAAAATAAATAATTAGTGTTTCTCACTTAACAAGAACAATCATAATAGTTATAATTTACTTATTGCTGTAAACAAGGATGCAGGAATTAAAAGTTAAAAAAAAGTATACCAAAAAGGTCTCTAACAAGCCTGTGAATGGCTTTAGTGCACGTTTTAAAATCACTTCTCATAGCAGCGCTTTAGCTGTGAAAAATTCTGAGATGCATTATACTGCCCATACGCAGTTTAAAACTTCCAGTGTTTCTGACTGTTTTTAATGTGTAAATTGTGTCTAATGCCCATAAAATGTTTGTCATGTAACACCCAGTACCCAGTAGTACAATGCAATAATTGTTCAAGTGCAAGTCTAACCATCAAAACTAAAATACATAAAAATAAAATATTACAAGCTAAAAAAAAAAAAAGAAAAAAAAGAAAAAAGAAAAAAAGAATGGTGCTGTGCTAATTAGATTACAAAAATACAGTACAAGATAACGCAATGAAAACAATGATGCCCAAATACAGTCAGTATTTGAACTAGTCAGAGGTTAATAGAATATCAGAAATGTTTTATAACAGTGTACTTCTCTAGTGCAGCCACACGGGGGCAGACTAAGCTAAAGACACAATTTGAGTGCTTTGGCCATTCTAAATAAATGCCCTGAAATCCCTGCCCGCAAATTTCAGTGTAAATCCACATACAATGCAAAGACAAACAGAGCAAGTGTCAGCTTTTTGTGCTTTCTGAATTAGCCTTTTTAGTCATAGTCTGTAAGTTATGAAATCATTAGACATAAATCCGCTCCATTTTAATGCCAGGGGTCATTAATGGGCATCTTGGGGACTTGAATATTCATCTCCACTGGGTGATCTCGTGGTCTGTCCCTTCTGTAGGTTACTGTTTTCTCATTGGTTGTAGGGATGTATGAGAGATCCTGAAAATAAAACATTCTATTATTTTTATATTTATTACAACATTTATTCAAACAGTCTCTCAAAGCACTGAAGTTATACCTGTTCCATCAAATGTTTTGTAGTGATGGACCAAAACATAATATGACTTTTTTGTTAGCAGGCTACAATTTAGCTGTAGTCTAATATAAATTCACATATTAAGTATTTTAAGTGGAGTGTTGGTTGGGCCCTGTTGTAACTATAATACATTTCTTGTACACTACTTAGATTCACTTTTGTTCTGTTTAATCGTATTTCCATTTATAAACATTTTCTGTGCAGCATCAGTTTATTAGAAAAGATATTAAAAGCTTACCTTATCAGTGCAATTGTAGACCCCATCAGCAGTGCCCCCTGGTGGCCGATGCCTTTTCAGGAGCAGCAGCCTAGACACAGCTACCACCACCAGCCCACACAATACAGTCAGAGCACACACACTCAGGAAGGTTCCCACCCGACTACTGCTGCGACACTCTGTAAATATCAAAAAACAAACAAAAAAACTAATATGCAAGATAAACTGAAGAATGAGGTTTTGTGGTATATCAAGGGGAGAGGGTAAAACTTTATGAGGATGGCAAATCTATATGACTATTAAACTTTACTAAAGTAGTTTCAATCAGCAGCACATTCTGTTGATTGTAGATGTCTTATTGGCAGGGGTGTAAATAGTGTTGCTGTGTCCCGTTATCGGCAGTGAGTCTGCCGGCGTGCATGTGTGGATGACAGGCCTATTGCTGAACACAAAGAGCCCAAAGAGAGCTCTGACATTTGGTAACAGTAACCATGGAGACCTGGCTGGCTGCACCCGGGAGGAGTGGGTGTAAGCAGGAGCCTGTCCTGCTGGTAAAGGGGGTATCAAGATCAGGGCGATGGAGGAATGTACAATGAATAGAGCTGTCTCAAAAAAACTAAGGCATGAACACTGTAATGTGCTCAACCCGGGGCATGGTATGACTGGAGTTTTGTACTGCTGCAGTAAAGTGAGCTGGGATCTGAGAGGAAATGTAAAATACAGCTGTAACACTGACAGCAGGCTGCTGAGTCAAAGCCTCCAGGGTGCAGTGGAGACACAGTGGTAGCAGCGGAAGTGACCTGAATGAAGTGCTTGAGTGTGTTTATACCTGCCCTTGTGTGAATGTGGAGCTCAGTCTGTCCAGCCTCTGTCGTTATTTGAAATGGATAGCGACAGTTGTTATTACTGACGTACATGCACTGGACCCATTTATCCCCTATTTGACCTGGAAGGAGAGAGAGAGAGAAATAGAGCCTTGGGACTAAAACAGAATATAACAGTCCACTAAAACCAAAAATGCTGAGAATAGTACAACATTTTGTCATTTTTACAGGCACTGATTAGTAAAGTCTGTGCAATGCCATGGAGCTAATCTGTGTCATACATTACAATCCATTTCACTTTTTTTATTTTTATTTTTTATACCATTCTTGTGCCACTAGTGAATGATTCTCTGTAGTCAATAAGTGTTTTGATAATAAAAAAACAACAACATACCATTGTCAGTATAGTGGACTGAGGTGGGGCATGTCTTATTGCAGTGGGATTTTTCTCTCTTACTAAGGCCGTCGGCAGCATGGCAGAACACACAGTTCCTAAATAGATAGATAAATAGATAGTTAAATTGTTAAAACAGTTTTAAAGACACTGGACACCAAACGTTAAATATAAATGGGCACGGACTCACATGTTTGACTGGCAGGTGCTTTGACAGACAGGACATCTCTCACAGAAGCTTCCAGAGCGTCTGGAGTCACTACACACACACCTGCCACAGACGCACTCACCGTGGCCACTACACAATAAACCGTCGGGTGATTGGCAACTTGTGGAGGAAGCAGGGCATTCACAGCTATCGCCTGTCCAATCATTTTTACACACACACTCGCCAAGTACGCAGTCACCATGCCCTAGGAAAAGTCAAGACAAGAAGATAAGTAAAGTTTTTGATAGTCATCATGTGTAACATTGCAACCACCTGATTATTACTGGATGAATGGGAGTCCCAATCACAACAATTTTCACATTTACTGCTTGTTTGATAGTTAGGGGCCAGTGCAGACCAGAAAACAGAATCTGGGTGACAGTAGTGTAGGGGTTTGGGTCTACCAAGGAAATAAAAGATCAGAGAACCAATCAGCTGTCCCATTTCCCACTCCAGTTACAGTAATTTCACTAGTCACGACAGGTAGAGCATCCGGTGTAAACTTCTGACCAATCACCATGCAACTGGTTTGCTGTGGCAACCCCTAAGGAAAAGGCAGCAACCACATGTGTAATCTATTTTATCCACTAACTGATGCCATGATTATGTTTGGGTGAGTGGTCATAATGTTATGAGCGTGAGTGAATTCAGCCTGGAAGACCTAATTTGCTCCCTTCTACCTCACCACTTCTCCAGAGTTTACCATCTCCTCAGCCTTCGTCTTCGCACTCCAAATACTCCAACCCACTGCTCGCCACCCTTGTCCAATCAGCGCCCACTTTGGTTTATGCCGCACCCCACCTTCTCCCCAGCACCCCCTCAGCTTCTCATCCTCCCCCCTACTCTCTTCGTCCTCATCTCTACCACCTTCAGTGTCCAGGCCCAGGAGGACATTTCTTAAACCTTATCTAATCAGCCACGCCCTTCATCACAATGTCTTCTGCTAACTTATTCAATAAAACTACTAAAACTTTCTCTTTGGTCTAAGTCTGTCTAGGTTAACATTACCAGTTGCATGGTGCTGTGGCAACCCCTGAGGAAAAGGCAGCAACCAAATTCATAATATATCCTACCTACAACTGGGGCCATGATTATATTTGAGTGAGTGGTCATAATGTTATCCTTTGTCTACTGCTGGGTTTCAGATAACATCACATCATTCTAGGCCAGAAATATACAGTACATATGGAAATATTAAAATGAAAATAGTTAAAATGGTGACTTTGATCAATAATAGATAATTATTGATAATAATCAGGTTCAACATGTGTGAATTTACCTTTTGGCTATTTCCTGGCAAGTACAATGTTATTAATAAAAAAATGTGGCTATTGACATTGCAGAATTTGAAAACCACCAATTACCTCCACAGATTAGCCCTCTGAAGTACGGACATGAGAAGTCATCTTTCTCACAGTACTTTCCGTAGACAGTGCCCAGCCTGCTCTGGTCACACACACACCTCCCACATTCACAAGTTCCTCGCCCGCTGCACATCAGGTCTGACCCGGCAGACTGGCAGCTCAGGTTCAGGCTTGGGTCCCTCTGCTCCTGGCCTGTTTCTTCACAAAATGCCTGGCTGCTGTTATGGCAGTGTCCAGTTGATTCACAGCAGCAACGACACTTGGAACGGATCCTAATCACACTGGACTCATTGTAACCCACAGGGCGAACCGTCAATGATATGTCTTCATCTTCACCATTGTCAGGGCAGCTGTGCATTCCAACAGTGATGTTAAAATAAACCTGCAATGGAAATATAATAATCAAATCATTAATCATCCCATTAGTACACACTGATGATATTTCATGCAAGAAAGAATATAACCTGAACTCCAACCAAGAATCTCATTCATTCAGTATTGTTTTTCTTTATGTTTACTACTTTCTGCATTTCATATATACATACTGAAGACATCAAATATATGAACCAGACATATGGAATTATGTAGCAAAAAAAGTAAAATGACCACTATTATTTTAGATTCAAATTCCTCAAAGTAGCCAGCCTTTGCTTTTTTCCCAATTCCAACAAAGAATCTTATTGCAACTGTATGCCCTATCACATTACATTATTGCCTTATTTTCAGACACTATACTGTGATATTGTTTCTCTCAATATTGAAATAGTCATAAGCCATAATCATCTTACAAGTGAAGTAAATATACCCTTTGCATTTATTGGTTATTAATTACAGACATTATTTAAGTTTTGTAAAATAGAAACATATTTACCGTCTGTCCCGGCTGCACTCTGGAGCAGCTCTGTTGGTTTGCCGTGGAGCCGTTGGGGCAGAGGGGAGACACGGACACCCAGAACCTGCTAGATGCTCTGTCGTTCAAGGACACTGTCACAGCTACCTCTGACAGCAGCTCCTACATGGAGACAGGACAGTTCAATAAACCTTTTAGTGTTCTTAAAAACTACCAACACATAGGGAAACTGAGGTGGTGTGGCACTTAGAGATGCCTCTTTAAACTTTCTTGACACATGTGTGAAGGACTAATTTTGAGGACAGTATTAATAGTACTATGTGCTATGATTGCCCAGACCCTGACATGTTACTACTATGCAAAAAGCAAAACATCAAACAATGTGACAAACAATGTGAAAAGGATAAATTATTTGACAGAGATGAACCAAAAAAAAAAAAGCTGTGTGATTCATTTTAGTTGCCCCCAGGAAGGCTCTTTTGTTGCACTTTCTGTTTGTGGTACCAGAAAGGCTTATGGGAAAAAGAAGGTGGGGCCCAAAATAGCATCATTGTATTCATTCATGATTACACATGCTGTTTTCAGCAGGGATCTGAGCCATTATAAAGCCCTGCTCTGTCCAGGGCGTCCAGCTTTTGTGTGTGTCTGGATCTGTGTATTCTGCAGAATCCCTCCAAAAACAAAGCGTTACTGTGCCTGAGGGCAGATAATAGCCTGGGTTGCTGCCAAGTGAACATGCGCACAGTCACACAAACATCTAACACTTACTCACCTCCAATTTCTCATCTTACTTGATTGGTTAGTAACTGTATAACCATTATTAATTTAGTACACATCCAACTTTCCGCAAATATGATTAACTGTGCCAGTAAAAGTCTGCTGGCTCAGCAAATCACTACATCTCTAATACTGTGCGAGTTCATTGATTCTGACCTGTCTCTAACCTCTGCTTTTCCTTTCTTCTTTGCCCAGAGTTTAAATAAAACAAGAGGTAATCTAAAAGCAATTCATTCCCCCAAGGGAAAAAAGGTGAATGCTGAGTAAGCCTTGTACCTTGTATGCACCCACCACCAGTTCTGTAAGATTGGAGGCCTGGAATAGTCCAAGCTTTCCCAGATATGTCCCTGGCAGCCATCGTACCAATTCCTGAAAAAGAAAATGTAGAAATATTTCCCATTTAAAGAGAAAAATGCAACACACGAACTTGTGATAAAAAATGTACAATGCCTTACCTTGTACCACTGATACTGTTGCTTCTCTATAGCAAATATAGAATAAATATGATTTTCAAGCAGCTTGTCAGACAGCTGACTCAAACTGGGGTGGTCCTACGAGGGAAGTAATTGTTTTATTTGTATAGATTTTTTCTATTTTGTAAGCTTTTGCAAATCATTACTTTGCACTCACCATGACCGTACTTGCAGTGTAGATATTGTTCTCCAGGTGACACAGTCCATCATTGGGGGTCACAATCCCGGCCAGCCTGCTGTCCAAAGCCAGGTGAGAGGGTTGGTCCGTCATCAACAACAATAAACGCTTTGCTTCAGGTCGCCAGCCCACAGCTTTCTGAGACACAAAACGAACATAAATTATTTAACAGATTGCTTTTCATTTCACTAAATATTAATTATATGAGTGCCCACTTTATACATCTATGTAAATAAAACTATTCTGCTATTGCTCCTTCCTGGCTACCACACGTGTCATATGTCGTGAAAACAAAAAACACTAAACATTTTCAATCAATCTGTTTGTACAAGGAATAGTTTAGTTATGTCACCAATAAGCTATGCAAGCAGAAGCACTGTTTATGTTTTAATCGGGTACATATGTGGTAAGGAATGTAGCATTCGTCATTCAAATTGAGCTAGTTCCCACACTAATCTGTTTCTGTAGCACCCAATTAGAGAGAAGCAGCAAATTCTTCCAATGACTGAGGCTGTTTTTGTCTGTGACTTGTCAAACAAGGAGAGGAAAATAGTGTCTACAGCGAGAGTGAGTATTTAAGGAAACCTAGCACGCTTTTATTCTCTGCGTGAGATAATGGAAAGGCTATTTTTAGAGTCATGACCACAGCGGTGCTCCCTGCTTGGGCCCTGGATGCTTTGAATCACTGGCCTCCTGCAGTCTAACCTTCTCTGTGTCATGGCTTGGATTCCTGGGAGACTTTCTAAAGCTGACTCACCAGTCACTATACTATAACAATGGAACAAGACAGACTTTATCTAAACTATGTAACTATAATATAAACTTTGAGATGACCCCTTATACTTTGTGATGCTTATGATGCAGCTCAGTAGCCTCTTGGTTGTTTGAAAATCAAGGACACAAGAATTTAATCAGTTACAGAGACATATAAACTCTCAAGGGAAGCAAGTATATCTATTATTTTTTTAAGTAATATATTTATATTTGTCAATATTTATCATATTGTCCATTCCTACTGATGGATGTTACCAACCAGATACACACCCCTTATATACTGAAATTAAAATACAAGTAGCTAACAGATTCAAAATAGAAAATATGAGTCAGATTAGGTCATCTAAACAGTCATTCTTTTTATCATCACAATCAAGGCAATTACTGTAGTTAGATGGAAAACCTTAATACCCAGCTGCAAAACATTACACGCTTATTACCTTTTCATTTATATCCCTTTACTGCACTCATAGTCAGATCAATTTGTCATACTTACGGTCAGCACTTTTTCATTAAAAACGGGGAATCACTGTGGTTTCACTACAGTAATTCTTTAACTCACCAAAGTTTAAAAAAATTTTTTTTTTTAAATGTCAGATGCCCTTTTTGACACAACCTTTTTTATATCTGGATGTATCTGATTATATGGGTCCAAAATATATTCATGCAGTAGCTCTTTTCTCAGGTCAATAAATCTCAGAGACTGTGTAACTTTTCTGGTAGGGTCCGTTACCAGCCGCCATAGAGCTAAGTTAAATGTCAGATCTGTGGAGAGGCAAGCCCACTCATAGTAAAAATGCAACGTTTTTAAGTCAATAAAACTCCATGTTACAGAGTAAATGCAAGATGGAAACGTTTAAAGCCATACACAACATTCCAGACAAAGCAAAGTCATGTCCATGGACAAGCAGATGGCAGATTCGTCACCAGAAAATTTACACAGTGTACCTTTAAGTTATTTTAAGTTTAAACATAATTACATGGCAGACAGCAGCTTGCAGCATTGCGTCCAGTCCTCCTTCTGGTGTGTCCATGTTCCCAGAGATGCGCTGCCGTTTGATCACACGTGTAAATTCGCTCATATTTCCAGTCATACTTAAAACATGGTGGAAGCCGTGAGCAGGCCGGCAACGGATCTCATAATCACTGTTAAATCATGGAAAGTTAAATTATATTAGAGATGTAACTGATGCTGCTATTAATTTTTAAGTCATGACAAATTTCACTGTAAGATGAAATGTGAAGGTAAACTGTTATCATGTTATTATTATTATTTATTTATTTTTTTTTAATTTAATTTGACATTACAAATTTTAAGGGTGCAATTGACTGTTTTAATCCTGACGGAGACTTAGTTTGGTCCTAGTTTAGTCCAGGTTTAGTTCTAGGTTTAGTCCCAGTTTATTCCAAATTCTCATGTGGTATTTGTGCATCCTAAATGTGTCTGCTGAAGTACTATTTAAGTACTAAGCCATGTGACAAATGCCTTGTCACATCACAGCCATAATTGCTGCCACTTAAATAAAATCAATATTATCTGTTGTTGTCATTAAGTGCCTTACCTGCAGGGGTTATTTATTTTAGAGGGATGAACGTTGATGTAAGGGGAGACTGGTTTATCCACAAATGAGCCAAAGCCAACCCAAAGGTCTGAAGAGTGCTGCGTCATTTGAAGAGAAAGTGCTACACCAACTGTCTTCAGCTTGAGACAAAAAAGATTACAACATATATTAAGTTTCGTTCACTAAAGCTAATTATATTACTTAATGTTTGCACCTTGAATAAACGAGACATACATGATCCAGGTTTTCCTGCATTGATGCCGACACATCCACCAGATAGTAAAGATCCACAGGGTAGCGCTCAAGTTGCTTTACAGCCAAAATAACGCTGGCCTGTGAGCCTAAGACAAAGCATATTAGTCCCAAATACAGTTTTTCATATACTGTATAAAAATGCATAGACATAAACCTGGGCGCAGTTGGATGCTGATGTCTTGAGGTGACACTTGTGTGCTGCTGATGGTTGCGTCCACTTCCACTTTAGTCTCTGACTGCTCCAGAAACTCTGATTCACAGCCTTTCAAAAGCAGGTTTTCAGCCAGATCACAGCGGTAGTTGGATGCTGCTCCTTCCAAAAAGTCCTAAATGTTACAGAAAAAAAAAAGTTACTTTTATAACTTTGGACCAAACTCAAATTAATTTTAATATCAATGTCCTACAAATTAGCATTCTCACCCACTTCTAGGCTTCTTCAGAATACTAGAAGGACAGAGTTTTTAAATAGAGGTGGAGTTTTTAAATATTCATTTATATTGAACGTTGCATTGTTTGAAATGATGGCATGACATTTTTTTCAGACTTCCTTCTACCCTCTGTTGTCATGCTCGATAAATCTCAAACTGTCAGTTCTGCCCAGTGTCCATCATTAACTTGTTCTATTGAATGAGTACTTGTGTTTATAAATAGCATAGTGAGTGTAAGATAGTTATAGGAAACAAACAAACGTTGTTATGAACCACTTTGAACAAAATCCCTTTTCCTGAAAACAGCTACCACGTCACACCTCACAGCTTTAGAGTGGATTAGTGACCTTTGATAAGTCTGAGACATGAGCAAAAATATAACAACAAGAAAATTCATTGAATTTAAAGAAAATAGTAGTTAGAAAAGACTCTATTATCTCAAAATAACAAGTAAAGGCTGACGGCATACGCACCTGTAAGAATAAACTATGACTTCCTGTTACTTTTCTTACATAATTTACTCCTTCAGTTCACAGCACATTAGAGGGCAAGAATGTGCACATGAATATTCACTGTTTTAATTTAACTTTTAAGACAAGCTCAGTATAGTCAGTGGATTATGACAAAACTTTTAGCTTTGTTTTGTAATGGCAAATAAGGTAGAGCTCATGATAAGGACCTGTTTTAAACCAAAAGTGAATGGAGAGATTTCAAGGTTTCTGTTAAGTAATTTGTTGTTTCACACTAAGGAGACAAATCCAGTGAGTAGACTAAACACATTGGCTCTAAGTACTGTGCTGTGGTTGGCATTCGGCACATGAGAAGCAAGACACAGATATTCACACACACACACAAACACACGCATCAGCAGAGGCATTTAAGGTTAAAGGGCAAGCTACTGGGATCAGTCACAACCATTACCGTAACGCATCAAGAATATAGTGTGTGTTTTGACAAGGGTTGAAATCTGTCTCCCTTGTAACTGCATATACAACCAGAGACACCTTATAAATCCACTGTTGGCTCTCAAACTGTGAAACAAGCAGAAGCAGGCATCTTCAGAGTTTAAACATCCTTTGTACACATTGCATTTTTGCCAGGTAATGTCCCAATATATGTCTGTAGTTTGAGTCTAGTTCAGTCCCATGTTTTTTAAAGGAGGGAGTGACACCTTGCTTGCCTCCATGTTGATGTTATTTCATTGACTGGAATGTTCCACATCTTGGCATTAAACTTATGTATCTCCATGGAGAAGAACAGGTGTTGACACTTGTCCAAGTTAAAGGTTAGATCTATGGAGAAGCTCATAGTAAGAAAGCTTGTTTTTCAAGGAATTTTTGAACAATAAAAACCCTTGAAATGAAAAAAATGCCAGATAGAGCAGATTAATTTCATACTGTGGAGCATTCCAGGCAAAGAAATACCATCTCCATAGAAAATAAGCAGGTAGCAGATCCTCCACTAGAAAAGTTACATAGTGCCCCTTTATCCCACTTGGATACTCACAATGGTGGTTATTATGGAACACAAGTCTACAATAAACACATCTATCCAACACATATTTATACCTCCTTGAAGCACCAGGCGCACTGTGGTCCACGTTTGAGGCATTCAGTACAAGAAGAGACGCTTGAAATCCAACATGCATTATCACCTGGAAAAAAAATCAGGAAAAACAAATCTCCCATTAGCATATGTAAGATTGTGTATAGTGTTCCTAATCTATGTAAAGTGCCCATCTACGTGCTAATACCTCAAGCAAACACTTAAAGAGGAGAAGCACCTCTTTCACTTTCATTGTGCACCACTGCGAACTTTTATCCAAACAGTTAGTGGGAGGCGTGAGTGTGGACAAGTTCTTAACATATTTGTGCTTTCAACCATTACAACTGATTTATCGCAATTCATTGTTAATATACTTCAAAACTACAAAAGCTATATCTAACTTACCTTTACAAATAATCCCGTACTCAAACCAGCAAATTCAGAAACTTCTGTTCTCATAACTATATGCATAACATTACACAAATGTACCCGACCATGTTATGTGTACGCTGTTTATCCACTAAAATCCAATTTTCCAGTGAATTTGAGCGAGATGGTTGGAATGTAGGACATGCGGCAGGTCTGAGCATCACTAACAACCCACTAACAAGCTGCAGTGACCCAATTAGAGCTCAGTGGCCTCTGGCAGCAGCACACTGAATAGATGAAGCCTTTAACTCCCAATTACAACTCATCAATACAACTGCAAGAGAGGTGCAGTAAGGACTGTTAATGGATGTAAAAATCTGGATACAGCACCAGACTATCAAAGATACCAAAGAATTCGCAAATTCAAACTTAGTTTTATGAGTAGCCTTGTTGTGGAAAATAACAACCAGTACAATGTTAATGGCACTGGCAAAAATAAGGAAGAGGGCAAACTGTACCTTCACACACAGTCGCACAGACAAATGATATCTATTTTTCAGATTTAATTATTATTATTTTTTTGTCATCTGAATAAAAATTAATCACGGCCACAGGGGCTCATAATCCAGAAAAATAGAGATATAGAAAATAGACGTATGCCAAATAATATGCTAATTATTGCTTATTGTGGAAGCAGATTAATTGCTGTGGTAACCACAGACAGGAAAAGCCAAAAAGGAAGGATTTCCTCTTTAAGTTGATTTTTAATTAGTTATTCACACTGAGATTGTTTCACATCCACAAGTAAGAGTAGCCTACCCTCTATGTGATAGATAAATGAGCAGGGGTTCATAAGCAACAGCATCACGTCAGATTTGTCTCTTTTGTAAATCAGTGCTTACTAGAAGAAGAAGATAAAAAGAAAACAAACAAACAAAAAAATCCACAGGACAAGACTATAGCACATTTGAGCCCACATCCTTTTAAATAGGTAGTCTCTAAAACTTTCCCGAGGTGGTGATCCGTGAATACCCCCTCAGTGGGGACTGGAAGATGAGAGATGGAGTGCAGTGATGGTCTGACACCAGACAGTATCAGGAAAGGGTCATTGTCCGCGGATATGATGTCATTAGTCCAAATGAGTCCACTTACCGGGTCTGGGGACTCGAGTGCACAAAGCGACCACCGTCAAGAAACACAAGAGGAGAGGGTGGAAGCTGCGCAGCCAAGAATTCATCTTATCCTCTCCACATCGGGTAGAATGAGGCAGGAGACCGGGAGCGAGATACGGCTACTGCTGCTGGGGGTGCGGTGGAGCACCGGTCGTGAACAAAAGCCACGAGTGAAGGCGCATGGTCCAGTAACCTCGTCTAATCCCACAGAGGCATTCACATCCCCGGTGAAATCAGCTTAAACCACGACAAGACGTGGAATAATCGGCTGAGAGAGGCGGCAGAGGCGCTGGTCCCTCCGTGGATTTCCATTCAGCCGCAGGTGCGCGTCCCCATTGTACGGACTAGAGTCAGAGTCAGAGCGGAGTTTGGGCCACACGTGAACGCACGCGGTCCCGAAGTAGAGCCGGGTCTGCGCCAACACGCGGACTGTACATCTCTCAATAAAAACTGTGGAGCGACCGAGTGCCATGGAAACGACGCGCGAGTTATCATGCGAAGAGGGAGGGCGCGAGGGAGGGACGAAGTAAAAAGACAGCCGGTGAGAGAGAGAAGAGCACAAGTTTGGGAAGTCGCTGGAGGTTGTAGGAGCATTCCGGGCAAATCGTGGCCTTGAATTCAATTCACTTGTTTATGTTGCTTCTTCAGGGAGCCATTCAGGGAGATGAGAACTGAAGTGAGAGTGCAGCATATGTCCTCACTGTCCGGACTGTATCCTAACCGTATGTGATTTATAACATAGGTCCTACAGTAGACTTACACTGCAGGCATCAACATTCATAATAAGCATAGACTATATAAAAATAAGATATGCCTATATACAGTCTAAATTATTTAACCAAGGCATTAAGTGATATATTTGTTTATCTTACAGCAAGTAATCACCTTGCTGTGTATTCTCTATTGTTTTTCAAGGTAATTGTCTATAAGATTAAATTAAAATGATCAAACCTATTTTATTTCTTTTACAACAAAAATTAAGTGATACAGTACACACAATACTGTACACACAAAATTAGGCCTACAAATGTCCAATAAAAACAACTAAACTGTGTCACTAGCCTGCAGCTGCAGTTTGCTTAGACCATCTGTTCCATTTTAAGATCAAGTAGGTAGACAAAAGCCCCTATGCATAGTGGCAATTAACAGTTTTTTATCCAGATGTTGTTCTCATTATAGAATGATTCCTAAGCAGCTTGAGACTGAAGCCACTATAGGCCTGTATGTTTGTACCAGTGTTTTGGATTATGGTCAGTTGATGATGTGAGTGGACAAGGGTCACAAAAGCCTGGCTTTCTCAGAAAGGGCTCTCACACTGGTGCTCTGGAGACGAAGGAGGTAGTTGTCCCAAGATCTATTGTGCAGATTCCATTGACACAGAGTAACCTCGCCCTGCCTGCTGCTCTGCTGAAAATAAGTCCAAAAGTTTTGCCAAACAACCTAAGAAATCTGAGCTGGGTATAAAAGTCTACATTTTGGTGTGTCTGGATTTTTGGCACGACCACAGAAAAAAGATGTTTCACTTGGCAGAAAGCCCAACTGTGAGCACGACAATAATGCATACATTTGGTCCCCTATCTGCTCTGTTTGACCTCACTGTGGCGCTTGGATTGTGGCCAGCCAAGCCTCTTATTCATTCTGATGATTTGGGAATTTCGCAGGGGGAGTGCCAATCCCTCCTCAAACATCCACCCTATGCCCTCCACTCACAATTATGGTAATGATGCAAACACATGCGGTTGCCTTTTATGAAGTGTGTGGAAAATTTGCATTTGAGAAAAATTACTCGCATAAAAGTCATGTTACTGCAAAAACACTTATTTACGAAGAAGATGAAAGAGAGAATTATATTTCCTACTCACTTTTACTGCTTTTAAGATGAAATTTAAAGGCGCACTGTGTAACTTTCAGGTGGAGGGTCCGCCACCTGCTTGTCTTCATAGAAATTGCAAAGTTTTGCTTTGGAATGTTTCACAGTATGGCATTAAACTTATCCATCCTGCATTTATTCAATTACATTATGTCTCCAAAATACTGTAAAAAATGGAAAAACCTCCTCAGATTTGACGTGTAACTTGTCTTGCTGGCGTCACATGTTTGTATCCATGAAGATAGATTATCTTAAAGCCATACTGTGGAACATTCCAGCCATACACCAGCTAAGTTACACAATGCACCTTTAACTTCTAAAGGGACCATAGATAATGAAAATGCACTGGGTAACTCTATATTTACTTGACAGGCATTTATTTAAATCCAAGCAAATACAATATAATACAGTTTCGTCATTACTGTCATAACCAACTTGTGGCGTTTACAGATTTGTTTGTTCAATTCCGTAAACACAAGTACCTCAGATTTCAAGTACTTTCCACTTTACCCAATGGAGTAAGCAGGAGAAGATATGGCCTTGTTTCCTTTTGGGGCTAATGGACTCTTTTGTAAACATCGCTGGCCTTATCAATACTGTTTAGCATCAAGATTCAGGTGAGAGCTGTCAGAGAGCAGATCGTTGCAAAGTTAACACAAAACACTCCGTTTTTTTTTCTTCGATCTCCATCACCCCTTGTCCTCCTCCCCCTCCTCCCCTTCCTCTCCCCTTCTCTCCCCTCCTCTGTTTGTGTTAGCAGTCCACTAGGCTTCTCATCACGCTGGTCTGATCCCATCACTATCTGGACACAAACACTTTTTTCCTGTTCTTTTTTTTATATCTTTGCACAGTGCATCAACCCCACTGTGTCACCTGTCTGCCCATGTTTCCCCCAATAATCACTTGAAAATTGTCTCCTCTTGGTCAGTTTCACCCACACATTTCCTTTAGTTCCAGATTCTTTGGTTTGCACACTTCAGGGGAGGACAAAATAAGGGTCAAAGGTCACATGGCAGCTAGATGAGTTTTAAAAGCTAAATGACCAAGATGTGATTGTCAGTGAAGCTAAAATGGCAACAAACAAATAATTAAATGTATAGAGCATTTACAGTTGAACTAGAATAAGGACTTATGTTCTTGAATGACTTTAACCCCACTATTTTAAATGGGTACAGATTTAAATTTTCCTCCATGTTCCCCCACCTACGTTACGTAAATGAATGTTACTCATTGATCTAAATGTCATTTTGGAGGAGAGATTTGACTCAGACAAATTTACCTTGTGGCTGCATCAGAACTTAAAAAGCAGTATACGTTCCAACTTCCTGTTTTGTACACATAACCTAAATAAAACCCTAAAAGCCACTAGTACAGAGATGAAACCAAAGATTCACAATGTTCATCATGACATTTATATTGTGTGACATTTACATTTTGAGATCTGAAAACAAATAACTTTGGACAAGAGGGTCTGTTACTTGCTTGTCCCCATGGAGACAAGCAAATGAAACCTCCACCACAAAAATTACAGTGAAACTTTTAGAAATGACTCCATTATTTCTGTCTTAAACAAAGTATTTTATGGACAATCATAAATGTGCACAAATAGACTCCACATAAAAAAAAAAAAGAATGAATTAAACTCAGGATTTGTTCCATTACAGAACATTTAAGGCTGGAGTTAGTAACAATGCATGCACCTCTGCTTTTAGTGATGAAACTGCACAACTTCCTCCTATGGCCTCAATTCAAAATAACCTGTAAGAGCAGGTGCTCTACATGGGATTTTCAGTGTGTCTACTTTCTGCGGAAGTGCTTAACCTTGACATACTTGTTTGGGTTGGCTCTTGGATAAAACAGAGAAGTGAAAAATGACTAAGCAAAATTCCTCTGGAAAGGGAACAAGGACTAAACATTGCAATGTGGTTTCATGACTGGGATGGGATCATGTACTTAGATTAAGGAAAACATCCGCTAGCTTCCCCCTGGATAAGACCTAGGAAAGCCCGTGGTTTGTACTATGTAGACACAGACATTTGCGTGGACAGTCAGTGGCCTTGTGGTCCAGCAACACGACATTCACAAGTACACCTACATTTCACTAAGCCACCAGAATGACTATAAACACTATGGCACAATAACAATGAGACAGACTGTGGTCAGAAAATCCAATTACAAAGCCACTATGTACATTTGGGAGGGATAAATATGCACTCTGTTTATGTCTATACAAGTTAGATACTGTTTTCGAAATATTCCAAATTTCTCCATGTTTATATAGCACATAATGTGTTAGTAAACATATTTTATAGACATATTTGACCATGTAAAAGCATTATACCTTGGTAAATTGGTAGTATTCACTCATTTACCTGTATGATTTATTAGTAAAGTTGATAGAAAAAAGTTCCTAGTTCATAGTTAAGTTAAAGGTGCATTGCATAACCTTTCTGGTGGAGGGAAGGCCATATGCTTGGTTCTGTAGATAGGGTTAATGTTTGCCTAAAATGTCACATGTTCTGAAATTAAAAATCTTTCTTCATGGAAGTAGGTGATGAAAGTTACTGGTCAGATCTGTGGAAAGGTGACCCTGCTCACAGTAAGAATGCTAGTTTTTCAAGGTATTTTTGAACAATAAAAAAACCCAGTAATTATCCATGGGGAACAGCATATATAGTTATAGTTATATTTTAAGTTATAGTTTATAATATAGTGTATTGTGTAGTTGTTAGTAGTAGTACAGAAAGTAGAGTACTTTGTATGATGTATGATGTAATAATAACATTTCAGATTTCAAATTTTCCTAAATAAAACATGTAAGAATAATGCTATTATAACTGCTTTTACAGATTGATTTATAGGAACAAAAATGAAAAAAAAGAGTGTTTTTTTCTCCACTGGGACATTCAGGGACATTGTGGACACAGAAGTGCACTTGTCCTTCAAATGTGAAAGTGAATGTAGTGGTTCCCAAAAGAAACTGCTCGTAATTTCTCCGTAATTTCACCTTTCCCACTCAGGTGGGAGTCAGACAGACTGTGTTTCATTCATCCCTGTAATTTTGTTATAGTCAACACAGCAAGAGAGGCACAGTGCCAGCTCTACAATAAGAATGAGTGAAAAAAGTGGATAGAAAGAGGAGAGGGGTCACACAGTCTCAAGGACTTTTAGCCACTGTGTTGGTATCTTCAGGGAAATAGCACATTTTAAATTCAGGGAGGGGTGACAATGATATACCCTGGTGCGGTTCGGTATCCAGTCCAATCTATATATGCATACACCCTCACACCACAGGCACCACCCAGCTCAGATTCCTCTTACACAACCTCAGCAGTCATGTGGACCGCAGCTCCCATTCCCAGGTAAAATAGTCACTGTGTTTTTTCTCAATTGTAAACATAGAATCTGTAACTATTATCCTCAATATGAAGGACCTGTGTGAGTTGTCCACTAGCAGTATTATTACTACTGTAGCCTTGTTATGATTATGACATTGTATTCTGTTCATTTTTCACAATTTGTTCAACTTCCAAGAGATTATGAAAAGGTAAGAATTAAGAACTAGCCTAGATAGGGGAATGACTTAATATTT